AGTTGCATTTGAAATATTCATTCATTCATTCATTTTCATCCCTCTTTATTCATCCATTTCTGGGTTTTGGCGGTCGGCAATCAGAGCTGCTATACCCCAATTCTCAAAGCACCAGCCCCTTTGCCGATCCGGCTGCAGGTGTTGGGTTTCTGTTTCCAACTTTACAGCGATATTTGCAATTCTCTACTTAAAAAGAGGGAATTGAGTCACTTTCAGCAATCCAAACTAAACACAGCTGGTAAAAGTAGTGAAGTTACTTTTTAAGCCGGTCAAAGGACCACAAGCTGAGGCACCATTCTCCCATTTGACGTCACCATTGGTGGAGAAGAGGCTTTCTGTCCAATCGCCTGGTACTTCTAATGCGGATGAAGCCAAAAGGAGATGCATGGAGAGGAGGGAGCAAACAGGCAGTAATCCACTCAAACACTTCCTCCAGCTCTTTCTCTGATAGCTCAGCCTGGCACTCTGCACATCCTCAGTGGCCTCCGTAATCAGACCTCTCTTTCCCTGCTGGACAGCTGTGGTTCACACTAGCAGCCAATTAGGGAAAGGAGGAGAGGAGAGAAAGTCACATTTTGAGCGTGACTGAGTGGCACTGTACTTTATCTTGCGACCAGAGTTTTAGAGATTATTTAAAATTGCAGTGACACTTCATTATTTAAAAAATATGCTGATGAGGGGTGAGCATAAATGATAAAATATGAGGTAATAATTAAATGGTGTGGTTTTTTATCTTAATTTGAGTTCATTCTGACTGCCTTAAAACAAGATTTGCCAATGGGACAAATCTATTAAGTCTTATTTCAAGAGGTGAAATAAGACTATAATAATAATTTCTCAATCCAAGGAAGACATTTCTTGTATCTTGTATCATTTTGCTTATCCCGTCGGCAAATCTTGTTTTAAGGCAGTCAAAATGAACTCTATTATGAATTATGAAACAATTATAAATGGGAATGGATGAAAGAAGTTTGTTTCTTTTAACCTTGTTTATTCATGTACTTGTCTTGTGCACACTGGGGGCTTTTGCAAATTTATTCCTATGTGGTTTTACTGTAAATGGCTGTGCTTTGTCAATAAATATAAAATCAATTGTATTGGACAACAATAATTGTTGCACATATTCAACAAATATTCTAGACCTGAATTGTCTCTTTCTCTTCTACATATTTAAGAGTGAACTTCACAGTTCTTCAATGTTGGTGTATTCAAGAAGAAAAAAAGAAAAGAAAGACCTTTTTATTAGCAGCAAAGTTCCTCTGAGATTGTAGGCTTTCTTTTTGGGGAGTCCTAACCTCAGAAGGCACAGGGAGAACATGCAAACTCCAAGGGCCTTGTGTGTTAAATGACTTACGAAAAACTTAAAATGTATATTGAAATGTCAAAGACGCTTCACATGTCATTATCTTTCCCTCCACACGGTGGTGATAAGCTTCTACTGTAGCCACAGCTGCCCTGGGGCACACTGACAGAAGCGAGGCAACCAGTATGTGCCATCAGCTCCTCCGACCACCACCAACCATTCACACACACACGCACATGCACACGCACACACCAGACTCAACGTGGGTGAAATGTCTTGCCTAAGGACACGCAACTCTTTGGCACTTTACAGCCAAAGCCGCCTCACTGTTGCACCTTATGTTCGCAGAGGTCTCCCATCACAGCACTAACCAGGTCCTGCTCTGCACAGCTTGAGAGGTCTGACGGGATCTGGCCACAATACAAACTTCTACAAACAGAGCAAACGCATGTCAAGGAATCCCACTCTTGTTGGACCGGTGCTGCTACTTTTCTCCACAATCTTGTTACCCAATAATAACTTGTGTGTGGCATTGCTGCATCACAAGGGCAGAGATGTTCCCAGAGCTCGTCTTCCACTCTCTGATTATCACCACAGCTTAGGCTAATATGCAGAACCAGCGATTACTAAAGCAGAAAACATGATTAAGTCTTTCCTCCTTTTGAAATGGACCCATGGAGCGCACATCTTATTGGCTTGAAGTGAACAGTCAGGTCCCAGTCTGGGTCAGGAGGCCGCAGTGGATTATGGTCCACAAAATGAGATGCTATCGCTGCAGAAAAGACAGATGCTTGATCTGGGTCACGACTGAATTGGCAGGTTACGATGTTTACGCTGCTCAGAGTTACGTGTACGTTACAATCCAGTTTTATAACAAGATATGGGTCAGCGGTTGTCAGTTTGAAGCTTGTGTGAAGTGAGCTTGTGTGATACGCTTTTAGAAACTGTCTTAAAGGGTCAAAGAGGTGATGTTAAAGGTGTTCACTGCAAAAGAAATTACAAAATATGAATAATTACATCGAGTGGTTGTCATCTTCATTTGAGTTCATTACGACCGCCTTAAAACAAGATTTCACCAAAGGGACAAAGCCATTTAGACTTATTTTAATATTTGTTGCTTTTTTATAGAGTCGGGACTAAACATGGGGAGGCTGCATTTCAGATTCATGCTGCTAAAATCTGGAACAATCTTCCTGAAAGTGTGAGACAGGCCTCCTCTCTGACAATGTTTAAAACCAGGTTAAATAAAGTTCTGTTTAGCTGTGCATACAACTGAGGGATTTTATATTTACTCATTATTGACGTATTTGTCTGAGACCCTCTATTCAACTGGGGATTACAGGACCACAAAAATAGCTAGAAACAGACTTATTTTTGCTGATTAAAGTAGACAATCCAGTCTTTCAGAATCTGGTTTCATATTTCACAAAGTCATAGGAAATAATATTCTCTGGGTCTTGAAAATCAGTGAAATCATTAAAAACGACTGGCAGTCAATGAGTTAATGGACTGTGATTATTTATGATTTTAATGCAATCTTATTTTCTTCAGCGCTTTGAGTTGCCTTGTGTATGAATTGTGCTATACAAATAAACTTGCCTTGTCTTATTTTCTCATCCCAAGGGAGACATTTCTTCTATCTTTTTAAAACAAGATCATTCTGCTTGCCCCATCGGCCAATCTTGTTTTAAGGCAAAATGTGCACAAAGTATAATACATTTTCCCAAATTTGAGCCATTTTTGACCTCTTCCTCATCACTTTTTGCAGTGTGTTTATAGGATTGAGTCTAAATGATCTGAGCTTCTGCTACAAACACAACTCTTTCATTTGTCCAAACACAAAGTCCAGCGGTGACCCTGCAGAAGACGTGGCAGCGCATCATCCAAACACTGTTGTGCGTAATAATAATACTCAGCGAAAGGCTTAGAGGATAATCTGAGCCAGTGGAGTGCTTCACTGTCACAGGAATTAAAATCGCTCTCATCCAAAATAAAAAAAGAGAGGAAAAAACCCCGGCTGTCAGGACGGGTCGGAGCGTGACACACGGATGCTCTCTTTGCCTCACCCTGCACTTCCAATACAGACAGCAAGTTCAACTATGTATGGGAGATTTCTTGTGCTAATATTTAAAACTCTTGAATCGTTGTTTCTTTGACTTAAACATGTGTTATTTGATTGCTGATTGTAGAGGAGTGCAAGTTTCTAAATCAAATTGTTTTACTTTTTAGCTTGTTTTATGTTATATATTTGTCTGCTGCACACTGAGGTACTGGTATATGTATTCCAATATGGTTTTACTGCAAATGGCAATGAATCTGAATGTTATTATTAATGTGGACCAGGAATTTAGCCTACTATTTCACTGCTCCAAGTCATATAAATGACCCGGATGATCGAGGCAAGCGTATTGTACCTAAAGATTTTTATAATCGAAAATATTGATTCAATCCAGTGTTCAACACAACCTCGGTTTAATCAGTACAATCTAACAATCCAACTTGTAAAAAGTGTCCAGCAGCATCACTTGGAGACTTGTTTTACTAAAATTTGGAATAAATCCCATATTCACTGACCTTTCATGATCTAAATAACAAATCAATTAATCAAAATAATGGATAATCGCAGCCCTGGTCTGCAGTGACCAATCCACAGACAGAATTCTGATTCATAAAAACCTTTATCCCTATCTGTGTTATCTAAAGTATATTTCAGTCAGTTTAAACATCTTAATTAAACATGACACATATATGATTAATTCAAATAACATTACGGCAGAAGTAATCCAAAAGTAATTCAACTTCTGGATATATTAACTAACTAATGTATTTTTTTTAGAAAGCAATGTGTAACTAATCACTGTTTGAAAGTAACTTTCTCAACACTGGCATAGACTCATTTTACATTAGGATTTTCTCAAACATATTCGTAACATCATTGTAAATATAGCCTGGTTGTTTCCTGTAATTTTAGAATGTCTGCTGTGCAGCTAATATTTCACCTTGAATAGTTTGTCCTTTATCTTCTGCCAGCATTATGCCACTCAGCACTTTTACCCGGACCTGAGAAATCATTATCAGCCACTGTGGGGTATTTAAAGCGCAGCCAAGTCACTGCTTTGAAATTCCTCCTCTCCTCTCACATGTTTAAGCCCCACAGACTTCACAGAGAGCGCCGTGATGCAGCAAATAACAGCACTATTGTTTGCAGCCTGCTGGTTTAGTGCGGATATCCCCACTTTAACTCATCACCGTCACTATATATCGAAAAGCTGTGTTATAGCTTGGCCATACACACCTCATTGCAAAAACAATACAGCAAAATGTGGCAAATGGCACAACATGTATCACTTATTGCTGGCAAGAGTTTTGTGCAGCACAAAGTCCCACATGAAGAAAATATTCAATGTTCAAAAGTGAAAGCAATTGCCCTGGACCCATAATCTAGAAGAGGAAAGATTGCCTGGCCTCAGAAGTTGCAACGGCATCAGAAAGAGATTATTGTTCACATATGTATGTATGTAATGATAGTTTTATTAGGACAAAACCTGCTGTAGTTGTGAAGAGAGTTGTGAAACAATCTTCTAAAATGTAGTACTGGGCCTTTAGAACTATTCATTTTTATCAGGAAAAATACTGGATATGGACAATTCTGTTACATAAATGTTTGCTTTAGTTTAGGACATGCTTACAGACCTACCGTTCATGCCATTGTAAATGGTCCGATGGTGTGGGGACAGTTCGTCAGCGTTGGTCCTCCTCTGCCCCTCTCGCCCTGGACTCCCAAACTTGGCATGGTCCGGGCTCATGCTGTACTGGTGCCGGTGCGTCTCAGGGCTTCCTCCTTGTACCACAAAACCTTTGTCATGATGCTCGGATGTTCCTAAATGGCCCTGACGATGCTCAGGGCTCCCACAGCCTGCACTGCTGATGCTGCTCCTGTGGTGCCTTTGGAAGAGCTCCCCACTGCCCCCCTGCCCCAGGTAGTGCTGCCTCTGCCCCAGGACCAGATCAGAAGTGTGGTGCTTTGGATGTTGTTCTGGACTCCGGCCCCCGATATTCCTCCCATATTTCTCCGGGCTCAGTCCCCTCATGACTCGGCTGTGATCAGGCACAGATATAGAGCCGCAGCGAGGCCGGCAGAGCTGGGGCAGAGTGTAGGGGTACTCTAAGCTGGTACTACGGTGACGTCCAGTAGGATGCTCTGGACTGGACATGTCTCTGTCTAAACCAGTTATACCACCGATCGCACTGATGCTGCTGCACCTGGGCTTGTGCACTATCTCTGGGCTGCCCCTTTCTACAGAGCCACCTACGTTGGCCCCGCCCACGGTCAGATGCATTTGCTTTTGGTGTGTATGGTCCGAACTCTCTGCGCTCCCTGCACTAGAGGTGCTGCTCCCATCGCCCACATCCCTCATGAGGAGTCCTTGTCCAGGCACCAACAACAAACTGTTCTGACTGTCTATGGAGTTCCGACAGCCCCCCACACTGCCTCCACCTCCCACTCCTCCAGACGCCAAGCCTTTCTCCTCATCCAGCATCAAACATAGCTCCTTTAGCTCCATGTTCTCCCGGATGACTTCCTCCTGGCGCTGCTCCAGCTCCTTCAGTTTCTGGAGGTACAGAGAGACTTCTTTGCGCATGATGCTGGCGCTGTAACGGCCTAACCGCTGCCACTCCCGGGACACGCGCTTGCCTTTCTGACGGTCATCGTCAAGGAAACAGCACAAGTCCCGCAGCTCACGGTTATCTTCCTGCAGCTTCTGGTTAATGTCCTAAGAAAAAGAAATGGGGATCGAGTGAGTGAAGAGACTAATGCAAACATACTTCATGCATCCAATGTTGCAAAGACATATACAGTGTTTTACATGCTATTAAGTAGTGTGTAGTAGTAGTAATTAGTAATAGTCCAATTCCTAGAGATCAGAGTATTTCAACATGACTAATACAGAATGGGTGGTGAATGGCACAGCTTCGATCAGACTGCCCCAGGGCAGCTGTGGACACAGAAGGAGCAATTACTTGGTGTCAAGTTCATGAATACCATCTACTAGCATGTTGCTCTATGTGAAGTCAGGGTTCAGCCTAAAAGTGTATAGGCTGCAAATAAGACATTCAAATTATTTTAATGAAGTTAGAGCATAGTGATATATTGTTAGAAGTGAAATGAACCAGTGATAAGACACATCTCCCTCGACTCTAGATTGATGCTGCTTTTGCCCTGCAGCTCTTTACTGTGTAACAAGCAGCTTGGACGTGCGAACAGGCTGTTATTTATATAAATTGTAAACAATGTCACCCCTCTGACACCAAACATCTATTCTAGTATGATGTGCCTATTGTTTCAACAGAAACTACGGGGCTAAAATTAAGAATCCCGTGGAATGTAAGCTGTGGCAGCTACAGTCTAAGAATAGACACAAAAAGAAATCTGGACAGCAGATTTTAAAGGTGGAGAGGAGGACACTTCTTGATGGCTCCTGCTATGCTGTTTCTTTCACATACACTAGGTAAATGAGCCTGCTGCGGGCTGTTGTATCATTGTATAAGGGCTATGTGAAAGTTAAGAGGCCATTTAGTATTGCAACCGCTGTCAATCATAAAGTAATGGTTAGACGAGTGGCGTGAACATCCTGTGCGCCTAAAAGCTATGATCTCATTCTAGTGCCCCCTCACCTTCAGCCCCCTGATCTCGTTCAGGTGCAGCTGGAGGCTGCGGTTGACCTCTCGGATGAGATTGCCATGGTCCAGGATCACGCTCATCTTGTCGGCCTCCGAGCGTCGGAGGCGCCGCACCAGCTCGTCTTTGCTCCACTTGTGCAGGTCATCGTCGGTGAGACCTGAGATGTCCTCCGCGGGACTTTCGCTCTTCGCTATTGACAGCTGGAGCTGGGGCTGTGGCTGGGGTGGTGGAGTCGCCTTCTCCATGGGCACGGCTCCGACTCCAACAAAGCGAAAATACTCCTCTGCTCTGGAGCAGCTTCTCCTCGCATCCGCTCCGTGGTCGGATTTAGCCTGGATCCGACTACAGTCTTTTCCCCAGTAGCATAGTTTGGCCTTTTCCGCTGCTTCCGACTTCTTACTCTCCGGAGCAACAGCTGAGGGTGCCGGCTGAGCGCCACAAAGAAAGAAGAATCTCTGGGCTATCGCTGCAACATCCTCAGATCAGAGGTAGCTTTAAAAAAGATGCAAAAACACACGCGGGGTTATTGTTCCAGATGACAAGTTCAAATCCAGAGCAGGATGTAGAGAAGAGAGAGTGCACAGAGCACACCTGCCACCAGATGGGCTGAGCTCAGTGTGACAGAGGAGATGGAGTGGGCAGACGCAGACCAGGCTCCCTCTCTCTGGCTCCATCCAGGACCAGGGCGCGCGCTGACTGCTCATGCACCAGGGTCAGGGCGCCATCTAGTGGTCATGCGGGCAGAACGGACTCCTATTTTCGATGCTTGTGACACCGCTATAACTATTAACTTGTAAATACATTTTTGTGCCCTCTGTTTTTTCTCAATTTGATGTAGCAAGACTATATTTCCAGACAATAAAAGTTTTGAAAATATTGCTCTGTTTGAGTCTGTATAATTTTGATTATCCCAAAATAGTCGGTGATTGGAAAAACTTGATTAGTTGCAAACAATTAACTAATCGTTACAGTCAAGTGTGTACTCGGCAAAACGGTTGTGGGTTCAATCCACACAGGCCTTTCTGTGTGGAGATAGCATGTTTTCTCTGCGTCTGGGTGGGTTTCCTCCGGGTCACTCCGGTTTCCCCATCACACAAAAGATGCACCATAGTCAGATAAAATATTTTAGCTCCAGGTGCAGTAGTGTAGTCCTAACCATAACATCTGGAGATTGTTCCCCGGGCGATGCCCTGTAGTGAACACTGCTTCTGGCAAACCTGTTCTTTGACTTCTACGTTCAACAGGAGATCAACACGCAGCGGAAACACATAATGACCGTAGGCCGTGACGCCGGTGACGTCGGTGACGTCAGTGAGGTAGGCTGCTCAGCCAATGGGAGCGAGCGCAGTGTTAGGAACACGTCACTGTAGTAAAGTGCAGTCGCCGGTGTCCTGTGCCTCCTCCGTCTCCGGTGCGGACATTCAATGCTTTAATCTCTGGAGCAGGACACGATCTTTGAGCGGAAATACAAAGAGGTGAGACGATTGTTCACTCATAAACACTGGATTATTGTTGTTTACTCATGTTCTCATCTCTCAGGCTTTGGGTTAGCTACTATGCTCTGCTAGCTTAGAGGCTATCCGCTCTGCCTGCTTCCTTCATTCACATTTTCTCGGATTAAATACACCCAGGCAGACAGGGAAACCTTTACTTTTAGATACCGATACATCTGCACTCACATGATGGTGTTTATTAATGTGGTGTCAACGTGGCTGTGGCCGATCAAGAGCCCACACACACTCACTCACACACACACACACACACATACACGTTTTTGTTACCTGGTGGGTCCCTTTGACAGGGCCGTTCAGAATGGGACCCATAGACATAATCTTTTTTTACCAAGACTTTAAGTAATACAAAACAGTCAATAGAAACCAAACAACTATTTTAAAGGAATTTTATTTTAGATTTTGTTTTCGAATTGCAGTGATTCTATTTTTGACATAGAATTTAATGCCACTCCATGTCCGATGTCTAAGGTCATCTGGTGAGGCATTAATGCAGGCCAGGCAGTGAGACTTCCCAGGGACCTTTCCAGTCTGTATGAAAGGTGTCATGGTCTTCTCCACAGCCTTCACCTCAGATGCAGACCATGGCTTTCTTACACGTTCTAGGGAGAGAAATAAAAATATATTAGCAATATACACTCCCAGGGTGAGGACCAAGCAGCCTGGCTGTAATCCCCCACCTGGTACACTTACCAGAAGGGGCACTGCCACTACCATGGGGTGCATCTGGATGAATGGTTGAAGGTTCTCCGCTTGAAGTTTCTTTTAGCCCGTCCGTTTGTGAGAGGATCTCTACTGCTCTCCCTGTCGCACAGAAAATAAAAATACAAGTGGCCTTTAGGGGAAAAAAATCATACATATTTTAATAATATCAAGAATTACCTTCAGGCTCAATTTGTATCTGGTCGAGGCTCTTTCCTTCGAATTCCGTCACTCTTCCCTGCTCCATGGCCATCAACACTTTGCTGATTTTGGCCAGCTCCAGTGTCCCCTCTGGTAGTCTGTAATATTGCCTGTGGATGCGAATGTCATGGCCGAGGAAGTTGGCAAGTATGTCCATCTCATTCTCTTTCATATTGAGAACTGTAGACATAGTAGCTATGTGCTTTCTAAGTTTGGTTGAGGATAGCATCTCTGGATGCACCGCACCACATTCTTTGGCTACCTGGCGTAGGGAGTCTGATCCCCTGATGTGGGTGTCTGCGCCCGGGCGGGAAAAGAAGTATGGGTTATGGTCAGAGATGGAACAGGCCCTTCTGTTCTCCACCAGCACCTCCATCGAAGCAATCATTTCAGGAGTCAAAAGAACCGGCACTTTCCGACTTCTTTTCCCTTTAATTTCAATGCGTTGAAAATGCTGACACAGCTTTTTCTCAAGTTGGGACAGTCCCAGAGCAATGTCAGAATGGATCCCAGTCTTACTTCTTAAGGTAAAGGCTGTCAGTGGCATCTTTGAAACCTCACCTTCCCTTCTTCGATTGAAAATGATGACCTCACAAAGAGTCAAAACTGCCAGTTTAGACCAATGCTTAGACGTTGGCTCACTTATTAGGGTTTGCACATATTCAGGTCGACATACCTCAATATGTGCATGCATGGCTCTAACGTCCTCAGTCAGAGGGAGCAGGTCCGGAGTGTTCCACTTGGCTTGCCGGAGGGTCTGTAGGGCAGCAGAAGAAACACAGACGTCCCACCTCTTCTCAAAAAGCAGCCGGCTTCGTTGGAGGTTTTTAATAAATAGTTCATCAACACAATGCTCCATTTTTGAGTCACATTCAAGAATATCTGCTAGCTTTCTGAGGCTATGGCCGAGTTTGAGGGCCAAGGATGGAGTCTTGTATTGATTTGTTTCCTCATCATATCCAGCCACAGACCTGACTGCATCAATCACATGGTTAAAGTTGGAAGGAATAAAGAAATCCTTAATTGTTTTCAGTTTCCCTGCGGTTTTTGCTTCGTTAATTAACCTACCGACTTCTCTCATTTTCTGCCTAATGTAATCATGCTTTGTCTTATCATGCCCGTGTTTTAAGTACAGGTGCTCTCCGAGTCTCAGAATCCCCTTTTCTGCTTTGACAACACCCGTGACCTCATCCTGATGCATTGCCGAAATTAAAGACCACAGCTTTTTGCTGATGCCCTCCGGTACAGGCTGGGCTAGGGAGCAGAGGGACTGGACCCTACTTCTACCTGGTTTAGCCTGGGCATCTTTCTGTGAAAGCCGGCACCTGGCCACATGCCTCCACAGCGACTTTCGCTTAAGCAATGCCCCACAGTCTATACAGTGCAAAAACTCACTGGATTTAACTGGGCAATTTGGCTGTTTAGCTGGGACTAAAGTTCCAATGCCGGCCTTTAAAACCTCAAAATTGTGCTCACGGTTTCCACTATTCCTGATCAAATCAAACTGAAGTTTACGTGCTTTAGATTTCACAGGTAGAGCCAATGCTCTGGCTACGTCACTTTCATTTCCATGTTTTCTAGTCAAATGACGGGACATTTTGTGGCAGGACATTGAACAGTAGAGGCAGAAGTGTCTCTTGCTGTATACTCGCCCCCCATTTTTCTTCTTTTGCAGCTGCATGATAACAATCTTATTTGCCTTTGGTTCGTCACTTTCCGAGTCTTGAAGAAAAGTGTTTTTGATTTTTCTTTTTCCATACTTTTTTACAGGTTTCTTCTTGACAGTTAAATCGTCAGAATCTGAGTCGACTTCATCAATTAGGGACTCTTGACTAAGCTGCACAAACAACAAATAATTTGTAATCATTCTATATAACAATTTGAAGTCATGACTTGTAGTCAGCACTTACCAGTGGTTTGTAAGCGTGCGCTTCAGTGTGCTCCTCCATGATTTCTTGCAGCCTAATGAACCACACACTTGCACCTTTTTCTAGCCTGACACCTGATTTCCTCTGTTGTGCTGCTCCATGATTGGCTCCAGCCTGCTGGACTGAAATTGCCCCAGTGTGCCCCTCCTTGATATCCCGCAACCCACCACCAGGGTTCCGACACATAACACACTTTTTTCAGGAAAGTAAACCTCCAGGGGTCCTTTCCATATTTTTACAGAGACTGCATAAGGACCGTTAGAAAAGCATTACCCATTGATTATTAAGCTTGGACCAGTGGGGTCCGGTGTTCGGGCCCCACCACGTAAAACCAGTCCCCATGACGTGAGTGGAATCTCAGGTTATGGAACCCACCAGGAGTTGAAAACAAGTGCACGTATACACACACTCATACACACACACACACACGATCATACATACACACTTTCTGTCTATGATACACACTCACATTCACACATTTAAAGATACCTGTTGGCCAATGTTAGTGACTTTGTAGCTATATTTTTTATCTAATATCCAACATATTCATATAGTTGACAGTTTCAGATATGTCTGTGTGACCATTATTGAATCTACGGCCGCGGTTACCTGGACTTGAATAAAAAGACAGACAGGCTTCTATGATGGCCAAGAGTTTTCACTTGATTATTTACTTCATCATTACTGTCAGTGTGGTAACTAACTCTGTCTGTGAAGCCACACAGAGACATACAGACATTAGTAGAGTAGAGGTCAGGATATCAACACACACAGCATAGTTATTAGAGAGTGGGTTCTCTTTCATCTGTAAAAGTCATGTTTTCTTTTTGGTAAATTCTGTTTATTAAGATTGAGAGATCCTTTATTTGTCCCACAGTGGGTAAATTTCACTGCTGCATCACAGGTTACAGACAGAAGGAATGAAGAGCACACTGCACAAGAAAATAAAATTAAAATCTCTAACTCTAGCATAAGAAGGAAAGCCGTCTAAAATCTCCAACTTAAGCATGATAAACACTTGATTTTTTATTTTATAGTATACAGGAAATACTGATACAGCCTTGGTTTTGGATGTATAGTGATTGAAAAGTTTCTCCACAGTTTACACTACTTATGCCAACTGTTTTTATTTGTTGTTTTGATTTATCATACTTTCTAAAGCTATTATGCTGCTAAGTACACTGACTTGTGTCGGAGGTGTGTTATGTGGCGAATGTTAAGAACGCAATGGGTAATTGTTAAGGTGTAGTCCAGTCAATTGATTCTATTTTCAGTATTCTATTCTTTACCACGTCAAACCTGCTGTTCGGGTTTCCAGCGACACACATTGTGCGTCATACTCAGAGGAGCTACGTAGATGTTTAAGAAAGAAAGACACTTGTATAAAGGACATCCTACTGAAGCCACTGAGGCAAACAGTCTGTGGAGCGACGAGGGGGAACAGTCACTTTACCCTTGGATACTTTGTTTTCTCAGCTTCAACATGACAACCTACCAGGAGTTTATCCAACAAAACGAGGACAGGGATGGGGTAAGGTTCAGCTGGAACCTCTGGCCGTCCAGCCGCCTCGAAGCCACACGGCTGGTGGTTCCCGTGTCCTGCCTCTTCACTCCGCTCAAAGAGAGAACAGACCTTCCCCCTGTCCAGTACGAACCAGTGCTCTGCACCCGGGCAAACTGTAAAGCTGTGCTGAATCCATTATGGTGAGTATTTCATACAGCAAGGCATTATTATCTAAAAAATAATAATTTGAATTACACTTTTTGTTATTGTATATTGTATATATTTACTATGATTTTTGAAAACACAAACAAAAAGTGATAACTTTTTGTTTGTGTTTTCAAAAATCTTAGTAAATATAGGATTGACCGAATGATGTAGTTTAAAACAAGTTTATGAAATGCATGAATATGGTTTAAAAGACACAAAACATCAATGACAGACTTTCTCGATAGTTGATTGTTTGTGCAACTATCCCAGTTTCAATCACTTCGGAATAATATAAATACAAGATAAATAGTTTCTAAGCTTCATACATCCAATTCTATATTTGTTTTCCTTTTTTACAGTCAAGTCGACTTCAGAGCAAAAATATGGGCTTGCAACTTCTGTTTTCAAAGAAATCCTGTAAGTTGTAAATGCTATAATAATGTGTGCTCTTCTCATTGATAAAATTAGAAGAAATTGTTGCTCATGAGCCGTCTGTGTGCAGTTTCCTCCGTCTTACGCTGGCATTTCAGAAGTGAACCAGCCAGCTGAACTCATGCCACAGTTCTCTACCATCGAGTACATAGTGCAGGTAAATATACATGTCTGAACTCTGACCTGCGTCAAGTGTGTGTTCTGTAAATGTTCTGTGCAAAGGTGAATATTTAGAGCAGGGGTGTCAAACTCATTTTGGTCCGGGGGCCACATACAACCTAATCTGATCTCAAGTGGGCCGGACCAGTAGATGCTCTTCAAAAATATCCAAAAACGGTACAAAGTCCAACTTTTTGTGCACATAAACACATTTATTTAAAACTTCCTTTAAAACACTATCCTTTAATACTCAGTTTTCTGTTACAAACTTAAATGTAACAGTGAGTTTTCCATAGTGCAAATAATGTAACGTATTTACAATATTACATTGTAAATGGTATTTCACAATATGTATATTAATATTTGTATGTTAGCTTTGTTTTAAGGCTCATTACAGAGAAAACCTGCTCACAAAGGTAAAGTAGATAGAAAAAAGCACTAAAAACACACGCGGCACGGTGGCTGAGTGGATAGCACTCTCGCCTCTCAGCAAGAAGGTCCTGGGTTCGAATCCCGGTCGGACCAGGGCCTTTCTGAGTGGAGTTTGCATGTTCTCCCCGTGTCTGCGTAGGTTTCCTCCGGGTACTCCGGTTTCCCCTACCACTAAAAATATGTCCAATAGTTCTAGCATGCGCTTCCTGTACTGGCCCCTCCCATCTCTGTGTGGAGTGAGAGACAAATGCACAAAAATTAACAATTGTAAACCGCTTTGAGACTCAGATCTGCAGTGAAAAGGCGGTATATAAATAAATACTTACTACTACTACTACTTACACAGCACCTCATCCATGGTTATGTTATTATCACATTAACCATCTTCAGTGTGGTAAGGTCCATGGTTATGTTATTATCACATTAACCATCTTCAGTGTGGTAAGGTCCATGGTTATGTTATTATCACATTAACCATCTTCAGTGTGGTAAGGTCCATGGTTATGTTATTATCACATTAACCATCTTCAGTGTGTAAGGTCCATGGTTATGTTATTATCACATTAAGCATCTTCAGTGTGTAAGGTCCATGGTTATGTTATTATCACATTAACCATCTTCTGTATGTAAGTAAGTTAGTAAGTTATTATTTATATACCGCCTTTTCACTGCAGATTTGAGTCTCAAAGCGGTTTACAATTGTTAATTTTGGGCATTTGTCTGTACTGGCAGGGTCGCCAGTACAGGAAGCGCATGCCAGAACTATTGGACATATTTTTAGTGGTAGGGGAAACCGGAGTACCCGGAGGAAACCTACGCAGACACGGGGAGAACATGCAAACTCCACTCAGAAAGGCCCTGGTCCGGCCGGGATTCGAACCCAGGACCTTCTTGCTGAGAGGCGAGAGTGCTATCCACTCAGCCACCGTGCCGCCCATGTATGGTAAGGTCCATGGTTATGTTATTATCACAGAGAAAGCATCAAACTGACCATGATTCCGTTGAAATGAATAAAACAACTTCCATAACGTGATCCATTCTTAACGACTGCAGCAGTGTCTCTGTGTAAAATACAGTCAAATGTCCAAAAATCATCACCTCCATTTGCAGCTTTGTCACTACACCTGTTTTTACCCGTCCACACTGTCCAACACACCAGCAACAACAGCAGAACCAGCAGCAGCAACAACAGCAGAACCAGCAGCAGCAACAACAGCAGAACCAGCAGCAGCAACAACAGCAGAACCAGCAGCAGCAACAACAGCAGAACCAGCAGCAGCAACAACAGCAGAACCAGCAGCAGCAACAACAGCAGAACCAGCAGCAGCAACAACAGCAGAACCAGCAGCAGCAACAACAGCAGAACCAGCAGCAGCAACAACAGCAGAACCAGCAGCAGCAACAACAGCAGAACCAGCAGCAGCGCTCAAAACTCCTCTGATAGTTTCAGTAACACCACAAATGAATATGTGACATCAGTAACATCAGTCTCTTATCAATGGCAACATGTTGGTAAAAGCGAGTGGTTTCTCAGACCATGTCTGCAGCCTGTGAGAGATTTAACAAACTCTCTCTCACTGTGCGGCTGCGATGCTAATGTTGTTAGCACAGGTAGCTTCCCTTTACAGCAGCAGAACTAACCTCTCGCTCTGGGCACAAACAGACTGCTGTGTCTTCAGGGCCAGACATGTTTATCTTCTGTTTTCTCTATTCTTCGCTCAAAGTGCCGTATTTTTCGCCGAGTCTTGTAGTTTAAGATGTTATTCCTTCAGCACCGCTCTGGTGGAGCCACTACAGATGCACTGGACTCACCCCTGAGCGCGGCGCTGCGGCGTCGCGGCGCCTCGCGTCGCGGAGCGGCTTTTTAAAATGTATTTTTATTATATTTTTACATAAATGAGCCACGGGCCGTGTCAAATCTCTTGGCGGGCCGGTTCCGGCCCGCGGGCCGTATGAATGACACCCCTGATTTAGAGGTTTCTTAGAAGTGACTGTAAATATTAGTTTTATTATTTTATAAAGATTGTATGCTTTTCCTTCTCTTTGCAGCGTGGTCCTCCAGCTCCCTTGATCTTTCTGTACGTAGTGGACACATGCTTGGAGGAAGAGGATCTCCAAGCTCTCAAAGAGTCTCTCCAGATGTCACTCAGCCTGCTGCCCCCCAATGCTCTGGTCGGCCTCATCACATTCGGCCGCATGGTCCAGGTTCATGAGCTCAGCTGTGAGGGAATCGCTAAAAGTTATGTTTTCAGAGGCACAAAAGACCTCACCTCCAAACAGATTCAGGTTTGTAGCAGCTTTACATGTTTTCAAGTGGAGCCTACACTCTGTATATGGATCTATGTTTGTATGCACACACAAATGATGTATTATTGTGTTTATTCTTCACTTTAGGAGATGCTTGGTTTAGGGAAGCCGACTGCCCAAGGACAGCAGGGGCGTCCTATGGCTCCTCAGGATGCTGCTTCTACCTGCAGGTGTGGACAAAACTGTTTTCAAAGCGTGTGTTGTTGCAATATTTGCTATGAATAATTGATTACTATTTAACTAGCCTATTTAGCATAGTATAACAATGTAAACACCTTTATTTGTACCACTGTGGGGAAATTTCAAACGTTGAATGTCAAACTGTTAATATTTGGATATGCTAATGATTTCATATTGATATAATGTTTGATGCGTAGGTTCCTGCAGCCTGTACATCGTGTGGATATGAACCTGACAGACCTGCTGGGTGAACTGCAGAGAGACCCCTGGCCGGTTCCTCAGGGAAAACGGCCTCTGCGCTCCACTGGGGTCGCACTGTCTGTGGCAGTTGGTTTGCTTGAGGTAAATACAAACAATGATTATTTTTCTTCAAACTGCTGCTCAGATACATGAATTAACCCTTGTGCTGTCCTCACTACAGTGATTCAAAAATACCCAAAAATTGTATTTTTCGAGCTGAATTTGGATGATTTTTATTTATAATAATAATTTTATTTGTAATTCTTGTGGGGTTGTAATTCTAAAAGATTCAGAATTTTTTTTTTCTTGGCTTCATTGTTTCTTTCATGTTTTTTTTCATACTTCTAATCTGAATCATCACATTGCCAGCATTTGACTTTACCTTTTGTTTCATTGTGACAGTGTTTATCACTGACGGTTATATAACTGATAAGTGATTGTGTCTCTGCTTCTTGTACTTTAGTAGAATGTCAGGGCTGATTAGTTTGTACACTTTGCTCTTCCAGCAGAGTCAACACTGGTTCTAAAGAAACATTCAGATAATGTACATCAGTCACGTGTGCTGTGGAATCACTGTTTTCTTACCAAAAACTATTAATTGTATAACTAGCTTCTTTCTTACACAGACCTTAACATCATGAGAATTTTTTTTGACTCAGATAATTCCATAATGACTGCAGACTGAAATGAAGATGTATTTACACAGTATTTCTAATCGAACAACCCAATGTTGACTAGTGATCTCTACAAAGACTTGCTCAGGGGCATCACTTGAGCTAATTATCAAAATGATTATTATTCACAATCTTGGTTTGATTCCATCTAAGATATATTTTCAAATGCATCTTCACTTGTGTATGAAGTGAGAAAGAAACAGATTTGAATGTTCAAATTCTTGTACAGTCAATGATAAGTAGGTCATGAGCTCTTTTTTTGTTCAGGAATCCTGCACTGCAACAAGGCACTATGAACTTTTTTTTCATATTCTTACGGTAAAGGTTGGATAACACGCTGTAACTCCAGCTGATGTGTCCGCAGGGCGCCTATCCCAACACTGGAGCTCGTGTGATGCTGTTTATTGGAGGGCCGCCAACCCAAGGCCCTGGCATGGTGGTGGGGGATGAACTCAAAACTCCAATCCGCTCATGGCACGACATCCAGAAGGACAATGCCCGACATCTCAAAAAAGCAACTAAGGTAAGTTAACATTAAGAAAGTTTGTCATGTATAGGGCCTTGAAAAAGTATTCATACCGAATTCAAGTTTTCACCTTTATTATGAAAAACAAAATTAAACTATTTTATGTGAAAGACCAACACAAAATAGTAGGACTTTGTGGAGTGAAAGCAACATTGGTTAATCAAAGAACATCTCACAACAGTGTCTGTTCTATACTCGGGCAACTTAGCCATGCACTGCACAAATCTGGCTTTTGTGGAATTATGGCAAATGAAAAGCCAGTGCATTTTTGTATTATTAGTATTATTTTATTGGCCTATTGTTTTGTGACAGCTTTTCTTCAGCGGGGACAGGTTGACATTGTACGTACTATGAAATGGTTAACAACAAAACATGTGTAAGAATTGCAGAGTTTTATTCTAGACCTAAATATAATCAAGAAACTGTGGCAAGATCACAGCGTCTCTATCGAATGTAACCGAGCTTGAGCTGAAAAAATAAAGTGGTGGGTTTCAAGTCTAGAAGATGTACAAAGCCGGATCTGTAATCGGAGCAAGGGGGTTCCGTAAAGAATGGGCTCAGGGGGGGCGGCTGAATAGACAAAGCCATGAATGATTTTGCTCTTTCTTCACAATTGTCTTCACTTTGCAATTGATCGTCACACATTTTTAGATTTCTGATTTTAATATGTCTGTTCTTTGTCATGTACTGTCTGTATCAAATAAATTCACAATAATTCTAGTAAAATACCTTCATATTTGTGGTCATAACGAGACAAAAGTTTATGGGATATGAATACTTTATCAAATATCAACACAGTGATCAATCATGCTCTTTATGCATCTAATATTATGTTAAATGTTTCCTAATTACAGTATCACGAAGCCTTGGCCAATCGTTCAGCAGTAAATGGCCATTGTATCGATATCTACGCATGTGCCCTGGACCAAACCGGGTTGTTGGAGATGAAATGCCTGTCTAATCTAACCGGGTACGTACTCTCTGACACAAGACTTGAGTATCGTGTTTAAATAATAACAAAACACTAATAATGTATGTCTGCGCTGTGATCAGGGGTTATATCGTGATGGGAGACTCTTTCAACACGTCACTTTTCAAACAGACTTTCCAGAGAGTTTTCAGTAAGGATTTTAATGGAGATTTTCGTATGGCTTTCGGCGGTGTCCTGGAAGTCAAAGTGAGTCGATCCCACGATGATAATGGAACAGTTTTGTGTTTCATCTCTTTAAGTGTTGTCGTAAGCTGCTAACACTGGCTTACTAACCTACTTTTCAGACCTCCAGGGAGCTGAAAGTGTGTGGCGCTATTGGGCCTTGTGTTTCACTCAACGCTAAAGGCCCCTGTGTCTCCGAGAATGTGAGTCACTGCTGCTATGGAGATAACCATATCCAAACATTTCCTTTAATGTAACGTGAGAAATGTACCTTCCGCGTCATTGACTCTGTGTCTGTGTCTAGGAAATGGGCATTGGAGGCACAACCCAGTGGAAGGTATGCAGCCTTAACCCGTCTTCTACTTTGGGGCTTTACTTTGAAGTGGTTAATCAGGTACGTCAAACTTAAACAGCCCAGAGTAAAACGGTTCAGGAAAATTGCGTGTTTAATGTTCTGTTTTTAATCTTCGTTTGCGTAGCACAATGCACCCATCCCCCAGGGAGGACGTGGAGCTATCCAGTTTGTAACTCAGTATCAACATTCTAACACTCAGAGGAGGATACGTGTCACTACCATCGCTAGAAAGTGAGTCCTACTGGGTTTTGTGTGCTGTGCAAGGTTACTATGTGTCAAGGTAAAATAACATAAAAACTTGTTCTGTAGAATGTGGAAACCAATTAAAGCTGTACAGTTATATTTAGTCAGGTATTCAAACCAGGATGTTGACATTCCAATAGTTCATTTGAGCATGTGCGTCATTCCTCCACACCCTTGAGTTGTACCTGCCTCACTAACTTTAATCTTCCTGCAGCTGGGCCGACGCACAGTCTCAGATTCAACACATTGAGTCGTCATTTGACCAGGAGGCGGCTGCGGTGCTCATGGCCCGACTGGGAGTGTTCCGAGCCGAGTCTGAGGAGGGGCCAGATGTCCTGCGCTGGCTCGACAGGCAGCTCATCCGGCTGGTGAGGCCTTCCCTCTGTACATGTGTGCAGCGGCCTATAGTATATATTTGTTTTTGCATTATATTTAAACTTCTTTATTGTTGCAGTGTCAAAAATTTGGCCAGTTCAACAAAGAAGATCCTACCTCGTTTAGACTCTCCGAGTCATTGTCCCTGTACCCACAGGTAATTCTGCCACCTAGAGGAAAATGATCAGTTGTATGTTTTATGTATATCGCTTGTTTAGTCCTTATTAATCTTGCTCTTCATTTGTTGCATTTGTTAAAACCTATCATTTTTGTACAATTACAGTTCATGTTCCACTTGCGGCGGTCGCCCTTCCTGCAGGTCTTCAACAACAGTCCAGATGAGTCGTCTTACTACAGACACCACTTTGTCAGACAAGACCTGACCCAGTCACTCATCATGATACAGCCCATTCTCTACTCCTACTCTTTCTATGGTCCTCCAGAGGTCAGCCTCCCATAATACACCTCACATCCTCATGATCCCTTTATGACACTTATGGCGTGAGCTAAGTTTGTGTTGTGTTGTAGCCTGTGCTCCTGGACAGCAGCAGTATCCTCCCAGACAGAATCCTTCTCATGGACACTTTCTTCCAGCTGGTCATCTACCATGGGGAGGTGAGGCTGCATCTATTGTCCCGGGGACTTATTTCTAAATTGTGTTGAGCTGTTATGTTTGTACGTACCCTTAGGGGTATATTTATCCAGGTTTATTACTGCGTGTTAAACTGTTTGCTCCAATCCAGTGCTAATCACCTTTGCACACATGCAAACCCATGATAATTACCCCTTGAAGTACACATACAACATAAAGCTTTATAGACAAAGCCCCTGGCCTTGTTCCTTCTCACAACTAAACTGTGTCTGTTTACAGACTATTGCTCAGTGGAGAAAAGCTGGATACCAGGAAATGGCAGAGTATGAGAACTTCAAGCAGCTGCTACAGGCTCCTCTGGACGATGCTCAGGAGATTCTACAAACACGTTTCCCGATGCCGCGTTACGTGGACACAGAACACGGGGGCTCGCAGGCGCGCTTCCTGCTGTCTAAAGTCAACCCCTCTCAGACCCACAACAACCTCTACACCTGGGGACAGGTAATAAAAATAATAATACATCAAACTTATAGCGGTTCTTTTAGACACTCAAAGATGCTCCAAACGGACACATCACCAAATTAATTTGGTCTAATGTACAGTATGCTTGGCTTTGAGCTGTAAACGGTCCTGGATTAACAATGCTTCTAAAAATGGGATGTTTGTGAAGCTGAAAATAACATTAATCCTTTATTTCCCAATTTAACGACAAACTGAGTCATAACCTCTCACATACAAATGCTTAGAATACAGCTGTTCGTTCAGAGCTGAGATTATTGAGGCTCTTGCATAAGCTCGTGGCCACAATAAACATGTCTGGGCAATGACTGGATTACGTCATCGACAAACCGTATTCAGAGAGTATTCCTTGTCTTTTTTTGCAGGAGACGGGAGCCCCCATCCTCACGGACGATGTGAGCCTGCAGGTGTTTATGGACCATTTGAAGAAACTGGCAGTATCCAGCGCGGCGTAAATCTCCTCTGTACAACAGTGAGAAGGAGAAAACAGATTATTCAAATTAAATATTTTGGATCCATAACATTTCCCTGATTCTGTGAAGGAGTCGCATCCAGAGAAGCCTGGAGGTGGAAGAATATACTGTATGTGTTATTTAGTTTTTACTTTTTTTTTTTTTTCAAAATAATAACGTAAATAAACATTCCAGTATCAATTAGTTGGAGCAAGTCATGTCTAACAACACTGTATTAACATTTGGACCTTTTTTAAAATAATCAAATATAGATCTGGTTTGTCTGTCCAAGTTGAGCAATAATTGTATGATATGAGATAAGTTTGATAAGTTGAATGAATGTTTTAATTTTATCATTTTATGTGTTTGTCTAAACTATTATTACCGCGTGTAGGTATTGCTACTGTAAACTTAAAGCAAATGTCTGCTTTGTCTATAGTAAAAGAGGTCTTGACTTTTCTCATGAATAAATTATAATGTACATCTGATGGGCTGTTTTTCATTTTAGATGTTCTAAGAAGGATTCTAAGAAAAACAATTGGTAGTGATTTATTGGTGTTGGCCACCATCTGGCCTTTTGAAATGTCTCTCTAATCTAACTTTATTGGATTTTTAGGACCCAGCTCAGCCGTCTTCCTTTATATTCTTAATTTGTGATGGATAACAAGAGATTACAGTTTATTAGTGATTAGTGCATAATCCGAGACACACAAAAGACCTTCATAGCCACATTCATTGATCACGTTTCGTTCATATGGCTCTACATTTTGCTGCTTTATAAAACACCTTTCTGTCTTATAAAAAAATAAAATACAAAAAATTGCTCAAGTATAAACAACTAATCCTTTAACCTGCTTCATTTTATTATCGTCTTTTGTGATTATTTTTCCAGTGTATCAGACTTCTTGAGCAAGTGGACGAGGTGTGAGCTCATTTCTGCAGATTGGAAATGACACTCAACAATTGTCTTTTTCTCATTCGTTGCATCTGAACACAAAGCCTTCAGTCACACAATCCGAGTGGTAAAGCCCCTCACACACCAGGGACTGGCTGTAAGCTGATCCCAGAGCACCCAGACAGTATGATTTCGAGGATCAGTGAACCAGGATTATGAGGATTAATCCTTCAGGGCGATCTGTTTAGAAGAAAATTCTCTTCGCAGCTTTAAGGTGACGTGCTGCTGAACTGTGTAAGTGTCCATCAGGGGTACTGTACATTGAGGAGGCATGATGACATTCGTAATTAAGGCAAATAGGTGACTATTTGGGGGAATGGGGGGAGTTCTCATCGGACTAATTACTTTGTTCTCATTGTTATTCTTATTTTTGCCTCTGTCACATCTCTAGATCAACCTTTGGCAGAAGGGAAAAGACCACCCTCACTCAGCCAATCAGGGCTCAGCGGTGACTGACAGGACTCTTGCTTACAATTCTCCAATGATAATGTGTTTTCTAATTAAACTAAGTTCACAATTTATCCTCTTGGGGAAAAATTACTTGTATTATTTATGGTACAGCATTGGCCTTTGGGCCTGAAGGTTGTGGGTTCGAGCCCACCTAGAGACCTACTTCATGACTCCCACTGATGATTGCTGTCGTTGTGTCCTTGGGCAAGACACTTACCCCACATTGCCTGAAGCCCAGTGAGGGGCTGGTGCTCTGTGTACTGGGTGCAGCTCTGACTGCCACCCCCTAACCCAGAAATGGATAAAGGGGACGAAGATGGATGGATGGCGCAGAGACAAATGTAAGTACAATATATTTGTGCTGTTATCGTCCCTCTTCTCATCACTGGTCAGAAATCATTGACCATAACTGTCGACTGGTTGGTTGCAATAGTCTTGCTGTAAAAGTCTGCTCTGTGACGTCTCCGGTGCAGATAGTGTAAATCTCATTCCTTTCGTACGTCAGAGCTCTCATTCATGATGCTCGCGCCCATGTGATTCAGGCTTAGCCAAAGCTGTAAAGAAATGTGTTGTCTTATTATCTCTCATCAAATCCTAACAGATTCAGGCTGCACAGGGCAAAGGCTGGAGAAATCCATTCTGGCTTTTGTCCCAGATATGTTATATAAACACTATGGCATATGTGTTTACGTAACACTCGTCACCTCTTCTCACAAGCCTTTTTTTTTTTAATATTGACTGTGAACTGGACCAGACTGAAGATGTCTTCATCAAGCGTAATATTGGGGAAATGCACCTTAGAAGCAGCCACACCAGTGCTTCAACACTTTCAATAGTGAAACATGTGATGCTGCAGAAGGCTTTAAACTCTGTAATGTGTTTGAACAGTTTTCCATCAAAACCTGAAGTGTGTTTTTATGTTTACTAATTTATAAATGACTCAAGAGAGTAACTTAGCGACCAGATTTAAGGGTTTGAGAACCCGATGACACACATCACTGCAGTTTTTTGCGGTGAGCCAGGGTGTGTGTGTGTGTGTGTTTCATGACCCTTTAAGGTGAGATATAAAGAAATGTTATGTTACTTTCCCCTTTGATGTTGAACTTTGTGTGTCTCCAAGACTTCAGCCTAACTTCCAGTACAGAAGGGATTAACTGCACCAATATGAGTAAACTCAGAGTAAACAGCCTCTCATCATCTGCAGAGGATACAAGCACAGCAGCAGAGCCAAGTGCACTGACTTACAATATGGTCCCTATTTTTGAGTGACTCTCACTAAAAGCCAAGGGGCACGACACGGCCATGTGTTTACCCAGGATGTGCCTGTTATCCTATAGTAATGCCTCTTTTTGGAAAACACCCAATACTGCGTGCTGTTTAATCACATCCATCATTTGTGCCTCAATAAGCCACATAGAGGAGTTAATAATCCTGCACCATGATTAGAGAGGATGTAGCCCTTGACCCTAGTTCACCTATAGCTCACATAAGGTGTCACTTTCTGCAGCTTTAAACCACAAAGTGCAATGAGTTGTGTGGAGGAACTGTATGGATAAAACAGTACACAAACAAACTCTGACGTGATAAACACAGGTTCTGGCGAGCTGTAGGTCTAATCAGAGCAGAGCATTAGTTAGATACGTAGCAGTTTTTCTGTTCATAGTGTAAGTATATACATTTTTAAAAAGTTGGCTACAACGTGTTGGGCCAGAAAATTAGAAACGTCACTGCTCACTCTTTAGATGTGTTGACCTCAAGGGGTGATAGGGTCCCACATTGAAGAGGCTGTAATCGGGGTGAGCTGGCTGGTGTAAGATTGGAGGGAGGAGAGCAGCGCTTATGGCAGAAACACGCACACAAGAAGAGGGAGATGGAGAGAGCGAGAGAGAGGAGAAAATCCTTGTGACACTTCAAATCCTTTGCCAACGTGACTTCCTGCGTCTGCTCATGGGACAGCGCGTCGTCTATGGTGCTGAGGCAAAGTGCGCTTGAGGCACTTGAGCTGCAGAAGAGTGAGGTGTCTTGGGTACTTTTCTGAAACATGCTGTAAAGTGCCAAATGGGACCTGGTCTGGGAGAGGTAACGCGCACCTGCGACCACAGTGCGCTCCTGAAGCTGGGACCATGAAGACGACGCGCAGATGCAGGACCCTTCTGTCGGTGGGACTCAACTTCTTCGCGCTCTTCTTCTCCATCACGGCGTTCATCACCACGTACTGGTGCGTGGGGACGCAGAGGGTCCCCAAACCAAAGTGCAGCAAACTCAGGACGCATCAGTGCATTGACTACGGAGTGAACGAGACCGACCCCAACAAAGTGGTGTACAGCTGGGAGACCGGGGACGACCGCTTTCTCTTCCGCCAGTTCCACACCGGGATCTGGTTCTCCTGCGAGGAGAACATCCACGATGAAAGTAAGAGTCATGTGGGGAAATATATGTATATGATATGTGTCTTTTTATTGTTCCCTGTGTTTCAGGAGTTTACGATTTAGAAATCCTTAACACAGAAGGCCTTTAAAACTATTTAAACATATTCAAATTTGATATAGGAAAACCTTTTCAGTGTTGCATATTGTGGCACAAAGTCGAGGGTCTGTACCTTTTTAACTCTATTACATTTTAATGAATCACTGGTTGGAGACAGATGGAGGCAATTTGGGATTCTTGAAAATAATTTATTTGTAATTTGCAGTAAAACCATATTAGAAAAACTGTGCAAGACTACCCCAGTGTGCACCAAATAATTTGTAGGCCTTTGTCTTCTACAATGAGGAATTTGCTTTATTAAATGTTTGACTACAAAATGGTAGGAATCAGTGTTACTCTAAAGTTTAAACATATTACAAAATGTTCATGTTCAACTAGTAATTCTTACTTATTTACTTTGTGTTACTTTTAGTCCAAAACACTAATAACATTAAACTGGCAGACTTCAAATGTCTGCGATCTAAGTTTGGTTTCAAATACTTCCGGACACAAGACATATTCAACCATGATCATCTTTATCATCAGATTAATTGTAAAAGGTGGGCAAACAAATGAAATGTGCACTTTTGATTGACAGCTCATTGATTGCTCACAGTAAGTCACAACACTGTAGGCTATTCACAGATTTCACATTCCCCAGAACTTGTAAGATTTGTCTCGTTGAAAAATCAATTTATTAAAAAGAAAAGACAGAAAATCCCATGACTGACTTATCTCACTGGGATTTACAAACCGGATAAAAGTGCATCATCACATGACCGGTGATCAGGGCGGTCCACTCTTGTGTGTGTGTGTGGGTCAGAAGATCAGAAGTCGAGAAGTCAGAGGTGAAAGCAGCCAATCAACCTTCAGTGTCGGAGCCTGAGCCTTAATCAACCCCTGATGTTTGCTTCAAATGCATTTACCTTGTGTACATAAAGGCCGCTGAATTGTGATGATTTAAGTTTTAGCTGACACGTCTTTCCCTCATCAAGTGTCTGTGCAGCGAGGGCAAGTGAGACAGCTTGAGTTAATAAGGATTATGTAACTCGGCCCTTGATGAGTTTTTCCTCAAAACAGCTGTTACCACCCTTCTTCTACCTGATTAATGTTCCACTTGCAACAAATCCAGCCACACGCTCAGCTCAGCAGAGAAAACATGCAATCTAAATGAATATACAGAGCTCTTTATCAGCACAATGGGCTCACACACACTGCTTGAGTTGACATCAATTAAACGACAATATTATAATTGTAAACACTGTTGTAATTCTGTGTTAATACCTGTAATTCTTCTGGAAAACAGACAGCTGTGGTGTGTCCATGCCAAAGCGCCATCTGCTATCACAGAATCCACCCAAAAAGCTGCTGAACATATGCCTAATATTCAACTTAATCCAATCCTAAACTTCTGGTTTTTCCTCATAATCTGCTCCGGAGTGTAGTGGCACACCTGGATGTATCAGGGATAAGATTAGGACGGGAGCAGTCATACTTTGACTTATGCGACTGCTCTGGTCACATCTGTTCAACCCAAAAGTCAATCCTGTCGACCTCTTGCATTACCCGGCTCAGCATTACCCAGCACAGCAGAGTTCACTGTTTCTAAAGCCTGATCAAAAGCTAATGCCTTTGTTTACTTTCTTTGTCAGGTGAAAGATGCCGGAGCTTCATTGACTTGGCTCCTGCTTCAGAGAAAGGTAATGGTCTGGATAGTTTACAATGCCAGTCTTATTACTCAGATTTGTGCTTCATAAAGATCCTGTAGAATATTGCGGGTGTTCCTCGGTATTCCTCAGCCGTATGAATCTTGCGTGGAGGAGAGTTCCAACAGGTGTGTGTCCATGTGCAGGGATGCTGTGGCTCTCACTGGTCTCAGAGATGCTCTACATTGTGCTGCTGGTGGTGGGCTTCAGCCTCATGTGTCTGGAGCTGGTGCACTCCAACAACATCATCGACGGACTCAAACTCAACGCGTTTGCTGCTGTCTTCACTGTGCTCTCAGGTACTCTCTCGTGAAGAAAGCCATATTTCACCTATAAGAACATACATGAAACGTACATGTTACATGTTAATTGTGAGGCCTGGATCCATCCAAAAACATTCACATTTAAAATGTTGGCATTTTTTTCAAACTATGAGTTTTGTAACGTTTCTTTTGAGTGAAAAATATTCATACTTGGAATAAAATATAAATGCAGCGCTTTATTTTGGGTGTCTCTATCAGATATTGTTCACAAAAACATCTAAATATGTTTCAGTGAACACTTTAATCCAATCCATCCCACCTCACATGCGTGGCCCTGTCCCCACATGATGCTGATTGGACAGCATGCTGAAGGGACGGGGTACACTTAGACATGATGAGAATGAGGCCATGCAAGAGCTGGGAGTTTTTCAGTTTATTTGGTACAGATCCTTGCAACACAGCGGTGAGCCTCAGGATCTCCTGTACCTCTGTGAGGAGCCACACAAACTGTCTGCCCTCTGCCCTGGACACTGAGAACTGGAATTGATCCGTGAAGAGAATGCATCAACAGAAAACATCTAATAGAACATACATGTATGTCACCCGCTGAGCAGGTGTGGGATGAGGAATGCTCTGGACTACTCTATACAACAATGTGGTCCAGTTGCTGCCAATATCCAGCATCTTTGTCACAATAACCTCCTCCACTCTATGTGAAGGAAATGTGGCAAATGGTGGTGACACGGTTAGTGACTGGTTTTCAGACGTCTCAGACCAAACATAAAGGACAAAACCTGAACAAGCTCTTAGAGTGGCCGTTTGTTGTGGTCAGTCCAAGACACACCTGCAGTACTCACACTGTCTAATCAGCATCATGACACCAGTGACCCTGGTGTGGCACATCAATATTTATAATTTTAGGTTAAACCAGTGAAATATGGGAGAAAGGCACTGCCTTTATATTTGTGTTCAGTGTACACTGTACATAGTACAGGGCCTTTAAAGCTTGGAGTGGTCAGCAGTAAGGTTGATCGTGTGTTTGGTTGCAGGTCTGCTGGGGATGGTGGCTCATGTCATGTACACTCAGGTGTTTCAGGTGACAGTGAGCCTCGGCCCTCCTGACTGGAGACCCTACAACTGGGACTATGGCTGGTCATTCTGGTAAGAATTTGTGGCGTCATGTTTTACTCTGCTCTACTGAATAATTAAACTAATCCTGTTCACACTTCTTAGGGAATCATCCTGGGGTTTCTTTTTCCCAAAATAGTGGGTCATCGACTTTCACCTCTTCTTAGCAACACTGACGCTAATGAAAAAGAGCCAAAGCTCTCATGTTATGGCCGGATTAGGCTTTGGTTTTTAAAGCCCCAATATGAAATATGATTGGAATTGCATAAGGGGATAATATTTCATTTATTTTACAGTATGCTCACAATGTGAAAAATCTTGTTTTCAGGACTCACAATTCTTAACCTTTTGTGATTCCTGCGTGTGAAACATGACAATATGAATTACCCAATCCTTGAGAGTGAACAAATCCAGGGAGACTGACACCAATTACGGCTAACACACGTCGGAGCACAGTGGTAAAATGCTGTTATGTAGACCAACATAAAACATAAAGCTAAAGTTTCAGAAGTGACTTTTATGGGCATTTGAGGGATAGTAATTGATCTTGCCTAACTGGAAGCCTTTGACTTTAGCATGTATTTTAAGCTTTAATACTAATTGATCTGACTTTTTTCTTTTTCCGCAGTATGGCGTGGGCCTCCTTCACCTGCTGTATGGGCGCCTCAGTCACTACTCTCAACTCTTACACCAAAACAGTCATCGAGTTCAGGCATAAGCGCAAGACATTTGAGCAGAGCATTCGCGAAGAGGATGCCCGAGAGGCGTTTGGATACTTCAGAGAACATTCAGTGCACTCCATCTCCAAATCTGTGGAGGTCTACCCCAGTCAGAGCAGCCAGAGCGTAAAGAGTGGAAGAAGGACCCCCATACCAGCACACTCTCCGGACCTGAGCGAGCGGGGCTCCTTAGGAGAGGAACAATGTTGAAAATGATTATCTTTTGTGGCATGTTGTCGCCTCAAGAGTCTTAGGACTATTGGATGGACGGTGAGCACTGACACTTGAACCAACAGAGAGCCAGATTTTGCATAGTTTGAGTGAATTATGCCTTAATCAACAAACACTTGACATGTAGCTGTTGATACTGGTGGAGTTGATGACATTTTTAGGAGCTGAAAATGACACACAAAAAATATTTCTGAGGTGCTTCTAGCCTTGTGGAATCATCATAACAGAGGACATGCAGTTTTAAAGTCAGCTTACAATTGCTTAAATATGTGCCTACATAAAGTACAAGACTCATAGTAAACCTGCAAACCTTTGGAGTGTAACATAACTTCACTTTTTATGTCCCTATTTCAATGTGTTCCACACCTTAACTGCGCATGTGTACAACTACATGCTATATATCGATGTCTCACACACACACACACACGCATTTATAGTAAACATTGTGAGTCAATTTGATGTTTCTACATTTCAATAAATCTTGTGTTGAAAATTGCCGAAGACGTATGTAGTGCAAGTTTGCGTCCACCAGAGGGCAGTGTTGCAACACGAGTAAAAGAGAGAGAGTTTATTTGTATAGTGTTTCATCATATAATCTCATTCAAATATTATTACATATACAGAGGTGTGTACATACAGAGGTGAACCCGCACTCTCCTGTCTGCACCATAAACCATTTGTTCTTGTTTTTTACAGAAAAGTAATTTACAGTAGTTTCTAAAGGATCAAATCTTAAAATGACATTCCTAAACTGCCACTGGTTGTGGGCCCGCTTTTTGATTGGTTTCATCTAAATGTTGTTTTGTCTGCATAGTTATACAGCTTGTCACTAAACTTTCCTTTTACATTGGAAACGAGCATGTAACTTCACTTGGCTACAAATATTTATGTGGAGAGACAAGTCTTCTCACACTAAAGCGCATGTTCTATCCCAAACGAAGAGAGATTTCAAGCAAAGCAGTACAATTTCTATGGCACGAAGCCGGTATCGAACCACTTCACCAACAGCAGGTCACCGCCATGACAGTTCAGGGACGCATCTGTAATATTCAAATAGTTTTTCCTTTATCTTCTGCTCAGTACCCATCGTCATACTCATTTTGAGCCTGTTGCCGTGCCAACATAGCTTGAATGAGAGCGCTGGATGGGGCAGGGTTTTGTGGTGCCGCGGGGAGCCTCTTCATCCTCTTCAGCTCCTCCTCCTCTTCCTCCGCCTGCTGTCTGGCCTGCATCACCTGCATCATGACGCTATTCACAGAGGTGGGACTGTTGACGTCCTCCTCCGCTGCGTGGCGATAGTTGACGTGGTTCTCCGTAAACCCGGCCCTGCTGTAGTACTCTCCTCGTGTCTGACTTTCAGCTCTCTGTCGGGCCTGCATCGCCAGAGCCAAAGCGCTGGATGAGGATTGAGGCATGTCGCTGGTGTCATAGAGGTGCTGATGAGGTGGGGGATCTGGGAGTCCCCTTGTCCTCAATCTCTCCTCTTCTTCCTCTGCTCGCTGTCGGGCGAGCAAGACCTGCACCATTGCGTTGGAGTTAGAGGAGCCGCTCGAGGACAAGTCTTCTGCGTGTGGCCTGGTTTTGCTCTAGAGAAGAAATCAAAATGTTTCGATGAGTCCACAGAGGAACTGAACTCAATACATATATATCACCATATATATTCAAAACATGTAACAATACAAAGGCATACTGAAACAACCTTAACCATACAGTATAAACATAAACTCATAACTAATAACCAATTTTAACCTGCTAGATAAGTGTATTATTGACTTCATTAACATACATTTTGGTCAAAACATTAAATCAATAAAAATTTAACGTTGTTTCAGTGCTATCCATGCATCAGGAATGTATCAATGTAAATTCACAGTATCAGAATACAAATCTGTTTCTGTGAATTAGACCCTATCGGATTCACATGAATGCAAACAACAAACCTTTCTGTTATTATTCTGTTTGGGTCTTTGGTTTGGCTGAGATTTCTGGAGGTTCTGCAACTTTTCCAGCAAAAACGATTTGTCTTTCCCCTCCTGGGAAATATAAACAGGATGAAGAAAATATTATAGATTTTATTTTATTTTTATTTTTATACGCCAACACACTTACATTGACAATCTGTTGTCGTAGATGCACAATGAGTTGCTTGCGGCCTTGACTCACTTGCCAGAAAATGTATACAATAATTCTGTGAGGAAAAAGCAGGGTACAAAATGACATGAATAATGTTTGTTCTATATTGAGATTCTCACATTACATGAATATACAGTTATTTAAAGGTGGGGTAGTTAAGCTTCAAAACCGCATAATATAGAAGTATGCAATAAAATCCATCTCACTAGATCCTTGCTCTTAAACCACCCCTCCCTCAGCCAATCAGCAGCCTGCATACAGCTGCTCTCTCAACAAATATGAGCAAAACTTAATATGTGATATGAAATATGTTTTATAATCAGATGAAGACAGCATGTTGTGGTTTCATTTGTTCACAAAACTTTACTTTAACAAAAAAACTACTTCTATTGGTGAAAATGTATTACTTATTAAATATAGACGTGACGTAGTCCACCTTTAGGTACAGTAAGCATGATCTGATATCCCCACGTAATTGAGAGTTCAGGATCAATGTCAAAGTTGACCCGGGACTCTTATCCCTAACCCAATGAGCCCTCCCCTGATTGGTTGGCTTTAGCATTGAGCCTCGGCAAACCTCTTTGATATTGAACCTGGACTCTTAATTACTTGGTGATATCTTAATTACTTTTAAAGTGAATGTCAGTCACTCAAATTGTCAAGAGGGAGTGAAACTTAAGTCCAGCACTGGTTAGACCCGCCCTTTCTCACCACTGCAGCCTCCTGATTGGTTTGATATTAATTAAAATCCATTTGACCCCTTGCCAGTGGTTTAATCCTCCAACAAATCTTACTGGTTGTAGTTATGCCAAGAGAATGGACAATTTTAAACGTACATATTATCGTAATTGAAAAATACTGTAGCGACAGTAGCTCAGTTGGTAGAGCATTGGCCTTAAGGCCAGAAGGTCGTGGGTTCATTTCCCACCTCTGCACCTTCTCCACCGACTCCCACTCATGACTGCTGTCGTTGTGTCCTTGGGCAAGACACTTAACCCCACTTTGCCCAAAGCCCCCGCTGAAAGATCAAGGCTATGCTCACACTCAGAGAGCAGCCGTCCTCCTGTGGACTCACCACCTGCAGAGGGTCAGTGAGGGGCTGGAGCTATGAGACTTGGGTGGCATCTCTGACTGCCACCCCCCTGACCCAGAAATGGATTAAAGGGTAGAAGATGGATGGATGGATGGAAAAATACTGTACATAATAGTAAATTGTCCCATGAACAATTTCTTTGGACATGAACTTTAAAGCTGCACTAACTGACTTTGAGAAATGTTCAAATGTGAGCGGTGAGCTCGCTCTTTTGGCTCGCCCTCCCCGCACCCACGGAGTTTTTGAACATGGATGGCGTGACCATAGAATGATAGAACCGGGAAGCGCGGAGGAACGAGACTTCCTGTTGGATGGATGTTTTGCTGTGTAAGCAGTAACCGGTAACAAAGACACAGGAAGCTTCAGGTTAGCCTCCGCCGCTTGTTGTGCTAACTCAGCTGTCTGTGTTAACGAAAGATCTGTGGCTTTTCTCAAGAAAGTGGGGACGTATATCCCAATGCACTGTATGGATATGGATTGAATTTTTGTAATGAATACAAAAATAAAGTGAGGTAATGCAGCTTTAAGTACATATAAAAAGTAATAATGCTCTAAATGCAGCTCCACAACACACTGCACTGTTTACTTCATTCCTGAATCATCATGTATTTGTTTAAGTTGTCATAAAATACTGGTGCTATGTGTACTGGGTGCAGCTCTGACTGCCACCCCCCCGACCTAAAAAAAAATTAAGGGGAAGAAAATGGATGGATGGAAAATACTTACAAAATGATAATTGAGATGAGGAAATAAAAGACTTCGCTCCTGATGATTTTCTGGTAGATAAACACAACCCACGAGGATCCAGGGATCTGTCGCAGGTCGTCAATCCACTCCTCCACCACACTGAAGGTGCTGTTGAGCCCCCTGAACGGGCCGCAGTGCTCTGAGGGCCTCAAACTAGGGGACAGAGAGACAGAAAAGAACTCTATATATTGTGCAGACAGTGTGTAGATGCTGTGTGTATGTGTGAGCGGCTCCTACCTCCAGGTTGTGTACCCCACTATGGCCAGAGCTCCCAGAAAGAAAGGGAAGAATAACAAAGCCGTGAAGATGGTTTTCATCTGCGCTGCTCTTCCTGTCCGACGCGGAGGCTGACAGTTCTGCATCAAGCTAACCTATAAAGACATACATCATACTATTTCAGCTCTCATAGAAGTGACACCAACTGGAGCAGAGTCAGGACCCAGTGTCAGGCCATATGACACCAAGCTGCCACTCCAAGGAGAACTGATTTTAGGATAGAAACTATTTGAAATATTGTCACTTTTCAAAAAAAATGTTCATAAGCATTGAACAATACTACAGAGCTGAAATTAACAGAAAAATAACTCGGATTAAACTCTGGAATCAAGGTAATTGACAATAAATCTTGAAATAAGAAATCTGCCAGCGGAGCGTTTATTCATTTTGTAAAATTTCATATATATTATTTTTCAAAATCAAGGGTATTTTGCAATAAGATTTGAGCTCTTTCTAGATAACCCTTTTGGCTTTGTAGCTGATAGATATTTTAAAAATGACCACTATCCACTCCTGACCCACTTTCGGATCCCGACCACCAGTTGAGAACCACTGGTTAAGAAAATGTCCCAAAATTGGTTAAGAGCATTTGAATTAAATAAAATGTGATAGTTAACTTGAAAAAATTAAACAATAGGGAACTTGGCTTGGTCCGACTGGAACAGGACTTTCATATTTATACAGATAATTTACCAAATTGACAATACAATCCTTTTATAAGTATTAAAATGTCCAACATGTTTAACCAAATGCTGTATTATTTGGTTTTCAGTTAAAACAACATTGAGTTATGACAGATCTGAATGAATAACAAACACCCATGAGCCATTTCCACCTATTCATGTCTCACCAGTCATTAATAAACTTTCCCGCTTTTTCCTGCAATTTGAAGCTGTCATAATCTTGAATAGGTTAGTCATGGCATACTGCATTATCAATAACCTCAGCTAAATGAACTTGTCTCGAATCAATAAACATTACACAGCGTCCTGCGTTGACCACACCGATGTGCATTTTCCATGACGCAGCACAAAAGAAGCCTTCACGATTCCTAAAAGGTTTGAATTAATCATTGACCCAGGAGCACGGACGGAGTAACGTGAGCCTCGAGCCACGCGGATATCAAGTGCATTGTGTCTGGATCTGGATGTGTGTCACTACGACCGCTCGGTTTACGATCAACGTGCTCTCTATTGGCTTTAAAACTACACTGCAGAACCAGGATATATACTGTACTGACGAGCATTGAGATTATATTCAGTTCACTGTAATTTATAATATAGCAAAAAGTCACAACAAACAGGCTGATTTAAAGATGTGACCGAGGCCAAATGATACATGCATGTGAAAACTAGAGAGAGAATTAAACTGATTATATTTATTTATTTATGTATTCATTGATTTATTTGATAGGGATAAGTGTACACAATCAACATGTGACACACTACAACATTTATAGCCAAGGCCAATTTGCAATGTCCGTCTTTAACACATTTAACACACATGTTAGATGGATTCTAAACCTAGCTTAGAAATCAGACCATGTGTGATGCTTACCCAGCTGCAAGTTTTTACAAGTTTGATAAAGAACATTCATTTTCATACGCAGACAAAGTAGCCGTAAATCTGGGGCTCAGCTGGTTTGAACTCTATCTGCGTCAGTTCTTGACTCAGCTACACTACAGCCTGTCTGTTCGGGATCTCTCCTTCTTTTGTGAATTTTACCTGTGTGAGATCAATAAAGTCTATATCTTATCTTATCTTTTCGGTTCTCCCATTCATCTATCTGCTTAATCCCTGGGCAAGTTGGTTAATCTGTTTTTCTTTATGGATCAATGATTGTTTTAATTGCTTATTTTTCTAATCTGCTGTTGGCAAATCAACCATTTAGTGAAACCTTTTGTGACGAATGCCGGTGTGATTTTGGGAGGTGTAGAAAAACATTGATTATAACTGATTGTTTACCTTCTTTATATAAAAGAGGATGAAAAACTTGAGGATCTGGATGGCTGGCAGAAGAGGAGAGAAGTAGATCCCAATCCTGTCCATAAAGGAAAACAAATTAAAATCTTGTCTGTCGGTGTCTATCAGAGTCTGTCAGTGTCGGTCAGTGTCTGTCAGTGTCTGTCAGTGTCTATCAGTGTCTATCAGAGTCTGTCAGTGTCGGTCAGTGTCGGTCAGTGTCTGTCAGTGTCTATCAGTGTCTATCAGAGTCTGTCAGTGTCGGTCAGTGTCTATCAGAGTCTGTCAGTGTCGGTCAGTGTCTGTCAGTGTCTGTGTCAGTGTCGGTCAGTGTCTGTCAGAGTCTGTCAGTGTCTGTCAGTGTCTATCAGAGTCTATCAGTGTCGGTCAGTGTCTGTCAGTGTCTGTGTCAGTGTCGGTCAGTGTCTGTCAGAGTCTGTCAGTGTCTGTCAGTGTCTATCAGAGTCTGTCAGTGTCGGTCAGTGTCTGTCAGTGTCTGTGTCAGTGTCGGTCAGTGTCTGTCAGTGTCTATCAGAGTCTGTCAGTGTCGGTCAGTGTCTGTCAGTGTCTGTGTCAGTGTCTGTCAGTGTCTGTCAGTGTCGGACAGTGTCTGTCAGAGTCTGTCAGTGTCGGTCAGTGTCTGTCAGTGTCTGTGTCGGTCAGTGTCTGTCAGAGTCTGTCAGTGTCTGTCAGTGTCTGTCAGTGTCTGACAGTGTCTGTCAATGTCTGACAGTGTCTGTCAGAGTGTGTCAGAATCTGTCAGTGTCTGTCAAGAGTCTGTCAGTGTCTGACAGTGTCTGTCAGTGTCTGTCAGAATCTGTCAGAGTCTGTCAGAGTCTGTCCGAGTCTATCAGTGTCGGTCAGTGTCTGTCAGTGTCTGTGTCAGTGTCGGTCAGTGTCTGTCAGAGTCTGTCAGTGTCTGTCAGTGTCTATCAGAGTCTGTCAGTGTCGGTCAGTGTCTGTCAGTGTCTGTGTCAGTGTCGGTCAGTGTCTGTCAGTGTCTATCAGAGTCTGTCAGTGTCGGTCAGTGTCTGTCAGTGTCTGTGTCAGTGTCGGTCAGTGTCTGTCAGAGTCTGTCAGTGTCTGTCAGTGTCGGACAGTGTCTGTCAGAGTCTGTCAGTGTCGGTCAGTGTCTGTCAGTGTCTGTGTCGGTCAGTGTCTGTCAGAGTCTGTCAGTGTCTGTCAGTGTCTGTCAGTGTCTGTCAGTGTCTGTGTCGGTCAGTGTCTGTCAGAGTCTGTCAGTGTCTGTCAGTGTCTGTCAGTGTCTGACAGTGTCTGTCAATGTCTGACAGTGTCTGTCAGAGTGTGTCAGAATCTGTCAGTGTCTGTCAAGAGTCTGTCAGTGTCTGACAGTGTCTGTCAGTGTCTGTCAGAATCTGTCAGAGTCTGTCAGAGTCTGTCCGAGTCTATCAGTGTCTGTCAGTGTCTGACAGTGTCTGTCAGAGTGTGTCAGAATCTGTCAGTGTCTGTTAGTGTCTGGTCAGAGTCTGTCAGTGTCTGTCAGTGTCGGTCGGTGTAGGTCAGTGTCTGTCAGTGTCTGTCAGTGTCTGTGTCTGTCAGTGTCTGTCAGTGTCTGTCAGAGCCTGTCAGTGTGAGTCAGAGTCTGTCAGTGTTTGTCGGTGTCTGGTCAGAGTCTGTCAGTGTCGGTCAGTGTCTGTTTTCTCACCAGGCCAACGTTTGAGCATAGATTATTTCCAAAACATTTCGAGCGACGTCAAACTCAGGAACTCCCAAACGAGGGATCAGACGAGTCCCGACCACACTGTGTGAAAGAAAAACATTTTAAATTCTCTAGTCTAGTCCAAACAAAAACACAACATAATGACTTAATGTGTGACTGACTTGCTGAGGAACTCTCCGAAGAAGGATCCCAACAACAGGAAGATGAAGTCGACGAGGACTAAGCGGTACAAAGCCTGCCCCACCACTGACTCCCAACACTGTAGAGATCATCCACATGAAATGACTTATAAACAATATGCGAAATGGACTTGTTTCATTTTTATTTTTTTACATATATATATATAGTTTCCCTTGTTTCCCTAGAATTGTTTCATTATGTAATCCAATTTCAAAAAGCCACACACTCGTAATTTGGCTACTGTTATGATAAAAAAGAGGTGAGAGTTTGTTTGTCCCAACAGAAAGTAAAAAGTTGTGAACAAAAAGGACTATAATGTGGCGTCTTCATATTATTGTAAATGTTATTGTTTGTTTACTTGAAAGAAAGAGCCCTGTGAGTCATTATCTGACCCTTTGGGCTGAGAGCTGATTGGCTGAGTGAGGGTGGTCCTCTCTTTTTCACTTTTCTGTCTGAAAAATCTGATCTAAAGATGTGACAGAGGCTAAAAATCACGTGGACAAAAACTAGTTTAGACATTTAAGATCGTTTATAGACATTGGTTTGATTCTTTGATCTGTTGGTGGTGAATCGGCAAATTAATAAAGCCTTCCGTGACGACTGCTGTTGTGAATTAGGTGCGACTAATTGAATAGTGCATTTTTGAGCGAGAGGACAAGTTTTATAGATTGTTTTTATAGCTTCAATAACCAAATATCAACACTTGATTTAAAAACCATAGTATATAAATGCCTCATATATGTGTTAGCTTATGTATCATTCTTATCAGTATAAGTATAGCCTTTATTGTTATTGAACATAAATTGTAACGTACCGAATACTTGATAGCGACCTCGTTCATCCAGTAGTAGCACAAGACGCCCAGTATGCACATTCGGAACAGAACATTTCTGCACAAGAGAGAAACAGGATTTCTAGCTGCATCTTGTACTTTCCTTAATAACCTGGAGCTCTCTGGTCCTCACCTGAGCACGAGAGCATAGATCTGCCTGCGCTGAGTGGAGTAATGCTCAAACTTGCTGAAGAGTGAGAAGAACAGAGGGACCACCATGTTCATCAGAGAGACCACGAACGGCACGAGGAGGGTCTCGGCCTCCTGAAGCAGAGACCAGCTGCTGCTGTCCGACATGCGCTGAGCAGATAACACACAGATACAAGACAATAAGGAAGAACGGCAGAGGAGAAACCACTGTAAAAAAATGCATCATCCTACTATAAAGTCTAATCATAAAGTCTTATCATAAAGTCTGCCATCTTGAGGAAATGCAAATGTTTGATTCAACAACAAAATGAAAGCACACTGCTGTTCAAATGGGTTTTCCAATCATCAATTAGCCACAACACAAGAGTCAGAGGTTTTGTACATCTATATACAAAATCACCTGTTTCTAGCTTGAATAGTCATTTACCATGGTAACAAGAAAGTATACAGTAGATTCTTCTTCAAAGAAAAAATATTAGGCTTTATATTGACCATGATGGGATATAATGATTTATATGGGCCACTACTTAGTAATTTCATGTTTTAAAATTAGAAGGGAAATATTTACACAAAAACTGAAATATTTCTGCCTCTAACTCTCCAACTCTCAAAGTACTGCTGCTGTGAGACCCTCCCAACCCAGACTTGGAATAATAAAGGGGTAGAAAATGACATGACATGATGACTCTCTAACTATCACCAGAGGGAGAATTGAATTTGTTTTGCTTTTTTTTGCCAACATAGAAAATCGACAGGTTTCAAACAAAGAAAAATCCCCTGAAAAATTGCCAACTTTTGTAAAAGACAAACAGAATGTGATAACATAGTTGGGCAACGACATCATATTATTACAAGAATGAGACAGGAGCGTTTATACAGAAGGTGTGGCAAGATTAAAAAAACAATAATATTTCTATATCAGGTAAAACTGTATAATTGCTAGGCTGTTGAATCATGCCTTTTCAGCTACTGCCTGCATAGGCATCACTGTGATTTATCCCTAAACATTCCTTGAGAGAAAACAATGCCAAGAGCATGTATTGTATTTATTTCTTACCTGGTGTTCATAAGAGCAGAGGAAATAGATGCTCGCTCCACAACCAACAGTCAAACTCGTGGACAGCAGCCAGGATCCCAGGTGAATCCCAAAGTGCTGCAGTTTCTCAGACGAGGTGAGCTGTTCACGCTGGGCCTTTTCTGACAGGGACTCCTACAGACAGTTCATAAGAAGCTCATGTAACAACATTTGTAATGCATTATACATGTTTAGATACAAGTTTATTCATCCCTGAAATGGGAGAGATTTACCGTCAACATATTTATTTTTACAGCTAAATTCATCACAGCAAAAAGTGACGTTTCGACTGTCCTTGAATAATTTCGCCAAAGGACCATGTTGTTTATTCTTTTTTCAAGTGCAATTGGAGAAGACTTTTCTTATCATGCTTCTTCTATATGTTAAATAAATGTACAAATCCTGATATTTCCTTTCATTTCAAAATACTGACTTTGCAGCAATCAAATTTGATAATTACAAAATTCTGATAAACCATGCGTTTGTATTTAAAGCTGGAGTACCTGACTTTGAAAAACAAATAATTAATGTAATAATAAAATCTATGCAAGTTCCTAGCTCTCAGGAAAAAAAAAAAATCTAGTACAAATTTAAACAAGTATTTTTGGTCAAGTCACATCTTTACATCAGCTTTTTCAGTGAAGAAGAACGAACCAACCCTCACTCAGCCAATCAGCAGTCAGTATGTGAACGATAACATACTTAATCTTTCACAATGTCAAGTGAAAATTTGAATCTTTTTGCAGTTGCTTATATGTACAGTAGTATTGATAATGGGGAAGGCACATTATTTGCTTCTGCCATCTCCTTTTGAGCTATGTTTCTTGTGATATGTACTACTACTACTACTACTACTACTATTACTACAATAAAGTTCCTAGCTCTCAGGAATAGATGTGACATAGACCGAAAAAGATAAATAAGTACTCCAGCTGTAACTGTATGTGCACATTGGAGGACAAATCCTTACAGTCTGACCTATAGGGACTTATGAACTATTGCCAAAATGTAAGAACGCTTAAAATGTAGAATCCCGACCTTGAGCTGTATGCGAAGATTGTTTTTGCGCTGCCTCACTGCTCTCTCGGTGATACTGAAATCCCAGCTACACAGAAGTTGCCAGGCACCACTGGATGAATCGGCCAGAACGTAATTTGACTTGAAAGAGCTTGCCATGCTGCAGGACCAATGGAGCGGAGTCAGAACATACTGCGAAAGACTCAGATGTGCGCAGAGAGGCTATAATTCAAAAGGACTCACCTGAAGATCAGTGCAATGCCACAGAGCACCATGTAGACAGCGATGGTTAAGAAATATCCCAGCTGCATCTCGTAGTTCACAGCCCCAAAGAGCGTGTGATTACTGTAGCTGCCATAGTACATGACAGTGTAGTTAAAATACCCCTGGAAAACAAGATATGCAATTAACACAACAGCTTATTCACCCTTTAATGGTTTCCTCAAACATTTGGTAGATCACGACTTGGAGCATGCTTGGAACTGAAATCTACCTCTTTGGGGCATCTCACATGGTTTTAGAGACTTTTACCATCAAACAGCATCTCAACCATTTGGCAAAGGCCTATGATAAAAAAATAACTAGGCGTTCAAAAACAAAACAAAAATGTAAAATCTAATTGTTTGTGTTATTAGTGCTCCTACAGTACATCTTATAAAATCCAAAAAGGAAAATAATGAAATTGCTTTCTTCAAGGAGTGAATATTAAAGGGTTAAAAGGAGAATGAGTTAGCAAGTTTAGCAGATTCAATGAGTTAAAAAAAAAATTACATTCAGGGATAGCTAATTATAGGTAGACACTAGATCTCTCTCTAATAGTTAGAGATAGTAGCTCAATTGGTGGCTGACTAAATGAGTATTTGTTTTTCATATCATGAGTAGAAAGTTTGTGTGATGGCCAATTTTGTATAAAAACACTGAAATAGTCTGAATAGTTAGCCACACTTTCTGACAGTTTACTCAAGGATAGCTCCTGTGGTTCTATTTTCATTCTATTGTCGTTTATGTTTTGTTGACAAAGGAAGAGGAAGAAGTATTACCAACATGATCTAATTCTAATTATATTTACACTTTAGGAAAACAATTATCCGATGGGTTTATTGAGTGAGATAAACGTGTTCTCATATTCCTAGTAGTCGATGATTAATTATTGTGTAAATGAGAAGTGTTTGCCCTTGCTACTTTATGATTGCTGTGGTTTGTCGTATGTGGGATATTAAGCAGGAAACGTCCATTCTTTCTTACAAGTATGTAAAGATAATATGTTCAAGAAAGATAGCATGTTGTGGTGAGATTAGTTCACAACATTAGACTGACTCTTTATGTTGGGACCATAGACTGTAGATATTACCGGACGTTCTCCGGCGTTCTAACTAATGGGCCAAAAAATGGGCTCTCATGGAGTGATTCAAAATGGCCGCGGGGGCTGGAAAATGTGAAAAAACGCATCTGCGCATGCATCAGCCGGCACGAGCTCCATTCATTTAAACGAGTGACTTCAAAAATTCACAGTCTAGTAAACTAGACTGGTCCAAAAAAATTCACCCCCCTCAGCATTGACACACATGTGGAACGGAGCTTTGGGCCAAGAGCCGACTTTTGGACCATCCTGTAAAGACGTTTTTGAGAGGTCTGCCAATGCTATATGTTAGCATTGGCTAATTCTTCTTCTGGGTCCACCCCCATTGGCCCGGGGTGGTATTGCAAGCATGTCAGCGCACGTCATTTTGGCCACTTTTTAACTGGGACCCGCCCCCACTGGTTGGGACAAACAAAATGTATTATTTATGGGGGGGGGGGGGGGTATCGCAAGTTAGGTATCCCAGCTTTATCTCTCTTTTGGCTTAAGTATACATGGTCTTAAAGTGGATTGTAATGTTGCTTACGGCGCCAGTGAGAATCTCCAGCCCCCTGAAGCTTATGTTGGTGTTTGGTGAGTGGTCCAACACCAGCTGGGGGATGGTGATGAAGCCAAAGTTGACCAGGAAGGAGAAAATATTGAACATGAGCAGCCATTTCAGGAACACAAAGTACGACAAGACGCTGGTGCCGAACTTTCCGCCGATTTCCTTCATGGTGCCCTGCCACAGCTCCAGGGTTTGCCTCGCAGACCTCACATTTGAGCCACATCTGCGGAAAGACTGAGAAATATAAAGGTTATAACAAACAAATAAGTCATTATCAAAACTAGGGCTTATAGTTTATTAGTTCTTCATAATGGGTCAGATTGTTTCTTTGTCATTTTGGATCGACAAAGAAAGAATTTGCCTCCTTGTCTCCATGGAGATGAAATGCCTGGAAAATATGTCCCACAGTCTGGCAATAACAAGATGAATAGTTTGATAAATAAATACCTAAAGAATTCTTAGTTTTGTATTACTTTATTTATTAGTTTATTAGTTTGTTAGTTTGTTAGTTATATTAACAAAAGTTAGTTATATTAACAAAAAAACTATTTAAATCAAATCAATTCAAAAAAATAAAAGATTTTTGGACATATTCGGTGGAAAGTACAAATATCTAAATGGAGACAAGCAGGTTTTAGATTCTCCTAACTTTCAAACCATAACAAAAATAAATCATATATTCATTCATATATTCTCATGCAGAGACTGGAGGACTGGGTTGGTGTTGCTGGTACCGCCCTAAGCTGGTTTAGGTCCTATCTAGAAGAAAGGAAGTATTGTGTGGAGATTGGAGACTATGTCTCAGATAATATGGCCCTGACCTGCGGAGTGCCACAGGGGTCGATTCTGGGACCTCTCCTGTTCAATATTTACATGCTGCCATTAGGTCAGTTAATTCAAAGTATGAAAGTGTCCTACCACAATTACGCTGATGACACTCAGATCTATGTCTCACTGACTGCAGGAGAGCATGGACCGGTGGACTCACTCCTTCGCTGTATCCAGCGGATCAGTGAGTGGATGCAATGCAATTTTCTCCAGCTAAATGCAGACAAAACCGAAATGATTGTCTTTGGTCCCGAGAAACAAAGAGAGACCGTCATTTGTCACCTTCAGTCTCTCTCCCTAAGGCCTTTAAATAAGGTCAGAAATCTGGGAGTAATAATGGACTCTGACTTAAACTTCAATAGCCACATTGGATCGGTAACATCAGCAGCTTTTTATCATCTGAAAAATATTGCCAAAATTAAAAATATTGTGTCCAGGGCAGACTTGGAGATTCTTATCCATTCTTTTGTTTCCAGTAGGCTGGATTACTGCAATGGCCTGCTCACAGGTCTGTCCAAACATGCAGTAAAACAGCTGCAGTACATTCAAAATGCTGCAGCCCGAGTCCTGTCTAGAACCAGGAAGTACTGTACGACCACATTAGTCCGGTCCTCAGGTCTCTGCACTGGCTTCCCGTGGCCCAGAGGATAGACTTTAAAGCAGCTCTCCTGGTGTACAAGTCTCTCCATGGCCTTGCACCAAAGTACATCCATGATATGCTAGTCCCATATGAACCAGCCCGGACTCTGAGGAGCGCAGGGACGGGACTCCTCTTAGTGCCCAGAGTCAGGACTAGACAGGGGGAGGCTGCTTTTCAGATTTATGCAGCTAAAGTCTGGAACAGTCTTCCTGAGGATGTGAGACTGGCTGCCTCTCTGTCAATGTTCAAATCCATGTTAAAGACTTTTCTTTTTTCCTGTGCATACAACTAGAGAATTTTATCTTTTTAACACACCTTGTTATTTATTGTTGTAACTTTTTGTGTTTTTAACTATTTTATTGTTTTTAATTACTTGTGTGATTCTTATGTTTTTAAATTACTTATGTGATTTTAATGCTTTTTAATTACATATGTGTTTTTAATTGTATTTTAATGGTGATGATTTGTGCATTGTGTGGTGTGGACTGTGAGGCGCTTTGTGTTGCCCTGTGCAGGAAAAGCGCCCTATAAATAAAGATTGATTGATTGATTGATCTTTCTTCTCTTTTGTCAAATTTTTAGATCAGCTTTTTCAGACAGAAAAGTGAAAAAGAGAGGACCACCCTCAATCAACCAATCAGCTTTGAGTTGAGATGTTTTCTAATTAGATAAAGACAGAATGTTGTGGTCTGAATTGTTCACAGCATTTTACTTTAACAATACTCTTTCTTAGACAAACAACATGTGGGGAAAAGGTTAGACTCCGCAACTTTAACAACTACAGTAATAAACTTACTCTGGAAACATGCTCTGAGCAGTCTCCTAAACAGGTAAAGTGACGTGACTTCTTTGAGGACATGAATGAAAGCACTTGGCTCCTAAAACAAGAGCAAACAGAGCTTATCAAACCAATCATAAATCATTTCACTTCTTGTAAAATTCTACATTATACAAAGCAATGTTGGCCGAGAACATTTTTTGCAAACAAACATCATTCAGCTGCTTACACATTACCTCTGCAACTCTTCATTATGTTACAAAACCAAGGAAACTAATCTTAAAATTGACATTTACTGTGATTAATGTTTAACTCATTGTCGAGATAGAACGAGGAGATTTATGACCTGATATGTTTCTTCTCTTGGAAACTCAGGGGGAGATCACGAATCGCCCGGATCCGGTCTCGCGTCGACATGTCTACAAGTTCCCGGACCAAGTGGATTTCCTCTGTTTCAAAGAAGAAAAAAAGAATAATGAAAACATCGTAGGAAAAAGCGTGCATAAAAAAAATAAGTAAGTTTGCATGACTAATTCAACATGTTTTTAGTGGTAACTTGAGCACCCGGAGGAAATCTACGCAGACACAAGGAGATACAAACTCCACTCAGAAAGCTAATGTTCCGCCCAGGATTCGAACCTAGAAACTTCTTGCTGAGAAGTGACCACCGGGACAAAATAATGTAAATCTGAACCTCACATGATAATTCATTATTTAATAATGAAAAACAGAGTTGAATATGAGCTAAAAAGGTTATAAATACACCACGTTTTTTATTTCACTTTATTATTATTTACTTTTATTAAGGTTACAAACGATATCCGGCTGAACACTGACGCAGGCAAAGTCTCAATCCTAATCCTGTTAGATCTGAGTGCTGCCTTTGACACCGTCGACCATGAGATCCTCTTACAGAGACTAGAGGACTGGGTTGGCGTCGCTGGCACCGCCCTAAGTTGGTTTAGGTCTTACCTTGAAGACAGGAAGTACTTTGTGGAGATTGGAGACTGTGTCTCAGATCATATGGCCCTGACCTGTGGAGTACCACAGGGGTCGATCCTGGGACCTCTTCTGTTCAATCTCTACATGCTGCCGTTAGGTCAGTTAATACGCAGAAACGAAGTTTCCTATCATAACAATGCAGACGACACTCAGATCTATGTCTCACTGACTGCAGGAGAACATGGACCAGTGGACTCACTCCTTCACTGTATCCAACAGATCAGTGAGTGGATGCAAAACAACTTCCTTCAGCTAAACGCAGACAAAACTGAAATGATTGTCTTTGGTCCCCAGAAACAAAGAGAGAGCGTCATCTGTCACCTACAGTCTCTCTCCCTAAAACCTTCAAACAAGGTCAGAAATCTAGGGGTAATACTGGACTCAGACTTAAATTTTAATAGCCACATCAAATCAGTAACATCAGCAGCTTTTTACCATCTAAAAAACATTGCCAGGATCAAAAACATAGTGTCTAAAGCAGACTTGGAGATTCTTATCCATGTATTTGTCTCCAGTAGGTTAGACTACTGCAATGGCCTGCTCACAGGTCTGTCCAAACAGGCTGTAAAACAGCTGCAGTACATTCAAAATGCAGCAGCTCGAGTCCTGACTAGAACCAGGAAGTACGACCACATTAGTCCGGTCCTCAGGTCTCTGCACTGGCTTCCTGTGGCTCAGAGAATAGACTTTAAAACAGCTTTGCTTGTGTACAAATCTCTCCATGGCCTCGCACCAAAATATATTAGCAACATGTTAGTCCCATATGAACCAGCCTGGACTCTGAGGAGCACAGGGACTGGACTCCTGTTAGTATCCAGAGTCAGAACTAAACATGGGGAGGCTGCTTTTCAGATTCATGCTGCTAAAATCTGGAACATTCTTCCTGAAGATGTGAGACAGGCCTCCTCAATGACAATGTTTAAAACCAGGTTAAAGACAGTTCTGTTTAACTGTGCATACAACTGAGAGATTTTATATTTTTATCTTTCTTTTTAATGTTCTGTGATAATTTATGATTTTAATGCTTTCTTGTTTTGTTCAGCACTTTGAATTGCCTTGTGTATGAATTGTGCTATATAAATAAACTTGCCTTGCCTTGCCTTGCCTTGCCATTTGTTATGGACACAACAGTTACATTGGGCAGACCACATGCACTGCCTTTAGCGTTATAGTAAGACCCTGCTAACCACTGGTCCAATGGAGGCTTTTAGGACATCAATGCACGCGTTAAAAACAACTAATCCAATGTGCAATTCATGAAACATGTGAACAACTTTGCTCCGATTTAATCTCGTTTCAGGCGTCTGGTAAAGATGATCAAGTCACTGACCTAAAAGTAGTTTTAGGTCAGTGGGAAGAGCATTCCACTGACTGGCTCCATTAAGAGAAACAAATGTCCAAAAACTGTTTTGAACTTAGGAATCACACCCCCGGGGTTTTGGGTCAGCGAGAGCCTTGACGTCTGACAGCCAGACCAGAGTTCTGGAGTAAGTGCTCACATCTTCTAGTTTTTGTTAGACTTGCAATACTTCTTTTTCCTCTGTAAAAGGCCTGTGATCATGGTTACCTTTTTGACGTTTTTTTTCAAAAATTGATCCATGGTTTAATACATTTCAGGGCTCGATATTCATCTTCTGTTTCTTTGTTTTTGTCCAAAATAGTTTTGAGAATGTCTCCAGTCATATAACATTCTTCACAACTGAGAAGCTTCAATTAGGCCGCTTTATTTCTTTCATAATAATCTCATTTCCCAATTCTATCAGTCTTCTACCACTTAAAATCATTAATCCATGTTTTCTATTATGTATTCTACAATCAAATATTTGTTCATTCACATTAGTAAATGCCAAAATGTTAAATATTCATGTTTAAGAGCCACAAACAAGGATCTGCAACTTCCCGAAGAAGAAAATAGTGTAAACTGTCTGTTATTTATTATTCTATTCTATTCTAGATAACATATATAACTTGTATTTAGCATCATATAATGTACATATAGTCCTCACCGTTCTCTACCTGGGCCATAATGGCGTTCTCTGCAAGCTGAAGATTGGGGTCTGTATTCTGAAACATCCTCCTCATCGTGTGTCCTCTCCATCTTATCGTCATGTTTCCTACAAATACAAAACGCTTCTTTATGTAAAGCTGAGGTACCTCACGTTTTCCCCCCAAAAAATACCACATTATGTCTTTCCCTGTGAGCTACTATTTGACACATTGGGCAGAGAGTTGATCTAAAGATGTGATAAAGGCCAAAATATACAGTACATGCTTGTGAAAACTCATAATAATAACAATAATAATATTTTTTATTTAAATTGCACCTTGCATTTCCAGGAAACCTCAAAGTGCTACGGATTAAAATACAATACCGCAAACAAACAAAACAAAGCAAAAGCATCAGAAGTACATAAATACGTCAAAAAAAAACATGAAGGGGTTAAAAGCTCATAAAATCCCTAATAAACTAAAACCAAGTTGTTTTGAGTGTTAGATTCATGTTAGATCAAGTGTGGTTTGAAAATTAGGTACCTCCCCTTCAACCATGCATGGAGTAAGCATGCTCTGATTATTGATCAAATGCGACTGCAATGTCAGTCAAATGGATATTATTATAAATTCCAGTGTTACTTTGATACAGGCAATCTGTCTGGTTCACTTCTTGAATTCATTAACAAAGATCGTAGCGTTTTTTTGGTTATCTAAACTGAATGTGGATTAAAACCATCAATTCTCTATTAACTAAATCACTAAATAAACTTTAAGACATGTTTGTAAATCTCATTGTTCTACAGTGCCAATTGTTTTCCTCTGTACTATCCGTAATGTGTTTTTATATCCTCTTTCAGTTGATATCCTTGCCTCTGGTGCACACTGGGTATTCCGATATGGTTTTAAACTGCAAGTAGAAAATAAACAGGGTCTGTCTTGGCAGGTCTAGAGCCAGTTTTTTCAAGGAATGTATCTTTAAGCCTACAATTGAGCTTAGTTTTAGTTCTTGTATTTTCTCTTTTTGAATGTGAACGTTTGTCTAACTGAGTCTGACTAAGTTGAAGTATAAGTATTGTGGACTAACCTGAAGGCAGAGAAGTCATCTGGATGGACAGAGATTGTTGATAGTGGGCTTCAGTGGTGATCTGAAATGAGCTGTGATCTGGCACAACACCAAACGCTGCGGTTAATAAGTCTCAACACAAAAGTCACTAAGCAACAGAGAACCATGGGGGAGGACAAGAAGAACTGGATTAATACAATAGTGATTAGCAGCCTTTTATTTGTGATTATTATGTAATTAAATATGGACTAGACCAGTTTTAGCCTCTTGCTCTTGCTCCAAATTACAACAAATGTGTGATATTTTCTTCAGACTTGATTTGTTAAACGTCTTACCATGTTGTGTTTTGTTTCTGTCTCTGGCACATGATGCAGTAATGAATGAAATGTGCTATATATATAAAAAAAAACATTCCTTCCTTCCTTAAAAAATGCTTATGCAGTAGAACATGCACTCACTGTGATCTGGGCGCCATGCCGGGTTCCCTGGGTGAGTGGACAAAAGGTCCATCGGGATTCCGTGTCCCCCATCCCAGCTCTGTCTGGGGAGCCCTCCCCAGGGGCCCCTCCCCGGGTCCAGGGACGACTCAGTGGGGTAAACATCTGGTTGGACCCGACTCCCGCCTCCAGCATAAGGATTGGTGTGACGACTTCTGCTCGGGGATCTATAAATGCATAATAAAGTCATAAATTAAACTGGTTCCCCTATAAATCAAACAAAAATAACAGGGTTATACGTATATGTAATTATGAAGGATATTTGGGAATCGTTGTAGGGGTTTTTTGAGGGACCATGTACAAGGAAGAGAAGATTGTAATAAAACTATTAACGGTAGGTCACTGTAAAAGGTGATAAATGTTGATAAAAAGAAAAGTAGGCCATTTACTATAGATATGTGATATCTTTTGTTCTGTGGAGAAACAGAAACTGAATCAAATACTGATCAGACTTTAGAATAATACAACAAAGCTATGTATTGTTTTGCAATTTTGCAAAAAAATACAAAATAAAAATAAAAAAACAAAATAAACGTTAAGACATTTAAAGTAAAACCCATGTTCTCGCTGTAATTCTCTCTGTATGCAATGTGAGGTTAAAACGTTATAAACATAATTTTTTGTAAAAACTGTATTTTTTCTTTATTAAATAATAGTCATTCTTTAAAGTACAAACCTTTTATCAAGTTCAAGTGTTTCGCTGTCATGGTAAGCAGGGTTTAAAAATCCTTGGTTGCTAAAAGTTGACATAAGCGCTGAAAGGTTGCCCTGTTGTTGTGGTGAGTCTTGTAGTAGTGCTGTCCAGACCTCTTCAGTCTGTTGTTGTTGCTGCAGAAGAAGAAGAAGAAGAAGAAGAAGAAGAATACTGGAGTCCTCCGAATGAACCAAACAGCATCACATGTGAGCGCTGTTTGCCAGAGTGACAGCTACATTGTGAGACAGGCTGTGTAACCCAATATAGAGGCCTCGACTCTGGCGGTTAATCATTCATTTATACTGTGGCTTAGGTTTCTGCCTTGTCCAGGAAACAGACCGTAATGAGGAAATAGATAGATGAAAAGGAGTTAAGTGCCTGAATATGTTACAAAGAATCCTGCATTAATTGGTGTTTATGAACCTATGAAATAAGGACAGGTCAAATCGTTCAGTACAAAAGATTATAAAAGGGATAAAAAGTCAACCTTTATCAAACTAGCACCAGAAATCAACACATTTACACAAATCTGGAGAGATATTGTGTAAATTGTTAATGCTAAAAGACCAAATTATTATAATTTTTTTTCACCCCCATGTTTTTAACCACAATTATGCATGTGTGAGATGTTGTATGTAATTGTATATTGGTACTATGGATCTACACACTAAATAGGTGCATGGATGACTGTCTGTATGCAATGTACTGCATACATGTGTACAGTGTGTGACTAGGAAGCATGAGTGTGCAGAATGGTGTTGTGCAATAGCTGTAGCTTTGAAAAGTAGAATTCTGTTGTTGAAATTATATTAAATCTGATGTATTATGAAAAATGAGCAATAATAGCATGGTCAAGAATTCATCAACTGTAGCTTTTATTTATTATTATTTTTTTTTTTTCAGATTTCCTCACAGGCGAATTACAAGCATTTAATACAAAGCGCGTAGGGTGAGATATACCTGCACACAACTGGGTACATCCATAGACCATACATCCATGCCATAGACAGATAGAATAGAACTTTGTAGCCGTATATAGGCGCAATTATGTATCGTTATTATCCATGCGTGGGATGCGTCTGTGCAGAAACAGCGCCCCTCGCGGTGAACGGGAGAAGTGTTGCAGCAGAGTTCATCCAGGAAGTTGTTGCGCCTCTGTTTGGTCCCTGACGCTGGAGAGGAGCTCCCAGCTGTCGAAGGCCTTCAAAACAGCTGATTTCCCATCCACAAACACAACTATACGGGGTGATGGAAGTCGATTCTGGTAATGTAGACCTCCCTAATTATTAATTTGATGATAATTCAGTAGTTCGCTTCGTTAAAGTTAATAGTTATGAGGCTGAGTTAGCAAGGCTAGCTTCACAAAATGCAAAAAGTTTAAAAAGTGTTTAGTTAGCGGGATTGCCTCTGCACAAACTTGACTCGTACTTGTCCTGCTGCTGGGCCTCCTCCTGCGTGTCTCCATGGAACAGTTGCATTGTGATCTTGTTGTGTTGTATTGCATTAAACTTTCATAGTTCCAAGGAGAATGTTGCAATGTTTAGTTAGAACTTTACATTTGGATGGAATCAAGCAGGGATGTGCCACTCCCAGTTGCATTCTGTTGCTTTAATGTGTCTAGAGATCATTTTTAGTGCTCTCAGATTATTATCATTATTATTAGTAGTAGTAGTAGTAGTGACTGACTGTCTTACAAGCATTGATGGTTAAAGATATGTATCTTTATGAGTTACAAGCTGAATTTATTAAGAGCACAGCCACATTATTTAATCAATTCTAAACATTGAATCCAAAACTGCTCTTAGTTTGATGGATAATTGTTCTGTCAATCTACATAACAGGTCTTTTAATCAAATCAGTTTGTATTCAGACGGCACAAAATCATAACAGCATCCGTATCGGAAGACAACATTTTATTTTGCCAACAGGAAATCAGAAAATTAAACTTTTAAAGAAGTTTTTTCTATTCGTTTGTTAATACAAATCCACCAGATAGGGATATATAAACTTGTGTTGAATACAAGTAATCCATTGGTCAAAATACCCCCATAATGGAAAACAAAATAGCCACACAGCACTAAAGTGTTTTGGCTCCTGACTAGCTCTCAAAATGAGTTCCACTCCCCTGTAAAGTCATAAATATGTTGACTATGTTTTATTTTCCTCCTGACAGTCTTCTACACTGATCGCAGTGGGAGGGTCACCAGTAACCCGTTGCTGGACCAGCTCCCCAGTTACCAGTCCCTGCTGTACCGCAGGAAGTCATCGTCCAGTGGGTCCAAGCGCAGAGGCAGCTCTCGAGGACGGATCGGCTCCTCCGGCAGTGGAAAGTGGGCCGTGAATACTGCCACCAGACATGAGGACAACCAGAGGACAGAGCAGAGAGCCGTCAGGGAGCTGCCCAAATGCATGGAGGACAAACGCAGAGAAAAGTAACCCTCAAACCTTATTTTGATTCTGAAAACACTGACCACACTAGTCACACTGTGCTTGTGCTTAGAGAGCAGCGTCTGGTGGAGGCAAGGAAACTGAGCAGCTGGAGCCAGTGGAGGCAAAGCACACGGAGGTATCTGAAGAGGCTGAGGCAGGACACGCAGGAGTGGATGAGCTCGCTGAAGCTGTGGAGAGGAGACATCCACGCTATTGAGGGTGAGAGGGCAGGGCCGTGGAAGCCTGATTAGGGATCAACAGATAAATACTGTAGGTATAACTGGTTTAGTTTTTCAATTATCGGCTGTATCGATCTTATCTTTTTCCGATTCGGGCTATTGGCCGCCATGTTTGTCCAGGAAAACAACCACATCAATTATTTTACTATACACAGTGAACCCAATAATAACTAGAACAGCACCCGTAGATCAGCTTGGAGGTGCAATTCCTGGGCGGAGGTAATAATTCCTAAGGATAAAACATATGAAAACCATAGTCTACAGTATTCCTTCATCTTTAGCTTTGGTCCTTTTCTGTTTCAATCCCAACTACTATCCTAAAACTAATTTAGTTCAGGGAAAAAGAATTGTTCAAACTGCAGCCTGAATGTAAAAAGGACACAAATAACCACAGATGCAAAAGATGAGCTATAAACAAACCTACAAATATAAACTAGATAATCTTGGTGTTTACTTTATCTTCTCTAAAAATAAACCCATCAATATCCATAAATGTGTTCTCAAACATTTTTAGCTGAATATGCGTAAAAAAACCAAAAAGATCAACACATAAGGAGTGTGATATTAGTTTCTAAATATATTTTTTGTTTCATGACATTTTTCATCATCTAACGAGCCACATCTGGCTCTCGGGCCGCAGGTCCTGTCTTGTGTTTCATTCTATAAGATTCAGCCACAGAAAACTCATATCTGTCGATCTCTAATCCGGATTCATTGTTGTTTTACGTCTTTTTTACATATTTAACTCTGCTTCATATTTTAGGGACGTTTGGAACGGGAATATTGTCCTACTTTTCATTTCTACGTTTTCTGGTCCTCCTCAACTTCATCATTTTTTTGCTCATGTTCAGCTTTGTCATACTGCCCATCATCATCATCCCTCACACTTCAGCAAACAAAACCTACAAACAAGATGACGGTCAGAACTTAAACCACAGTTTGTTTGATTTGTTTGATTCAGAACGCTTATTTTTCCCTTGCATCTTTGGCGCAGGTAGTGTGTGCAGTCAGTATCCCAGCAGTTCTCGTCGAGGCCTTGTCATTTTTCATGAGCATATCACAGATCTGCTCTCTGGGGGCGTACGTGAAAAAGTTGCCTCCAAAGTGTTAGCAGGGTACAAACTTTATTCTTTTGTTCTCCATTGACAGGGCTTTTTGGAACAGACGTATCTCTTCTATGGTTTTTATAAAGTGGATGAAATCAACTTTCCAAATTTCAAATACAACGTCCCTCTGGCCTACTTATTGGTCACAGTCGCCTATCTAATTCTCAGCCTCATCTGGATTGTCAAAAGGTAATGCACAATAAATAACAACTTTTATTATTGGCATATATAAAGCTTCTTGAATACCTATGTGTTTCATTTTCTACAGATCCGCCACAGGTTTTAAGCAGAACTTAGTCCAAGATGTGGATCGATTTCAGAGTTTTTGTAACAAGATCTTTTCCGGATGGGACTTCTGTATCACCAATGAGAATGCTGCACGGCTGAAGCGGAGCAGTCTTCTTTATGAGCTCAGGGTAAGGAATTGAGACGTGCAAGTTTATTTGTGTACACAAGGCAACTCAAAATGACTTACAAAACAAGAATAGGATATCAAATTACTATTAATAACATAAATAATCACAGTATAAAAAAATACTGTTGTATGCACAGATAAACAGAACCGTTTTCAACCTGGATTTGAATCATGTTAGAGTAGAAGCCTGTCTTACATTTTCAGGAAGACTTTTACAGATTTTAGTTCTGAAATTTTGACTGCCCATGTTTAGTGCCATTCTGTGCACCAGCAGGAGGCCAGCCCCCTTTGCTCCTCAGAGTCTGAGTTGGTTCATTTGGCACTAACATGTCACAGATGTACATTGCTGCGAGGCCATAGAGAGACTTGTACAGACCTGCTTTAAAGTCTATTCTTTAAGGAAGCCAGTGCAGAAACTTTCTACTTCCTACTTCCTAATCATACTTCCTACAGTAATGTTTTTAGATAGTAAAAAGATGCTGATGTTACTGCAGTGGTTATTAAAAAGTCCATTCTTACCCCTAGATGTTTGGCCTGATTTGTGGGATTTAGGGAGAGAGACTAAAGGTGACGGATAAAACTTTCTCTCAAACAAAGTATAGCATTAAGACTGAGCTACCTAACTTTCAGGTGACGTGAAGATAACGAAGCCTGCAAACTACTTACTACCACAATGTTACTGCATTCATACTTTCAGACGACGACACATTTTACTATGTATTAAATTCCCTCTTATTAGCTCCTCGCTCTCAAAAACGTTTGGTTCGATCACTAGTTTTCACATACATGCGTTTTTTTGACCTGATTTGTTAGATCAGCTTTTTCAAACCAAAGAGTGAAAAAGAGAGAACCACTCTTGAATTGATTCAGATCTCAGCCTGCCTTTTGTGTGTGTGTGTGTGTCTGTGTGTGTTTGACCACAGACTGACTTGGAGGAGGAGAGGATTAAACAAAAAATTGCTGACCGTACTCAAAAAGAGAAATGCAGAATTTACGTCATACGCCTCATATTGAACCTTTTTGTGATTGGAGTTCTCGCTGCATGCTTCTATAGCATTTATGTGGCCACTATTTTCTCCCAGAAAGCCCAACTGGATAATAAAAAGGTAACTATATGGTTATATCCCACTGTTGCACAAAGTTGTATAAAATATATAACGTTATATAATAATTTACTTAAACAGGAGAATTTCATTGTGGACCTTATCTATGAATATCTACCGTCTATTGTCATCACTCTGGCGAACTTCATCACGCCGCTGCTGTTCTCGGTGATCATAAACTTTGAGGACTATTCTCCTGCCTTTGAGATTCGCTTCACTCTCATGAGGTATTTTGATCATTCACAAGGATTTATGACTTGATTTATGCGCGACAATATCCACAATGTTGTGTTTCTTTACAGATGTGTCTTCATGCGTTTGACGAGTATTGGAGTTCTGCTATTCTCTCTCTGGTCTCAAATCACCAAATGTAAAGAAGAACCCTGCATCTGTGGCTACAACCATCTCCTTTATTCTGTAAGCCTTCAATAAAATATACTTCACAAGATAAGATAAACTTCATTGATCTCACAATGAAGAAATGTACATGTCACGTAGGATCATGTTGTGCAAAAGATTGGGATAGTGCAAATGTGTTAAAGTGAATAATATAGTCTCTTTTGTGCAAGGTATATTATGTACATGTTAACTACAACAACCTAATCTTGATTATTTTGTTTGTTTTTTAGTGTTGGGAAACACGTGTTGGCCAGGAGATGTACAAACTCGCCATATTCGACTTCATCATAATTTTTGCTGTCACTGTCTTCGTTGAGTTTCCTCGAAAGTAAGTTGATGGTTTTCCCTGTACTGTCCTCTTCACAAAATGGTACGTCCATAATCTTTCTCTCTTGTTCCTCTCTAGGCTGATAGTGCAGCACTGTGACTGTGGACTGGCTAAGTGGGTGGGACAGCAGGAGTTTGCAATCCCTCAAAATGTTTTGGAAATTGTTTATGGTCAGACAATTTGCTGGATCGGCACCTTCTTCTGCCCGATGTTGCCTGCTGTCTGCACCATAAAATACTTCTTTATTTTCTACATCAAAAAGGTGAAATAATTTTCCAAAGACATGTTTTCAGATTTAGTTGTTCTACATTTACATTAGCCTCCATTCAAGTGTGTAGTGTGTGATGCTGCACTTGTGTTTCTTAGGTGTCACTAATGAACAACTGTCGTCCAGCTACACGTCCATTCAGAGCATCAAGTTCCAACTTTTTTTTCCTTGGAGTCCTCTTGATTGGTCTTGTTTTGGCTTGTCTACCAGTCATTGTTAGCGTAGCACAGTGAGTGATCCAATAAAAGCATTGTATTCACATGATTATGAAATAATTGCTGCATCATATTTTTCCTAGGATTAACTGCTCAAAAGCGTGTGGACCTTTTGTTCGGTACAACACCTCCTGGGAAGTTCTTCCAAATACAATTTCAGAACTGCCCGATGAAGCTCAAAAACTTGTGTATGCGATCTCTTCAGAGGCCTTTGCTGTGTGTCTTTTTGTTTTTACTTGGTATGTTTTTAATAATAGATGTATGTGGTAAGTTATCAGTTATCACCTAATAACTTGTTTATTTCTTGTAGTTTGGCAATGTTCTATGTAATTGCACTAGCTGGAGCATACAAGAGAGTCATTCATCAACTGAGAGACCAGTTAATATTGGTAGGTTAAAAAGATTGGGTACAGGCCAACAGCTCATTGGCATCAACTTAAATGTCAAATTGTGTTTCTAGGAGGGTCGAGACAAGCGTTTCTTGATACAGAAACTGTGCCAGTCTCAGAGGTCTTCACCCGTCAAAGCTCCAACCTCCATCGCTCAGTCTCGCTCAGGCCGGAGCCCCAGCTACCACACCAGCTTTGCTAATAACTTTAATGAAGGAGTGTTCCTGGCACAACCTCCTCCTGACTCCTCCACACACGTGTAGAGGAAGGGAACCCCTTTTCTCTGATGACTATCCAAGATGTTCAACAAATTATCTATTGAATGTTTTACCCGGAAGATGTATAACATATTTTTGTTTTTGGGTTTTGTTTCCAGGATTGCTGTTTATGACATATCTTCCTTCTGAGAAGGATCTTTATTACTACTGACAAAAAACACTAACTGTTCTCAGTACAATAACAAAACACTATGTATATTTTTTTTTATTATTGTGTTGTTTTACGATTTACTGTTACAACATAATTCCAGATCAGTTCGGTCTTGTTTTAGTATTATTGAGCCGTTTTATACAAAAGCCTTCTTTATCCTTTTTTGTGTTACAGTAATTATTTTAGGGGAATGTGTGGTATTAAAAATGACAAAATAAATATGAGAAGTTGTTTAGCTTTCTGTACTTTTTGGCCTACACCTTTCCGCCTGTAGAGGGCGCAGTGCTGCAGCAGTGGTACCGGAAGCAGCGTGCGGTGGTGAGACCTGTCACCAGAATGTTGTGTGTCCGCACAGACATGGGGCTTATTTTACTGGTCGTTTTTAGCTTCATCTACTCTCAGCTTTCGACCGCTGCCTCCGAGGACATCGTAGTCGCTTGTGGGGGGTTTGTGAAGTCCGACGTAGAGATAAATTATTCTCTGATCGAGGTGAGAGCAACTGTCTGACGGCAAACCGCAGCTAGCTCGGTTAGCTCAGCTAGCTCTGCTAGCCTGTTCAGATATGATCAGTTTGAATGAAACATCTACAACTACATACTTTTTATCGGTGTTCGCTGGTCTCAATTATGCCGTGGATTAATTCAAGCGCCCTATCTATTATATTTACAAAAAATATTAATTTATTGCAGTGAAAGAATGAATGGAAACATTCTGCATTGAAGAAACATTAAATAAGCTTAGTTGATGTAGAATGCATCAGCACGAGGCAGGGGCTGGGTGATCCGTCTTGTTCACAGGGGCTTAGGCCTTTAAGAGTCCCACAGTGATGCCTGTTTATCAGGGAATCCCCAGAGCCAGTAAAAGTTTTCTTTTTAAGCGTTAAATTTGACACATTCTGCTGGTATTTCATGTATGTACTTACCATGTATGAATTATAAAGTTAAGTTTAAGGTTTTTTTTAGTGTCCCCGTAGAGACGTTTGTCCTCTGCATTTGACCCAACCTAATGTCAATCGAGTACCCTGTCGAGTAGGCGCAATGCTCTGCTTGGTCAGAGCCAGATTGTCATGAAGATGGTGTTGTGGTTGTTGGGTTAACTCTTCCAGAGAAGAGGAGAAACATACGAACTCCACACTAACCAATTCAGCCACCATCACTTTTGCATTATACAACGTGACCATATACTTGAGAAATGTATATCTAAGTTGAGGCGTGGTGTGTTATTGCAGGAGGATCGGCCTCATGATGCACCCCCACTCACTGTTGACAACCTTTTGAAATTTGTAAACAGTTCTAAAAGTCTTTAATCTTATTTTATTCCCAGATTAAGTTGTATACAAAACAAGGGTCCCTGAAGTATCAAACAGACTGTGCTCCAATCAATGGGTACTTCATGATACCGCTCTATGACAAGGTAAAAGTCTCTCCGAATTATAGCTCTGTCCAAGGGACATTCCCGATGTAAGCAGCATTGTTTTCTATTCTTCACAGGGGGATTTTGTGTTGAAGATCGAACCTCCTCTTGGATGGAGCTTTGGTAGGCCCTTCTCATTTCTAAATGTAAACTTGTAGTTATAAAAAAAAAAAACCTCGTCATTTGATATTTTTTGTCCGTTTAGAACCCACCGCTGTGGACCTTCACATTGATGGTGTGAATGACATCTGCACCAAAGAACAAGACATCAATTTTGTTTTCACAGGATTCTCTGTGTCTGGAACGGTGAGCTGCTTCGTTATATTCTAATGCGGTAATATTGATATCAGCATGTGATCTGAAGAGATTCTTTGAGCAGGTTTTAAGTAAAGGTCATCTGCTTGGCCCAGCGGGTGTAGAGGTCACTCTTTCCAGATCCGGGACTGGAGAAAAGAGTGTTGTCACACAACCTGGGGGAAAGTAAGTAACTCTACTTCCTTCTTTCTGCTTTTTTCATTTTTTGCATTATTTGTCATATTTATTCTATTTGATATTTTTACAGGTATACCTTTTTCAAAGTTCTTCCTGGGCGTTATGACATCACAGCTTCACACCCTTCATGGACCCTTGAGCAGGTGTTATTTTGTTTCATGCTTGTTGCTTTGATTAATTATTTTTTAAATATTTTCCCAAAAATGCAAGTTTTTCCCTACGGGTGTCCAATAAAATATTTTGCAATAGTGGCATTACACCTCAAAATAACACTAAACAAATAGACTCATAATTATTGTACAGGACCATTTATTATTATTATCATGTGTTCATTTGATAGGGACAGAACAAGAAGCATTGTTACAGGAACCGCTGCTGTGTTCATAGGCCGTATAGCTAACAGCTAGTTTGCAGACCTGGTCCCTGGGTCCTGCCTGGAACAATCACAGCACACATTGCGTACATATCGTGTGACTAGACTGGCTGTCATCATCAGTGCATAAATGAATACTGCATAAATGCTGTATTGAAAATGATTGATAGATCTCTTTGACTCTTTTATAATGTGCTTCGAAACGTAAAAAGCTAAGAAAAAGTTGTCTCTGTCACATAGTCCTTTTATTACCCCTGGTCTCTCAGAATAATGAAACTGAGCTGACAACTCCATTTTCCCACCTACGTTGCTAAACCCTCACTGGTCTTTGTGGCTTTTCAGAGTGCGACATCAGTACACGTGTCCAACGCCAATGCTCCAGCCGCTGCTCCTCTGCTGGTGGGAGGCTACGATGTCTCAGGGGAGGTCCGCAGTGATGGAGAGCCCATGAAAGAAGTCACCTTCCTGCTCTACTCCGCCACTGTGAAGAAAGAGGTATTTTATGTTTTATAGTTTAACAATCAAAAAACATCCTAAATAATGTATTGAAGGTATAATATGTACAAAAATAAGTAGTAGTCGTAGTAGTAGTCGTGGTCTTCATCCATTCTCCCAAAAGAGAATGGCTGAATCCCCGCCTCACATGTGTGGTTTCCATGGTCACACAGAGAAATTCCTCCCTTTTTATAAAATGAAAAAGTGAAATGTAGCTAACGGTCAAATCCAAATTGAATAGATTTAAATCGTACTTGGATCAACAAAGTAGTTAGAAAAATATAAAGTATTGAAGTGAAAAGTGAAAATAGTAAAAAAATGTAAGCAATGTTTATGTCTTTTTAAGCAACAAATAAAATAATAATACAATCATGACAAGGCAATGTGATTGATATCAGTGATTGGTCTGAAAACTCCCGATCAGTGCACCTCTATCTTACAGGGAAGTCTCAAAGCTGCCTTAAGGTTATGAATGGGCAATACAGTTGAATACACATAATAAATAATCGTCTCTACGTGCCAAAAAAGAAAAAAGTAGTCCATTGTCTATTCCATACATTAATTTTGACGTTGACAATATTTCATTTGTGTATTATTCTGTCGCAGGACATCAGTGCTTGCAACACGTCCCCCGTGGTTGGGGCAGAGTCTGGAGACAGTTCCCTCGTGTATCTGTGCAGTGCTTTGTCCAAGGAAGATGGCAGCTTCACTTTCCCCTCTCTGGCCAGTGGCGAATACACTGTGGTACGCTGTTTAGCACGATTCTCATCATAAAGTCTAATTCACTCTTAAGTACATGTAATGCGTTGTGTCTGGCCTGTGTTTAAGGTGCCTTTCTATAGAGGAGAAAGGATTACGTTTGATGTCGCTCCTTCACGTCTGAATTTCAAAGTTGAGCATAATAGTTTGAAGCTAGAGGTACATTTTCATCACTTACAACCATGTTTTTCCTCGTCATTTGCATCTCAAAGTAAATGTATGCTCTGTGTTGGAAAGCCAATCTTCCGTGTGATGGGTTTCTCTGTGACTGGGAGAGTCCTCAACAGTGTCGCTGGGGAGGGTGTGCCTGATGCGACAGTGTCTCTAAACGCTCAAATTAAAGGTCTGTAATTAATGATTTTCAAAGTATTTACCGTAGCTCAATTTGATTTAAAAACAGGTATATTTATTCCTACGCTTTTTAGTTGTATCGAAGGAGGACGGCTCTTTCCGACTGGAGAATATGACCGCTGGCACCTATACTATTCGTGTTAACAAGGACCTCATGTACTTTGAGCCAATCACAGTGAAGATTGCCCCAAACACGCCTCAGCTTCCGGACATCATCACTGCAGGGTATGTACTTCCATTAGAGGTGATGTCACTAAGTTAAATTTAATTATTAAGGAATGTATATTTCTGACTATGAGAAATTGTACGTCTTTTACAACAATTGATTTTAAAATATCCATCGTCTTGGCATAATTCTTAACGGTAAGATTTGCTGGAGGAGAATGGTTAAACCAGCCACATGGGACCTCAAGGATTGTAATGAATTTTCAGGAAGCTGCGGGGGTTAGCATGGGCGGGTCTTACCAATGATTGCCTTTAAAACGTTTCACCCTCTCTTCACAATTTGAAAAGGAACTGTTCAGTTGAGTTTTTTGTTTGTCGACAGGTTCAGCGTTTGTGGTCAAATTCAAATCAGTCGACTCCCGGAGGTCATGAAGCAGCAGGGCCGCTATAAGGTCACGCTGACACAACAAGGTCAAGACAGAAGCAGCCGCACCGTCGACTCCGATCCTCAAGGGGGCTTCTGCTTTCAGGCCAAATCTGGAGACTACGTCGTCCATGTAGGAGCCTGTGTGCTTTTAAAGCGTTACATTCCGTGCAAACCACAGCACGTGAGAAGACATTTACATGATTAATATCTTCACTGTGCACTCAGGTGTCGCTCCCCGAGGCTGAGGTGAAAGCTGGCCTGGCTCTGCAGCCTCAGGCCCTGGAGGTGTCCCTGGTGGACCGGCCGCTCACAGACCTACTGTTCACACAATTCATGGCCTCTGTCTCCGGAAAGGTCTACTGCTTAGGTAAAATTAATAGTTGCAGTATTATAAATGCAATGTTCTGCGTAGAGTGCTGTTTGATGCTTGTTGCACGAATCTAGGCTCGCTTTGATGGACTTTGATGGACTATATTGATACAGCAATTATGATATTATTGAAACAACTGTGTGCCACTGGTCAAACTACTAAACAGAAGTCTTTATCATTATAATAATAATCATAAAGCAAAACTGGCCAAAATAGATTGTATCAAACAAGAAAATGGCAAATACCTTCTCACTACTGCAAAGAAAATGTACAGACGATTAAGATCGAGGCCCTATTATGTTGAAGTTATTGAACAACAAGTCAATATAGCCATTTCATTATGACCGGTCTATACGTGTCCCTATAATGTCAGTAATGTTGTATTTTTTCCTGACTTTCAGCTTCTTGCGATGACCTTGCAGTGACCCTGCAGCCAGTGAGCCGTCAGGGAGAGCGAAGAAGTGTGCCTCTGTCAGGCAGCAGTGAAGTCCTCAGCTTCTCCTTTGACAACATCCTGCCTGGAAAATATAAAGGTGACATTTCAAATGTATCAGGCCAGTGTCTTAAACCATAAATAAACATAAAGGCAACAAAGCATGAGACCAAAATATACTTTCCTAGTCTGATGTTTCAAATGTTTTCTTTATTGTTCCAGTTTTCCTTTTATGAGGAGTTTTGAATGCCTGCTGTTGCTGCTGCAATCTTTCTAATTGAATTAATCCTCTATACATCCCTACACTATCATTTGACTATTTATTTATTCAGAAATGGACTAGTAAAGGGGTATAAAATGAATGAATTTACTCATTCCATTATATTTCTTTTGTCCTCTTTCAGTGGGTATTGCTCAGGAGGAGTGGTGCTGGAAACACAAGTCTGTGGAGGTGGAGGTTTTGGACTCGGACGTGATCGGAGTGGAGTTCAGACAGATCGGTTACATCCTGCGCTGCTCACTCTCTCATGCCATAACCCTGGTCAGTATCACCGGCTTTCACACAGTCTAGTGCAATGAATAAAGGTTTAGGTTGCGCTTAGAAAAACAATTTATAGTAAGTAAATGTTTATTTACTATAAATTGTTTTTCTAACACAAGTAAGTGCATAGCAAAATATTAGGTGTAATATTATTGGGTAAAAGCCTCCTCTGGTGGCTTTACTTCAGGTTTTTATGATATAAACTGAGATAAAATATCATATTTGCGTTCCTGACTAATTGTGTTATTGAAATAATTATCCACTTGATTAATTGATTATCAAATGAATCGTTGAAAGATACTTCACTTGCTAAAATGTGTGTGTTCTTGGTTGTCCCAAGGATACTATAATAATGTAAATACTGTCAGCACACACATTTATATTTGTTTGCATAAATAAGTGGAACTTTAATTGCAGGAGTTTTTCCAAGATGGGACTAAACCCGAAAACGTGGGCGTGTACAACCTCTCAAAAGGAGTCAACCGCTTCTGCCTGTCCAAACCTGGTGAGGTTCTTTTCCCTGACCCCTCATTAGCTGAACATGGAGGGAATTTGCATACACAGGAAAGGATAATGCTAGTGTACCCGCCATTCCCTCGTGCATAGTTATAGAACGGCTCCAGAGCCAAAAGGTCTGTGTCAGGCTTACCTAAATATAAAACTGGAGCAAAGTAATTAATCACCTAAAAATGGCTTGTCCAGGTGTTTACAAAGTCACCCCTCGCTCGTGCCACCAGTTTGAGCAGGACTTCTACACGTATGATACGTAAGTGTGAGAATAATACAGAGTTCATTGAATAATCGTGTCACGTTTGTCTTTTTATTTACATTTCTCTTTTGTATATTTTATGTGACACACAGGTCTGCTCCCAGCATCCTCACACTGACAGCTGTACGCCATCACATGACTGGACTCATTACAACAGACAAGCTCATGGATGTCACTGTCACTATTAAGTAAGTAGTATTGGAATATGATTGCTTTACTATAGAGCAGTGTCTCCCAAAGTGGGGTCCGCGGCCCCCTGGTGGGCCGCGAGGGTACTGCAGGGGGGCAGCGGGAGGTCATAAAAAAAAAATCATAATAATATAATTATTTAATGTTAAATTTATAATGTTTTGTTTGTAATATTAAAATATTTGTGTTCATTATTTGACTTGAAAAATCCACTGTAATCATTTTTGTATTACAATGTTTGTAGCAGAGGCTATTTCCCCAAAATAAAATAACCAGAAGAGCCTATTCTTAATGTTGTCTTCGTGGTTATTATTTTGGGGGGCCACGCAGACCCGTCAGATTTTTAAGGGGGCCTCGGTGTTACTGAGTTTGGGAATGGCTGCTATAGAGGATATAAAAAGTCATCAAGCTAATTCTATTCATTTTTAAATAAAATTGACATAAAGGTTGATTCGCTCTACTGTTTTGTAAATTATCAAAATAATTTGTTCGAAATACCTCCTATAATGTAAAAGGTATTCACTAGGGCTGGGACTCGATAAAAAAAAAATCTAATTAATTAGAGGCTTTGTGATTAATTAATCGCATATAAATATTTGTCCTGAGAACAGTGAAGTAATTTTTTTCACATGGATTTCTAGTTTACCATTGAATAATGACTGAATACATAAGCTTAAGCAACACAAGGGGATCAGACGGACTTCTTTCCCATCAAATAACGTTTCTGTCATCGCCTCCACACTCTGACCACAACAGACGCTTTTTATAACCAAAGTGCGCACTAACAGTGAGCACTAAAGCTTATAATGCGTTTTTGATGTGTGCATTTGAACTAAAACATCAACAATAATGTCGCTGCTGCTCCTCCTCCTCCTTCTCTGAGGAGTCGCTTGCTGCTCCTCCTCACACACCATAGCTCCATACACAGCGCTCTTTCCCGTCTCTAACCATGGATCTAATTCACTCAGATTTAGACACCGCTACAGTTGGTCTATGCCTCTTATGATGTACTTTTGAACAAGAAAAATCACGGAGCTCAGTTGGCGCTCCAGTATTATCGGTCCATCTGAAACTCGCACTAATTTTTGTGACATTAATTAAGCGTAATTAACGCGTTAAAGTCCCGGCCCTAGTATTCACACAAAACTAACCAAATATTCAAAGATCTCTAAACAAACCTTCCACAGATGGAGCTGAATATATTCCTATCAATGTTTTTGTTCCCTATTTAATCGGAGAGCAATAATAACATTCAGTCAGACTTTGAAGAAATCTACATCGGCCACAAAAAAAAAACATATCGGTCAATATTTACTTTGATAGTGTGAGCAAAAAAACAAAACAATTATCTACTACAGGAAAAAAACATCTCGGATCCAGGAGGAGCAGTGTGGTTTTCGTCCCGGTCGCGGAACACTGGACCAGCTCTATACTCTCCATCGGATACTCGAGGGTTCATGGGAGTTCGCCCAACCTGTCCACATGTGCTTTGTGGATTTGGAGAAGGCGTTCGACTGTGTTCCCCGGGGTGTCCTTTGGGGGGTTCTCCGGGAGTACGGGGTCGGGGGTCCTCTGCTGAGGGCCATCCGATCCCTGTATGACCGGAGCCAGAGCTGTGTTCGCATTGCCGGCAGTAAGTCAGACCTGTTCCCGGTGAATGTTGGCCTCCGACAGGGCTGCCCTTTGTCACCGGTTCTGTTCACTGTATTTATGGACAGAATATCTAGGCGCAGCCAGGGGTCGGAGGGGGTCCGGTTCGGGGACCACAGGATTTCATCTCTGCTGTTTGCGGACGATGTTGTCCTGTTGGCTCCAACGAACCAGGACCTGCAGCATTCACTGGGACGGTTTGCAGCCGAGTGTGAAGCGGCTGGGATGAGAATCAGCACCTCCAAATCTGAGGCCATAGTGCTCGACCGGAAAAAGGTGCCTTGCCCTCTTCAGGTGGGTGGAGAGGTCCTTCCTCAAGTGGAGGAGTTCAAGTATCTCGGGGTCTTGTTCACGAGTGAGGGAAGAATGGAGCGTGAGATTGACAGGCGGATCGGTGCAGCGTGCGCAGTGATGCGGTCGCTGTATTGGACCGTTGTGGTGAAGAGGGAGCTGAGCTGAAAGGCAAAGCTCTCGATTTACCGGTCAATCTTCGTTCCCTCCCTCACCTATGGTCATGAGCTTTGGGTAATGACCGAAAGAACGAGATCGCGGATACAAGCGGTCGAAATGAGCTTCCTCCGCAGAGTGGCTGGGCGCTCCCTTAGAGATAGGGTGAGGAGCTCAGTCACACGGGAGGAGCTCGGAGTAGAGCCGCTGCTTCTCCACGTCGAGAGGAACCAGTTGAGGTGGCTCGGGCATCTGTTCCGGATGCCTCCTGGACGCCTCCCTGGGGAGGTGTTCCGGGCACGTCCCACCGGGAGGAGGCCCCGCGGAAGACCTAGGACACGCTGGAGGGACTATGTCTCTCAGCTGGCCTGGGAACGCCTTGGGGTCCCCCCGGACGAGCTGGAGGAAGTGTGTGTGGATAGGGAAGTCTGGGCGTCTCTGCTGCCCCCGCGACCCGGCAACGGATAAAGCGGAAGAAAATGGATGGATGGAGGAAAAAAACATTTTTACCGATAAGTCGCGTTTTGTGTTCCTCCCGTTTTCTTAAAGGAACAGTTGGCAATATTTAGATTGTGTGTGTCTATGTAAATGTCAATATCCCAGGTGGGCCATCGAAAAAGGAAAAGGCCTAATCAAAAGCAAAACCCAGAACCAAAAAAATCAAAATGGCAAAGGACACCATAACGATATCATATATCCGGGAGTCACAGAACATGTACAAAGAGCCATAAAAAAGCACAATTTTAACAGATCCATAAAATCAGACTGGAATTTGAGACAGATGTTTGTGCACCCCAAGGACACAAAACAACCAGAACACCAACGCAATGTCATACGTGAAATTGGCAATATCAGATCGCCGACTGCAAACGCAATAACCATCTCATGGACTGGAACAATACCAGAATGATCTAACTGGAACCCAATAAATACAAGCTCTGCCTCAAAGAAGCAATAAAAATCAGGAAATGCGGCACAGGCGCAATGAATCGAGACGAGGGCAAATTCCAACGCTCCCAAACATCACTTCTCCAGCGGCCGGCGGAGGGCGCCGTCAGCCCAGTAATCTATAACCGCTGGGTTAACTACGCCTGGGAAGAACTGCTGATGAAGCACATTGTGTGTGACGTCACCTTTTGAGAAAGATGAATGACGGAAAACACCTCAAGGAAATGGCATTTGTCTCGTATAGAAGAACAATAGAAGTTGTCATAAATAGGGCTGAAACAACTAATCGATTAATCGACGACTAATCGATTATTGAAATAGTCGACAACTATTTTAGTAATCGATTAATCGTTTTCTGGTTCACACGGACTCAAACAGAGCAAAAATGACATGAAAATGTATTTTTGATTAAAACCGACTTTGTTTTTATAATTTCATGAATATCTGTCTGTCTCATCCAATCAGAGCAGAATTAGCACAAAGAGCCTGTTACAAACATTTACTTTAAGTTTACGCCATCAATACGTCCTCGAGTGTTGCCACTTTAGCTTTTTGTGATGAAAAAATAAAACATTTCTACACAATTCACAGCCAAGCGATTACTCTATTAATTGTAAAAATAATCGATAGATTCATCGATTACAAAATAATCGTTAGTTGCAGCTCTAGTCATAAATAACACACAGCATGTGACATGGGCAGGTTAGATTCTGGCAACAAAAGTTATATTGTAATTACTTTATTTGGTCGCTCAGGGTGAAAAGTGCATACTTTCCCTTTTCAAAATTTTTTTGTTAATGTTTTTGTTATTTTAAAATGTGTCTAATAAAAAAACATGTATGATTGTTATCTTACAGATCATCTATTGAGAGTGAGCCTGCGCTGGTCCTCGGGCCCCTGCGCAGTCTGGAGGAGCAGCGTCAGGAGCAACAGCTGCAGGAGATTCAGCTGCGGCGTCAGGAGCGAGAACGGCGAGCAGCCGAGGAGGAGGGAGGGGCCAAAGACGACAGTCCCCCCATCCAGGAGAGGGCTGACGAGCTCACAGGGCCCTTCCATTATGAGTTCTCTTACTGGGCGAGGTAGGGTCCTACACTCTTACTTGATATTTATTTGAATACTTTTGTTTCCTAATATTATGTTGTGTTTTTAATGTTAAGGGCTGGAGAGAAAATTACTGTGACTCCATCTTCAAAGGAGCTGCTCTTCTACCCCCCAGAGGTAGAAGCCACCATAACTGGAGGTAAACTAGATTTAGTTAAGCCTTTTAATGTGAAAGCTAGTGTAGTGAGAAGAACAGCAGGGTACAAAGCAAGAAACAGAGTGTAGAAAGTATTCAAAAACATCAAAATATCTATTTAACAAAACAAAAATTGTATAGTCAATCATTCGTTAGCTTAACGGTGCAATTTAAGTGTTTCAGCATGTAATGTAAACATGTGCATTCCCCATTTGTGTTGTGCTTAAACTGCTTTTTTACAGTGAGAATACCCCACTTTCCACAGTAACTTGTAGTGAGTGAAGTCTCATGATTGTTTCCAATGTAAAAGGAAAGTTTAATGCCAAACTATACACATCCAGGAAAAACATCTAGATCAGGGGTCACCAACCTTTTTGAAACCAAGAGCTACTTCTTGGGTACTGATTAATGCGAAGGGCTACCAGTTTGTTACACACTTAAATAAATTGCCAGATATGGCCAATTTGCTCAATTTACCTTTAATTCTATGTTTTTACTAATAATTAATGATATTTATTTTGTGGAAAAACTTTTATATTTTTTCTAAGTGCACATTTTTCAAATTTAACAAATGATCACTTCTAAGACAGTCCCATTTAATTGCAATTAATCACATTTTAATCGCATATAAATATTTGACCTGAGAACAGTGAGAAGTAATTTTTTTCACATGGATTTTTAGTTTACCATTGAATAATGACTGAACACATGAGGCTTAAGCAACACATGTTAATATGGAGTTTAAGGGATAACTTCTAAACATCAAATAACGTTTCTGTCATTGCCTCCACACTCTGACAACATATGCTCCTCCTCCTCCTCCTCACACTGACGACAACATACTCTTTTTAAGCCCAAAATCCACTGCACACGCTGTGAGCACTAAAGCTGGGCATGCGCTGTTTGCTAAAGCTTTTATAATACGTTTTTGATGTGTGCATTCGGAGTAAACATCAGCATTAGCAGCTCACACACCTGTGTCTCGCTCCTCCTTCTCCTCCTCCTCCTCCTCCGCTCACACAGGAGTCACTGCTCCTCCTCCTCACACACAGAGTCCATCGCTCCATACACAGCGCTCATTCTCGTCTAATTTACTCGAATTTAAAGTTGATCTCTGCTTGTAATAATGTACTTTTGAACAAGAAAAGTCACGGAGCTCCGGTTGGTGCGTCAGTTCAATTGGTCCGTCTGAAACTTATTCAGTGAGGAACGTTCCGCGGTGCAAAAATACATACGATTAAAATGCGTAATTTTTTTAACGCGCTTTTTTGTGTGTAATTAATTAATCTTTATTAACTTGTTAAAGTCCCGGCTCTAGTTTATATGCCATTTGTAAGTTGCATGTAAGTATGATTTAAACAAGAATAGCACTGGTAAGTGCTGCCATTTGAGCTATTTTTAGAACAGGCCAGCGGGCGACTCATCTGGTCCTTGCGGGCGACCTGGTGCCCGCGGGCACCGCGTTGGTGACCCCTGATCTAGATGAATCTAGGGGGCTTTGATGGTCCAGTGTGTTCGTCGACTCGCTTCCGTCATCACCGTGTGTGGAATGATTGGAACAATATCTGAACTCTGAACATTGTAAAGTGCTTTGGGTGACCTTGGTCTGTAAAATGCGCTGTATTAATAAACCCCTGACCCAGAAATAGAATAAGTTGAAAACAATGGTTGGATGGATGGCTGTAAATTACAGTCCATGTGTCTTTGTCCAGAGTCGTGCCCGGGGCGCCTGGTGGACATCTCAGGGCGCGCAGGGCTCTTCCTCGAAGGAAAAGTGTCGCCTGAACTTCAGGGAGTCGAGATTTCCATCACAGAACGAGGAGCCGCGCTCCCGCTCATCACTGTAGCAACCAATGAGATGGGCGTGTACAGGTTTGACTGTTTTTCTAATGGCTCATTTCACTATTTGATCTTCTAGTCTAGTTTAAAGCCGGTGTACCCCAAGACTGGCTGAATATCATAGTTTAAAGGGTGTATCGGGTGGATCTTACTAAAAATGACCTGTGTTGTTCCAGTGTGGGGCCGCTGCACAGTGGGCTTCAGTATGACATTACGGCCAGTAAAGAGGGCTTTGTGCTGAGTCCTGTGGAGGGGACTCAGGGAGACTTTAAGGCCTTCGCTCTGGCAGGAGTCACCTTTAAGGTACACATTATATGCTTTTTAAGTCACCATTTTAACACCATTTTGTCAACAGCTTTATTATCTTGTCACAGTTATGATTCTTTGTTTTCACGGCTCTTATGTTTTTATGACTAGACTTGTTGACAGCTCTTCATGACACTCTTATAGTTTTCGAAACTTGTTAAATGCACAAACAGTGCATCTCAAATGGAAAATTACACGTTTTGTTTTTGTCATTCTGTTTAGAAGTTTCCTTTGTTTAATTTTTGTTAAAAGGGTTTGTAATCATCCACAGCCCTCATTACGCCTTGACATCTCGTGTTTGTTTTGCTTTTAACACGCAATCTGAGAAAAGCACTTTGTCGCTCTTTTGTTCCTTTCCTGCTCTCAACACAAGATTTCTTGTGTTGACTGAAAACTATTTTTGATGTTTATAGATCCAGTCAGAGGACGGTGTGCCTCTGTCAGGTGTCCTCCTGTCTTTGAGTGGAGGGCAGTTTCGGTCAAATCTATTGACCCAAGACACCGGCTTCCTGACTTTCAATAATCTGGTCTGTAAAGCTGTTTTACTCAATATTTTGATAATATCAAATTAATTTAATTAATTAGATTTGTATTCTGTGCTTGGATCCTTTTTTATAACTGTTCTAAATGAACAAGAACATATTTACCAGCACTGCAACTGAAGAGATCCTTTCTTCATCCCATAGTGGGAAATTGCATGGAAACAGCAATAATTTGTTTTTTGTGTGTGTAATTATTAGGGGAAAAGCAAAAAAAATTAGTAGAAATTAAAAGAACATGAAAAAAGTATATTTGTCTAATTTTAGCTTGACACAGTGTTTTGTTCTTGTCAATAGAGCCCTGGTCAGTACTACTTCAAACCCATGATGAAGGAGTTTCGATTTGAGCCGACTTCACAGATGATCACAGTAGAAGAAGGTCAAAACCTTAGCATTGATATTGTCGGCATTAAGACGGCTTACAGGTAAATCATCTTTTGAATACTGAATATGTATGACTTTTAAACCAGTATAACTCAATATTGATATATGTGCAGCTGTTATGGGGCAGTGCAGTCCTTGAGTGGAGATGCAGAGCGGGACGTGGCCGTGGAGGCGGTGGGACAGGGCGACTGCAGCCTGTACAGCGAAGACACGGTCACTGATGAAGAGGGTCGCTTCAGACTCCGTGGTCTGCTGGTGAGGAGATGCAGCGTCAGAGCTTAAAGGGATTAAGTCATGGTATACTTTAATCTAATTAGTCCTGTTCATCCATAGCCGGGCTGCAAGTATCTCATCAAGTTGCGAGCAGAAGGCAACGACCACATTGAGAGAGCGCTGCCTCAGCATAGAGCAATTGAGGTAAACAATTTTAATGTTTACTTTGTTGAAAAACAAGGTTAATCTTTCTCTTCAGAGTGATTGAACACATACGTTTCAGATGGGACATTTACTGTGTTTGTAGAGGTTGTTCTTTGCACAACGCTCTGCTGTGGCAGCATTGTTAAATCCTCAGAGCAGCATGGAGAGCGATGTAATTGAATTGTTGTAGTGACTGTGAGACCTGTGATTATGACTTATCAACAGCCTTATCACATGGGTTCCTTTCGTACACAGAACAAAAGCGCGGATAATCCCATTGCTAGGTTTAACCTCTCATTTCATAATTTGCCTCGTCGCAAAAAGTGCTGGCCTCCTAATCTTTTCAGTGCGCCTGAAAAATGCCTTAATTCTACTTAATTCCCTGTTATTATCACACTATGTGACCTGGAGCCTTGTTTCCCATTACCTTCTAAATCTCTTTTCCTCTCAGGTTGGCAGCAATGACATTGAAGGGGTCAACATTATTGCCTTCAGACAAATCAATCAGTTTGACCTCAGTGGAAATATTATTACGTCTCCTGAACATCTTGCCACACTTTCGGTAAAACAGTTTTTAAACATTGTCCCTAGAGTTGTATTGTTTTAACAAGTAGCATCTCCTGCTTTATTTTATAAAGGTGAAACTGTATAAGAGCGACAATCTGGACAATCCAATCAACAGTGTGTCTCTGGGACAGTCTCTGTTCTTCCATTTCCCTCCTCTGGACAGAGACGGAGAGGTATAATTCACATGTTCTATTCTTTCAGTGTTTTGTTTTGCCTTTGCTCTCATTTGTTTTTTTCTGTGCAGAACTACGTGCTGATGCTGTACTCCACACTGTCTCGCTCTCAGTACGACTTCACACTGCCCCAAGTGTCCTTCACCTCCACTGGATACCACAAGCACATCACCCTCCCCTTTAACCCCACTGTAAGCTTTGGACATGATGGACTTTACTAAAACAAACTTACTAATTCATTATTTTTCTAATACAGCGTAAAGTGCCTGACCAAGATGTGGCCCAAGGCTCCTACATTGCTCTGCCGCTGACACTGCTACTTCTCTTGGCTGCATATAACCACGAAAGGGTACTTCTCCACATTTGTAAATAATATCATTGCCAAGATGTGTTTCATAACATCCCCCATCTCCTTTTCAAAGACTGTATACATATGGACAATGCTAACCTGCTAGCTCAATGAACCCCAATAGGGAAATTCTCAGGTTTTGCTTCAACTCTGGCTCCTATTGGCTTTCATTGAAACTCCCTAGGCTCTGTAACTGTTTGTGTCACAGTCACACTCACCATTTTAGCTTTAATAAAACATGGTTTAGCGCTCACTGTGATCCTAGTATTTTGATCTTGTCTTTGGTCAATTCTTATGGCTCAATTGGATTTACAATCAGCTGCCTTAATTCATGGGGAAAACTCAAGCTTGCCTTAGCCACAATCTTAGCAACACATCTGAAGCATTCCCGTCGGAACAAATGCCCACGTAAGAAAATTAGCTTGAGTTAGCTTATGTTAAAATCAGCTTCTTCCGCATTCGCCACACACTAAATAAGGGTCAGCACTCTCGTTAGTCCACCCCTAATACACAGTCTATGCTCCTCAGGTCATTCCACTTCTGCTGCAGCTGGTGAGCCGGGTCCAGGGAGTGAGGAGCATGGCCCAGACCAGCGGAGACATCGCCGCAGTGGACGAGGCCAAACGGCAGGCGAAACGAGCCAAATCCCGACGCACGTGATAACAACCACTTCAACCTCAATGCAATAATCGATGTCGCTCATTATCAGCAGTTGTTGTTAATGGGCGATAAAGAATGTTATTAGGTTCGAGCCTCAGAGGGCCTCTTGTTTTCATGAGACGCAGCTCTGGTTTGTGAAGGATTCAACACGTGTAGCCAGACCCTCACCAGACAAACCTTTCAACCTTTGTTTAGACTGCTGTTAATACTTGAGCCATTACGAAAGATGTTCTCAATTTTGTTTTTTGTTTTTGCGTTTTAACACCAAGTCACCATTTCATATCCAACTCGCCAAAGTGAAATATTCTTCAAACCGTCGTCAATCTTGGGTCTCTTGAAATTTGCCATCTTGTTACTGTAATGCACTCCAGCTGCTTTTGGGGGTTACCACATAAGTCGGGTCCGTATGATTTTCTAATTTTGCTCAGGAGAGTTCAGGACCGATTGGACATCATTGCGTGAGTCAGGAGTTTGTTTTTGCGGGTGTGCGAGGAAGATGCTAGCGAGTGCAAAGGTTGTATTTCAATCCAGGTTTTATTTGTTATTGATCCTCATAATTGGCAATTCTTTGTATGATTTCTTAACTATAGCCAAGATCATGTATGTGAATATTACTGTCTTTACCATTGACGATTTTCTTAATTTGTATGTGTTGTACTGTACAGATAGGACAAACTAATAATTTATTAATTTTTCTAATGCATTATGTTACCTTTTGGGACTTTGCCTTGCTTATATGTGTGGATTCCGGCTTGTCTATCATGAGCTCTATTAATGCAGAACCGAACCAACAGCTTTGTCCCAACCAAGTGACAAAGCAGATATATAATTGGTTTTCATAATTGGTTTCATTGTTTATCCCAGAATTAAGTATGGCACTGTGAAATGAATGGACTCCCAATTCACTTTTTTCTATTACATTTGTGTGTTCTCAATTTGTGGCAGGATTTTTTTTCGAAATGAGAAGAGCCCAGACACAGATTGAGTGGGATAAAAGATTATCCCTGTTTGAGATTAGCTGGGGAGGGGGCTGGGGTGATTGCTGTTTGATCTGAATTAAATTTTTAAGATGTTGAATAAAATGTTGGAAGGAATTGCGTTTGTATTTAATTGTTTTGTCTGTAGGGGGCAGTGCAACGTTTAGGAATGAATGTCCACACAAAGACGGCAATGTACACGAAGAGCATTATTATTTTACTAGATATTGTAAACCTTTATTCGTCCCTTAGTGGGGACATTTCAATGCTATAGTTGCGCAAATTGCAGCAGAATAAAATAAATAAAAGCACTCGGTTATGCACACATCTAACAGGATCTATTATTTAAGGTAATGGATGATAAAATAACAAGAGAATAAACTTTGGAGATATAATTGCGCTTGTGGAGAATACTATAGTCAGCAGCAGTCATAAGTTTTCATGTTTACAGTGAAAGGTATTGTATTTTAGCTGCAGAGAATATGACCAGATAAACAGTATATAGCAGCAGGTAAAGTGGCCAGAGAGTTTTCAGAACAGATGAAAGGAACACGCAAAATACAACTTTTTCAATTCTCATTACTCATGGTTGTTATACATACAAAACCTGGACATATTTTGTTTTTGTGTAAAGCAATAAATGTCACAAGGGGTTTACAGCTTGCTTCTAATTTTCTGCTAAGTCTTTATCAAGCATCGCCTTTTGCTGACTCACAAGTGCTACATCTTGTGTTTCCTGCGTCTCATACAAAATGCATGAAATACTGTCTTGTTTTTTTAATTACTATTTTTTTTTAGAAAAATGTAAACATGTATTTTAGCATTTTTGTCATGTTATGTTAGTAGTGTATTTTTACAAGAAGGAAACATAAGTGGCGAATCAGATCGAATTGAGTCAAATCTGTAAACTGTCCAAAGTGTGCCCAAGCCTTTGGTAAATGTAAAAAGGTGTTATAGCTGGTGTCTGGGGGCAGGGCTGTATACACTTTAAAATGACCAAGTATAGGGCCTCAACAATTCCCCTGTTCACTGCAGGCAAAACTCACTGAAAATAATATGTTGGGCAAAGGTCAAGACCCAATGAGATTTAACACAATGTTTGACAATTTTATCTGTGAATTTGGAGTTCTAACTGGTACTGGTTTTGTGTTTTTTGGAGAAGGCTACTCACAAGGAGAAGGTAGAAGCAATGCCTTTCGAGTCTGGGGACCTATCCCAGGGAAAATGTGACCAAATACATGCAATTTCCTGCAATCTGTTTTATATTATTTTTAGCAAGTCAAAAAATCCAATAAAAATGTTGGTAGTTTTTTTATAAACATAAAATGGACTAAATATCTAAACATCTATGTGTTTGAACAATAATTTTGGCTTAAGTTTAAGTTTTGGTCTGAATCATTCCATGTGATAATGAAATTGTTATACAAATGAGTAAAAATAGTGAAATGCATAACGTGATGGATTATAAATAGTACTATAGCATTAGTATTAGTAATTAGTAATCAATAGTATTTTCACCACTGTGTATGAGTGAAAGAATAACTTTTTCAGTCGCTGTTTGGAAAATCTGGAGACATTCTCACCAATCCATGAACTGAAATTGAAATACAGTATTCTTCTTTCTATGGCCAACAGGTGATCCGTCTTAAAAACATCCACATTGGAGAGGATTTTGGCTTCAACCCGTCACTTCGGGAGTAACTGGGTCAGAACCAAACAAGACTGCTGGGCGCATTTGTTTGTTCCTCCGCCTAGTATCAGCCTCACACACGCTCTGGGCGGAAGGATGCTCCCGCGCTCAGAAGGTCAGCTCTTTAAAACATGTCCAAAACACGCTGTAAAGTGGAAGAGAAGAGTGAAGACATGAGCGTAAATCCAGTCAACTCAAATGCTCAGGAGCGAGGGCCGCAAGTCGACTGGAGAACCGTGGCCTGGAGGACCGTGGCCTGGAGGACCGTGGCCTGGAGGACCGTGGACTGGAGGACCGTGGACTGGAGGACCGTGGCCTGGAGGACCGTGGCCTGGAGGACCGTGGCCTGGAGGACCGTGGCCTGGAGGACCGTGGCGGACTGAGACCAACAGATAGGATTTTTATTTTTCTTATTTTCTTTAATCAAAAAGAAATTAACCAACGCGCTCAAAGTGTCTGTGGAGTCTGCTGTGGACCGACTGAAGTTTGGGCGTGGAAAGAGGACTGGCGCAGCATGGATCACAACGAGCCGTGTCCCATGGTCCTGCTTCACGGTAAGAAATTAATAGTTTATACACCGGGCTGTTGATAAACTGTGTTGCGGTTTTGTTACAACGCTGGTCCCGCCTGGTTTAGTGTAAACTTCAAATCAAATCAAATCAAATTTTATTTCTAAAGCGCTTTTTATACAAAAGATGCAACACAAAGTGCTTTACAGTTTGGTTAAAAAAAATCCGGCCGGCCCATGTCCCCTCCCCCCGACCACCCAACAGACCCATCCCAAACCACAGACAAACACACACACGCTCCCATGCACACTCTCTGACACACACACACACACACACACACACACACAAGTAAAACAGTAAAACAATGATGAGAGACTTGGCAGGGTTCGGATGCAACCAGCTGAAAAAGCGTCATCCTAGGAGCCGTCTGCACCAGGAGCAGAGAGCCGCCTGTAGCCACAGGGGACGACACATGATCTAGAGGAGACCCGAAACCGAGGCCCCAGGCCCCCACCAGGTCCAAGAGTCCGACCCCCACAGCCATGCCGACCACCGCTCCCAGTGCAGAGGGCTCCTCCGGAGGAAACACTGGTTACACTAAAAACAATACAATAACAATACAACTTGTGGACATTGAAGTTGGACTTTCCGACATTTGGGTCAGAAAATCCCCAACCCCCTGTAGTGCATTCATTCTCAATGAAGGCGAATTACGCTCATATGTGTGGCAAGCTGGACTTGGCCACCATATTTCTGTCCAGTAGAGGGCGCCTACGCCCAGTATAAATAGCCTAGATTTACGTCTTTTGTTTACCTCTGCACTTCCGTCTCTTGTGTGTCGTCGCGCCAGCCCTTCTCCTGCTCCAGTGCCGCGGTGTGGCATTGTGCCCCGCGAGTCCTCCTTGTGCACGGCCACACTGTTCAGTCGCTTTGGTGTCTGGCCGCCCTCATTGCTGGGGTCCGAGTGCGTCGTAGCCGGCTGTTGGTCTGGGCCTGTAAACCGCTACTCGTCAAGAGTGCGCGCTCAGTGTTGGCTGTGGAAATGCTGAGGACTGGCCACACCGCGGCCTCCCGCTGTTTCTCCCGTTGTCTCTCGTTTCTCTCCATGTTCTTCTATGTTTCTGTTGGGTGTTGTTCACCTGTACTCCTGAGTCCTTTGTGACAGGATGATGTGTGCTTGTGAATATTAATGTGAAATGAAACAGAACCTAGTTGAATCAGGAGAACTAAACTGAACATAATAAATCAAAGTAAACGTAATGTCTGTGCCTCTCAATTATGATTTACGAACCTGTGCGCCTTAGAGCGCTTTATATTTTATTTTGGGCACTTTGCCCTGGCGTTGCTGGTTTTTCTTTCTCATTTATATTTTAATATTATTTAAGGAGCGCGTAGCAGCCTCCACATTGCCACATATGCGTCATGCTATTATCCACATTACAGCGATGTTCCTTCACTTTCCTTAGCTCATGCCTAGTTTAGCTTGTACTGTTGCGTGTGAGTGAATTTTATTACGGTCGGCACTAGGTCCTATAACGCTAGTGCACCATGGATCTATTATAATAACACCCGGACACTTTCTGCTGCCTAATATCCTGAGTCGGACCCCCACGTGTTTGTCGAACTCGACCTTATTGCTGCTGTTAGCTTTAGCGCTCGCGACTAACGTTTGGTGGGCACTTTCTCCGTGGTAAGTTTTGTCTGTTTATTTTGAGATACTATTATTCAACACGACATGGACAGAAAGGTTGGTAGCACACAGGCTCCTGCCCATGGTTTGAAAACATAATATAATTACATGTAGTTTGTATAACTTTGAGTTCAAGGTTAAGTGAATATTAAGCAATATTATCATAATATTTGTGTTTGTTATTTGGATAAAAATACTTGAACTCTGCTACTATACTTTCACTTCTCTTGAATTAACAGAAGTAGAGGATATGAAGATTAAACTGTCTGTTTTGTTATTGAGTCCTTAAGTGGTGACTGGTTAAGTTTTAGGTGTCTGAGTAAGATGGTTAAGGTTAGTATTAAAGGGTGGGTTGGGGTTATTCTTTGGGTGTGGCTGGTTAAGTTTAGATAGTTGGTTATATTTACTTACGCGTCCATGCTGATTCCATATATGATCTAGTTGTGACCATTTTATAACAGTTCTATGGAGCGCGCCCATCAATACAATGCTCCGCCATCTTGGATACTTCCAGATTTATTTTAGTTCTATGTTATAACGTGATGACATAATAACTGTCGCTACATTAAGGCAATGAGAAATAAAAAAATACAATGATTGAATGAAACTGTTCTTTAAGGAAGATCCTGACATATTTCTCTCATAGAATGTATGCATAAACTTGAAAGGTAGAATGGAAAACATAATTTTGTGAGTGTATTTTGACGCACAAGTTATCCAACAAAAAGAGCTGATCAGTTACACCAGAATAGAGGAAAATGTTTTCGTCTCAGGGCTTCTCAAAATAACGGGTGTCCATCACATAAGTTGAAACACAGACTTGTAAATGCAGTGGTACAGTAGAAACGTGTGTATGTGAGAGCTGAAAAACAACACTGATTTTAAGTACAAAAATGTTTCTAATTATATTTATTTTTCTTTAACCTCTGGAATAAGGCCATGTGACGCATCCAAAAAGTAAAACATAACCAATCCCTTATTATTAGTAGCATTCTTAGCAAATAATTACATACGCAAACACACACACTCGGGTCCAGGATACCAGATTGATAAAATGACCAGATTATACAGATCTAATTGTCCTAACACAACCCTCCTCCTTTCCTTTGCCTACACCGCAGTGGCGTGCCGGCCGGCCTGAGTCACCCTATAGCAGCCGGGACAGCCGTCATCATTGCACCAAGGGAGGGGTGAGGGACGGGGTGAGGCGAGGGGACCTTCTGTGCCACATTAATACCAGCGGCTTGATGAGGAGGCTGAGGTAGAGGCGGTGGAATTAAATATTCATGTGCAATGACGACAAGATGGGCAGCAGCGGTGAATATGATGTGTAATAGTATCTACTGCAACCTTTTGTGGGCGCTCCAGTCGCTGTGAATGGAGATATGACCCAGACAGACTCCAGAGTGCCATTTCCCATCAGGCAGAGAGGTGTGTCATGTCGCCCTTTTATGAAACCCCAAACCTACTTACATTTGGCTCATTGCGGCCAAGGCTGAGGCTCTGGCGCTAAAAGTAATCACAGAGAGCAATGCAGGTCAGACAGGTTTGGAAATTCAGTCAGTTGTTGGCAATTTATATGCCCAAAAGGCTTATTGAATTGGACATTCAAGTTAACGTGATTTGGTTTAAGGGCATAGACTGTAGGTGTGATGTCTGCTCCACAATCTCAGGTGGCACTAATAGAATGATAAAGAAATAATAACACAGTATGGTAATTCTCTTGCGGGTTCAACTCTCAGCAAATGAGATTTAAAATATTCCCCAGTTTGCTCATGTTTTTCTATGTATGGTGTTATGGCTGTGGTAGCTATTTGTAAAACCATGTATTTGGAACCTAAATATACCTATTATGTTTGGAGTACAAACTAAGGCTTCTTATTCATGCTGTCCCTGTCTATCTCGACTCAGTGCAAAGTGGCTTTTACTGTTAAGTGGCTTGTAAAATCCACCATTATGTCCTTGTCCTTGCTCCCTCTGTAGTGTCGGTCAATGCTTTTTTTTACTCGGCTGTGTCCTGGACATAAGCGAGACTTTGACTGCACTGTGAGCTCTTATACTTAGTTCCCAGAGGTACAAGGTTGAGCCCTACACCGGCTCTATCTTCTAATCCTCTGCCTGTAAGAAATCTACTGGTTACTGTCTGCTCCTCTCGCCTCCATTAAAAGACTGTGGACACATATTGAACCGCTCTTACAGGCTTTTCTGTTTTGTTGAAGTCACTTTTAGAACTTAAAATAGAAAGGTACAGCATTGGGTTATTTTCTGTAAAAGTAAAGTCAGTCGTGGACGTACGGCATGCATGTGAGTTTTGTATAAACTAATGCGTAAAGAGAGCCGCTATTAGTGCCCTGCTGGCTTCTGGAGATGTTAACTTGCAGCCATTGTGATAAAACGAATGGCATTGTGGGTCTAAAATGGGCTCTTTCGCTCAGTCTATCCATTTCATTTTGTCCCGTATCTCAGTCCTCTCTCATTGCTCTGCTCAGCTCGCGGTTCCGATACACTGGTGCTGGAGTCTATACCGTCATCTGTATGATCAACGGAGCCTGACCAAAGAGGAGGAAAGGCAGAGACCAATGTGTGTGTGTGTGTGTGTGTGTGTGTATATGTGTGTGTATATGTGTGTGTTTGTGTGTGTGTGTGTGTGGGAAGTTCATCGCCACTGAGCTATCCTTGGGCAAAGTCATGCAGAGAAAGTGGCCTATATGGAATGGCTCTTTCTGTATCTTTAAGTATCTACATATTATGGTCATGCATCAGTTTGGTCTTAGAAGCTAAGCAGTGTAAGACTTGTTAGCCAACTGTATGGGACACCCTCAGGAAGTCCAGATACCACAGTGAATACCACACTTAATCAGTTCATTCCTAAAAATGGCTTCAAACCTGAAACTGTTGTACTCGATCACAAGAATCATTGGGCCTCATTTACGAACTGTTCTTAACCAATTTGTTCTGAAGTCCTACTTACACAGGATTTCTCTTAGGTAAGAACAAATCCTACAAATACTCAGTAGCACTCTTGCAGTAGTATGCATTCAACACAAGCATACACATTACCTATAAGTAATGTAATAATGTAAAAATCATATTGACAAAGTTAAGCCAACAATAAAAACAACATTCAGTGATGGTACATGGCTCTGAAGTATGTTTTGTTTATGTCCCTTATTGTGTTGTGCATTGATTATTGTCTACTGTGTTGTATGTCTATTATTATCATTGATATTATTGGTTATTTTTATAGTATGGTATTAAAATGATATTCTAGTAGATACAAAATTATTTAGCTGATTGATATTGAATCATAATTTCACTATATAATAATATAATATAAAAGTGAGCGATTATTTGACTAGAGCACAAATATACATGCATATACATACATATAAACAGATAGATAGATAGATTCTTTATTGTTCCATCGTAGGAGAAATTTAAGATAAATGACGACATAATATGTAGTAGGAAATGTGTATATAAAACTACCGCTGGTTTTGCTTTTGTTATATTTCCCTGTAAATGGCGACAACCATATATTTGAGGACTTAATGGGGGTGGGAGTAAATAAGCTTGTCTTCATCCCACTCCCTTCCAAGCTGTTTATTTATTTATTTATTTTTTTCCTTTTCTATTGATGTGTTAATATTGTATAGCATCGTAATGTATTTCTTTTTATCTTGTGTTGTATTGTACCGGCTTGGAATAAACTAAACTAAACTAAACTCTTAAGCACATTCAGTGCCAACATGTTCGCACGCTGGTGTTGTCTACTTTTGTGAAGCTCAATAAAACATTACAGTGATATGTCTGTCATATTTATGTATGTATTTATTCATTTCATTTTTTGTGGTAATTTAGCCTATTTTCTAATTCATTTTTTAATTAAATGTGCCAACGCTTTATAAAATAAATTGGAAATCATGCCGTCTAGTGACCCCATCTTATTTATAGGGGGTATTTCTCCATCCACGGGACACAAAACAATGGCATATATACTGCTGCTGCTGCAGGAGGTTGCGGGGTCCGAGCTGAGTCTCCGCGCTGGTTTCTCCCATGGACATATGGGGGTCCGCGCTGGTCTCTCCCATGGATGTGGAGGAGGATATAGAAGATACGATCATGTCCTTTAGTGGTTGTTGAAAATGCTTATGTCTTAAAAGACATATCAAAAAGAGCCTTCACAGAGATGAATGGATAAATGGAGTCTAGTGAGTGTGTTTTCTGATTATCTGTTTTCTTCCGCTTTATCTGTTGCCGTTAGCCGTCTGAGCAGAGACACTTCCTCCAACTGTAGACAAGACTTTTACAGAGATGAACTTTATTAAAACGATCTCAAAAACAGATGGATGAAAACGAGGAGAACAAACTGGATCCAGAGAAGAATCATGAATAGACGACATGAGGGAAATGTCAGTGTCGCATCGCACTTTAACAAACTATGACGACGATTTAATGTCACTTTTTATCTAAAGCTGGAAGACTTAAAATGTGCCTTATAAAACAGATGACGCGGAGCAGTTACCATGGAAACTCTGGCCTGTGACGCCACACTGGGTGTCCATGGCAACAGTGGCGTTGCTATGGACACTGACGTCATCATTCTAGAATGACATAATTGAGTCTGGACTATGTTTAGCATTGACATTGGATGTCAAACTTGCATCCATTGATTGGGGCAAGCAGGAAGTCAGGAGAGAGTCCAATTGACCACATTGACCCCATGGAGTCAGAGGACATGGAGACATAGACAAAGATAGAAACTTAGCAAAGTAGCTTAGAAGAAGGTTTGTTTTTTTATCGTTCATCTGGCCCTTTTCGTCGTAGCAATGGGTACTAAACTCTCGAGGTGTTTTCAAACTCAGAAAAGTTCTGAGAAAGCCGTGAATCAACAGGATTCAGAGAAAAGGGCAGAGAGGACAGAGATCCACCACAGATCCACTGAAGTCGAGCTGTTGCCAGAAAACCTCGAAGACAATCAGTCGCGTTTGATTCGAGAGCAAGATGTTTTAAATGAAAGGATTGATGCGATATTTCGTAAAAACCAGGAGAGCATCGCGAAGAGGACACAACAGGACTGGGTCTTTAAGAGAGAGAAGCTACAGGACGACGAACAGGAGACTGTGGAGACGGAGAAGCTGCAGCCTGAGCAGAGAAACCCCCAACAAGAGGGTCCTAGGATCAATGAGGAACAGGAGGAGCAGGAGGTTAAAGGGGAGGTAGAGCAGGAGGTTAAAGGGGATTTAAAGCAGGACAAGTCGGTCTTCAAGGGACAGAAGGTAGGGTTAGAGCACTGCGCACAGGCCAGTACTTCGTTTGAGCTTTTGCGCCAAGAGAGGGAGAAATGTAGGAAATATATATCTGAACTTAATCAGTTTAAGGATAAAGTAAAGCAGGACGAGGCCAGCAGCGACAAAGCAGCGGATCAGGAAAAGGAGACATCACCGACAGAAGGTGATGTAGAGAGGAACCGCGAACTGGAAGCCGAGGTCCAACGTCCAACGTCTTTAGAACTGAGAGAAACTAAGCAGGCTCTTAAAGGGAAAGTGCAGTCTCTGGAGACACAGAACAGGGAATTGACCCAAGAGTTTGAAAGTTTTAAGTTTAGATCAGAGGAAAAACTGAGGGAAAGCAGGAATGAAATGTTGAGAATTTGTGCAGAAAACAGAGAGTTGGCCGAAAAATTTGAGGAATATAGGTCAGAATCAAAGAGAGAAAAGTCTCGCCTGCGGACTGAGCTGGAGTCATGTAAATCTGATTCTCAGCGGCGCCGTCAAAATGTAGCCACAGATTTAGAAAAAACAAATGCGCATTTAATGGAGCAGTTAGAGTTCTACAAGACGGACCTCGAGAACAGAACGCGGGACTCCGGTTTGGAAATTACGATCTTTAAAGGAAAGGTTGATTCTCTGGAGAAATATACGTTTAGTCTGGAACAGAAACAGCGACACCACAGTGGGCTCCAGACTGAGGTAGAGTCCCTCAGAGTAGAGAACTTAGAGATGAAAGAAGCTCTAAACTGTAACAAATCTGAACTGGTCCGACTGAGACAGACGGTGGCCGAGGCAGAGAAGAGAGAGCAGACGCTCCGAAACACAGTCAGCCTCCTTGAAACCCAAAAGAGAGATTTGTCTGAGAATTTGCAGAGGACAGAGTTTCGCTTAAACAGGTTACGAAACACGGGCTTCGACTGGGAGTAAGACTTTAACATCCATCCATTTTCTTCCGCTTTGTCAGTTGCCGGGTGGCGGGGGCAGAAGTCTGAGCAGAGATGCCCAGACTTCACTCTCCACACACACTTGCTCCAGCTCATCTGGAGGAATCCCAAGGTGTTCCAACACCGGGAACAGGTCTGACTTACTGAGAACGCAGCTCTGGCTGGTGTGTTCTCCTGGTTCTCCCAAAGGAACCAGGGGATCACGGTTGAACTCATTCTCCAGATCCACAAAGCACAGGTGGACTAAGGCGAACTCCCAGCTCTGACCTCTCCATCGGATACATCGAGTATTTGATGGAGAGGTCAGAGCTGGTCCAACTTCAGGGAGACCAAGGCCAGAGATTCTCCTAATTTTCTGATCTGGTCTGAAAGATGGAAATGCAAACTTGTGTGATCCTCGTCCTACAGAGAAGTTAGTGATGACTCCAGTCTTTAAAGTCTTTGGTCTGTAGCCGCTGCAGCTTTAGAATCTCCGGCTGAGATGACCTGGGTCTTGGCATTTGGACTTGGGTTGAGGGGGATCTTCTACTTTCACTGCTACTTCATTCTTTACATGTGTGATGGCAAGCCAGGCCAAGGTTAGAGGGTAAATGTGATAGGAGCAGGGACTTTGGTTCAGGTTGGGGTTAAGGGAAGGCTTTCTGGCCATTTTCTAAAATACAAAGAATTTAGAAAGTGGTCCAAACCCTGAGCCTGACCTCACCATAACTAAGTTAACTGTTCTTATCTCACCTGAATCCTTCGCTGAAACTGATCCTGAATCTAAATCACAAATGGAAAGAAAGAAAGTGCTTTGAATGATATTTCCCTGAGCTCGGGATTAAAAGCCAGGATTCCACGGATCCCCAATAGTTTCTCTGGGGAGACTGGAGCAGGAAGACCATGGACCAAAGACTTGAGGACAGAGGTTTCAGAGAACTTAGAGAAGACCTTGTCTAAAAGAACCTTAGAAGATTCTTTTAGACAAAAACTAAACTAATTAACTAATGAATGACCTAACGTTTTGGCCAAAATATTAGGTCATTCAGCAGTATTAGTTTTCTTTAATGTCTGTCATATTAAAAGAACTTTTTAAGTCCTTCAATAAGCCTCTAATAAGACTTAGAGTCTTACTAACGTTTCTCTCTGAGGTTCTTTCTGACAACAACAGGACGGCACGGTGGCTGAGTGGTTAGCACTCTGCCTTCTCACCAAGAAGGTCCTGGGTTCTAATCCCGCTCAGAACAGGACCTTTCTGAGTGGAGTTTGCATGTTCTCCCCGTGTCTGCGTAGGTTTCCTCCAGGTGCTCCGGTTTCCACCACCACTAACAACATGTACATTAGGTCAAAGCCTGACTTAAGGAACCAACAGCAGAGATTTGGACTCGAGCTGCTGTTGACCATTGGCTGACGATTCTTTGGAATAAACTTTATTGGATTGTTTAAATAAAATATTTTACAAACATGCTTTCATTTCATTTGTCTGTCGTTATAGAATTAGAAAGTCATGAACCTGAGTCAGCAAGTTTCACTCCCCTCTCATCTGCACATGGACTGTTCCAACCTCTCCCCTCTCTTATGTGACTGGAAACACGTCAAATATGAAACGAAAGCTGGGGTCCCTAACTTTCAAACCACGAAATCCTCCTCTGTCAGTGGTTCCTAAACTTGCACACACAAACTTTAATAGAAATGGATCGAGTGGAGGTACAAAACAAATTCAAAAGTGGAGAGCAAAACTTGCAATTGGAAGGTGAGTACAACAAGGGAAATCAGATGTGTCGGGCTTCTGTCGGGCTCGGGCCTATTATACAGCGTTAAATGGTCGGGCTTATACGGGCTCGGGCATAATATTAGCGGGGTCGGGCTTGATTTTTCAGGCCCAAACAAAACTCTACTCCAAGGTCCTTTTGATAGAACAAGACACACATTCATATGCAGATTGGAAAGGAAGTACCAACACAACAAAAGACACTCCGTATTAGCGTATACAAAGCCTGCTTCCTCCTGATATCCTCCAGACTTCCTGGAGTCTTCCTGGAGCTTTATGCCGCTTTTCCACAGTAACTGTACGTTACGGTACGGCACGCTTCGGTGCAGTTATTTTGTATTTCCACTAGTCATAGTCCCGGAGTTTGCGTTACTTTTTCGCAACAGCTCAACTGCGGTCCTGGTCCTGGTCGGTGAACGAGGTCCACACGTTCCTCTCTTCAGGCCGAAATAAATTATTCAAAGGCAGCTCGAGGCTCAACACGGTTTTCAGGGAGATCACCCAGCTCTGGATTTGTGACTAGTCTGTGGTAATCCTGGAAATAACTGGTTAGCTACGAATCCCGTTGGCCCAAAGCTCTCACTGAAATGTATATTTATGTACAATATGGCCTACGTGCAGGACTGTACAATATGGGGTGCCGATTGTAAAAATGCTGTTAAAATTTTTTAGCTGAACATTTTTCTACATTTAGCTCACTTTCCTCACATTTAGCACATTTTCCTCACATTTAAGACATATCTATATCTAAATATTATATCTATATCTAAATGTTAAATGTTATATCTAAATATTATATCTATATCTAAATGTTATATCTATATCTAAATGTTAAATCTAAATGTTAAATCTAAATGTTAAATCTAAATGTTAAATCTAAATGTTATATCTATATCTAAATGTTATATCTATATCTAAATGTTATATCTATATCTAAATATTATATCTATATCTAAATGTTAAATGTTATATCTAAATATTATATCTATATCTAAATGTTATATCTATATCTAAATGTTAAATCTACATTTTAAATCTAAATGTTAAATCTAAATGTTAAATCTAAATGTTAAATCTAAATGTGTCGCCAAGTGTAAAGCTAAATATATAGAAACCACGCCCACTGCAGTGGCTTCAAATCCAGTGGGCCCGCCTTCCGTGCCGTGTGGAGAGAACCCTACAGGATTACACAGGAATCTCACGGGACTCCACGTGGCTTAGTTTACAGTGAATACACTCTGGCTCCAGCAAATAAGCAAGAATCTTCACAAAAATGCTAATTTTGTGCCGTGGCCAAGGACGATGGCGCCGGAGACCCAACATGCCTTGAGCCGTGACGTCGGTCCACGTGTATTCCTATGTTCAAAACACGCGGCACCGCCCCCACTCACCACACGGCACGGAAGGCGGGCCCACTGGATTTGAAGCCACTGCAGTGGGCGTGGTTTCTATATATTTAGCTTTACACTTGGCGACACATTTAGATTTAACATTTAGATTTAACATTTAGATTTAACATTTAGATTTAACATTTAGATATAGATATAACATTTAGATATAGATATAATATTTAGATATAACATTTAACATTTAGATATAGATATAATATTTAGATATAGATATAACATTTAGATATAGATATAACATTTAGATATAGATATAACATTTAGATTTAACATTTAGATTTAACATTTAGATTTAACATTTAGATTTAACATTTAGATTTAACATTTAGATTTAACATTTAGATATAGATATAACATTTAGATATAACATTTAACATTTAGATATAGATATAATATTTAGATATAGATATGTCTTAAATGTGAGGAAAATGTGCTAAATGTGAGGAAAGTGAGCTAAATGTAGAAAAATGTTCAGCTAAAAAATTTTAACAGAATTTTTACAATCGGCACCCCATAGTACAAGGACTGATTATTTTGACTACGATGTGCACTGTCTCTGTGTGACACGTACGTCTTTTGATGTGTGACGTGACAATGACCATATAAACTGTGTACTGCCTTTATGCTGTCTGAGAGAAGGAAACAATTGAAACCACTGGAACTTGAGGGAAACTTAAATAAACTTCCAGAGTTTGGCGCATCACGATCCGTCTCTGTCTGGTTCATTCCTGACACTAAGCTAACGTCCTTCCTGCGCTACTGTGCTTTATCTCGTATTATCTGCAGTATTCACGTGTTGTCATTCTGATTTGTGTTTGTATTTAAGTTGTGTGTATATTTATATCAGAATTCCTTTCCATAAGTGGGGAGATTACCAACAAGCAATGAGTGACCGTAGTATTCTCCTTATCTGGACCTGGTCTCACACATAGGTACTTTGGACTTACTTTGCTTACTTTTATACGTAATTTGAAACTGATGGTTTTGCACTTTACGTTTGTTTTGAATAAATCTGTGATTATATCCCAAGACTGTTTCATTCATTTATAAAGGATTGTGGCAAGTCTAAATCCGTATGTCCGGTGAGCGTGTTTTGACTGTTATCCCTCTGCGCTCTGTTTGCATTAACCTTTGATAAATCCACGTATTAGTCTACAACAAGCTAACTTTGTAAGCACTCTGAATCAACTGTATTGTAGCTGAGGTTTGGGTATCGGTTGTCTGGTCTCGGAGTCTGCTGTACTGGACCCGGGTCCGGACTAGCCTAGCCTAGCTTAGCCGCTAACTCGCTACCCCTACGGCTGCTTCTGTCTTTTCCTTGGTCCTTTAGTGCTCGAGTTGCCATATGACGAGTTTAAACCCTGGATCCTTCTCTGAGGGTAGTGATAGATGTGTTGTGGTGTACTTAAATAACGAGGCGATGCACACGTTTTACCACTTTATATAGCAGATCTCTGGGAGCAACACAACAACGTGACACGAGGCCATTACAGTCTGAACATTTGTATAACATGCGCAGCAGACACAATAGCTAACTACGGCAAGTCTTCAGGGTCAACCTTAATGCTTATTATAATGGTATTAATACACCACATTACCTCCCCCCTTAAATTAAAAGTAATCTTCACATAACGCATTAATATAGAACATTAACGTAAACTACACTTCTTACACAGAGTGCGTTCTCGCTCTGGTTAATTAAATGACCACTTCAAATAAGTATTTTAAATCTTACAAATAACTCAACCCTCTTTACTAACTGAACAAGTCCCAGTATTATTTAGTCTCTGTAGCGTGACGGCCGCCTAGCCGCACGCTCCGAGCGCCTCAAAGTCACTGTTTCTGGATCAGGCGGCTCAGGCTGGTCCAACGTAAACGGTTGTGGGGCAGGTGCTGTGGAGACTGGCCCAGCAAGGTTACTCTCCTGATCCGCTGACTGAGTTGCTCCTAGAGGCTCTGGGTCTGAAACCTCCTGAGGATACCGAGGTCGCAACTGGTCTCCGTGACGTCTGTACACTTGGTCAGTTGTCTCTCCCTGCACCCGGTACGACACCGGACCTGTCTGCTGTGTAACTACTCCAGGGATCCATTTGGGTTTATCACCTGCAGTATTGCGTAGATACACAGGATCATCCACATCAAACTGTCTCTCGGTAGCCCGACTGTCGTGCTCCTCCTTCTGCTGATACTGCCTCCTCCGCACCCTCATGGCGATGTTTGGCCTTAGGAAATCCAACCGCGAACGCATATGTCTCTTTAGGTGCAAATCTGCGGGTGACTCTCCAGTCGCACTGTTGGGAGTTGTGCGATACCGCAGTAGGAAATGTGAGACCTTGTCCTCAACATTCAAGTCCTCTCCGTCCAGCTTCTTCATGCCTGCTTTGAATGTAGCAACATACCTCTCAGCGAGGCCATTGGTAGCTGGATGCCGCGGTGCACCAGTTGTGTGAAGGATACCGTTCCTTTTCATGAAGAGCTGAAACTCCTCTGACATGAAGGTCGTGGCGTTGTCTGTGACAATTTGCTCTGGTAATCCATATGACACAAAAAGTCTCCGAAGCCTTGAAATGGTTGCGGAAGATGTTATTTTTGCCATCTTGAAAACCTCCAGCCACTTAGAGTATGCGTCTACAACTATCATGAACATGTGACCTATAAACGGACCTGCAAAGTCAATGTGGAGCCTTTTCCAAACCTCTCCAGGAAACTCCCAGGGGTGTAGAGGGACTGGGTGTGGCATACGCTGCTCCAACTGGCACCTGTCACACTGCTTACAGGTCTTTTCAACGTCCATGTCTACATGTGGCCACCAGACATATTGCCTCGCAATGGTCTTCATCTTTACAATGCCAGGGTGTCCACTGTGGATCTCATTAAGCACTGCTGTTCTTAGCTTTTTAGGTACCACTACTCTTGTACCCCAAAGAACACAACCTTGCTCAACAGATAGTTCCTCTCTCTTTTTGTAGAACACTTTCAGTTCTTCTGCTACTTCCCTTGGCCACCCTTCCTTGATGTATCTGTGCAGCCTTGATAGCTCTGCATCCTTGCGTGTTGCCCTGGAAATCTGTTGTGCACTCAGTGGCACACCCTCCAGGTGTTCACAGATGAGTGCATGTAGGTATGCTGTCATTGTCTCTGTTCCTGCATCCGCAGTCTCCGGCAGTGGGACACGAGACAGACCATCTGCGTTGCCGTGTTCGTCTGACTGGCGGTAGATTATATGGTAATCATAGGCAGACAGTATGATAGCCCACCTCTGTATGCGTGCTGCTGCCATTGTTGGAAGTCCTTTATGTTCTCCAAACAGCGTGAGCAGCGGTTTATGGTCGGTGATCAAATTGAACTTCCGCCCCCACAGATATTGATGGAATTTCTTTACTCCATACAGTACACCAGGCTTAACGCCTCCTTTTCTATCTGTGAGTAGTTCTTTTCCGCCGGTGAGAGTGTACGAGAAGCATAGGCTACTGGACGCTCTTGTCCGTCATGCGTTGTGTGCTGAATAACGGCTCCAATTCCGTACGCTGAAGCATCACATGCGAGAGAAAGCGGCAGGCTCGGATCATAGTGAACTAACACCTTGTCACCGGTCAACATTTCATCAAAAGCGCTCTGTTCCACTTTACTCCACCTCCATTTTGTTTGGTCTTTTAGCAGTTTGTAGAGTGGGGCCAAAACAGTACTTTGCTGCGGCAAAAAGCGACCGTAGTAGTTCACTAGCCCTAGGAAAGCCCTGAGCTCTTTGATGTTTGTGGGCGTTGGAGCATCATGCACGGCTCTGACCTTGTCTTTAGAAGGGTAAACTCCTTTTCCATCCAACATGTGACCTAGGTACTCGATTTGTGTTTTCCCAAAGTCACACTTTGACTTTTTTACTCTCAGGCCGTTTTCTTGTAGCCGCTGTAGAACTCTGTCCAGGTTCAGCAGATGCTCAGCTTCGTCCCTGCCCATCACTAGCAGGTCATCCAAGTAAACCAGGACGTTGAGGTCTCTCATCACGTTCTCCATGATCCTTTGGAAAATACTGACAGCAGAATTAATGCCAAAGCAAAGCCGATTGTACACAAACAGTCCTTTATGCGTGTTCACAGTTGTATACTTTTTTGACTCGTCATCTAGAAGGACTTGTTGGTACGCGGCTGCCAGGTCGATTTTAGAGAATATCTTCCCCCACATAATGCTGCCAGAACCTCTTCAATGCGTGGTAGTGGGTATGTTTCAGTGTTTGTAGCCAGGTTCACAGTTACCTTATAGTCGCCACACAAGCGGAGTCCACCGTCCTTCTTGGTTACAGGGACCACTGGAGCAGCCCACTCGCTGTGCTTCACAGGGCTGATGACGCCATCCTTTTCCAGGCGCTCCAGTTCTTTATCTACCTTTTCTTTCATTGCGAAGGGCAGGACACGGGCTTTGTGGAACTTTGGAACTGCGTCAGGTTTCACAGAAATTGCTGCTTTAATGCCCTTTAATGTTCCCAACTCATCTTTGAAAACATCAGCATATTTATCCAACACATCTTGGATTGACTTGGGCGTGGTTGTGCTTTCTGTGACTTTTTAAATCATTTTCAGCCATTCTCGCCCACACAGTGAAGGACCTCCTCCGGCCACTACTATCAGTGGTAGATCAGCAGTCTGATTTCCATAAGTCACTTTTGCAATGAACTGTCCTTTCACTGGAATGGTCTCTCCTGAGTAGCCCTTCAGTGCGACGCTGCTGCCCTCTAGTGGCACATGTGAGAATGACTGATCATACACATTTTCTGAGATAATGCTGACTCCTGCTCCTGTGTCAATTTCCATCGGCACTTTTTTCCATTTACTTCAGCAGCATATTCCGTCGCTGTCTGGCCGCTCTTCTGGACACATTTACGGTACCTAAATCGCTCGGCGATGACCAAAGGTTTTGGTTCATAGTAGTCTCGTAGAATGGTCACATCCTGATCAAAAGTTTTGTCCTTTGGCTTGTCAGGCTGAACCAGGTTGCGTAGAAGACCATACGTCGCTGCGCCGACTGAGCTCAACAAGACGGGAACTTTCTTTCCATCGTCCACATCATGAGCCTCAAACAGCAGCTCCATGCGCTCCACGTAGGCAGACCATGTTTCATGCTCCGGCTTGAACTCGTCCGGTCTTTGGGAAAAGCACGCCATGATGCACACGTTTTACCACTTTATATAGCAGATCTCTGGGAGCAACACAACAACGTGACACGAGACCATTACAGTCTGAACATTTGTATAACATGCGCAGCAGACACAATAGCTAACTACGGCAAGTCTTCAGGGTCAACCTTAATGCTTATTATAATGGTATTAATACACCACATGTGTTAAAGGCGCTATACCCGTTTCTGCAAGGTTTGAATGTTTAGCACCGCCCCCCAACTCGCTCAATGGCTTCTCATTTCCCCTACGCTCTCATAACACAGAGCCATCTAGTTCAATTTGCAATCTAATATGTATGCTAACATTAGCATTTGCGCAACTTCTCGTAAGCAATCACTGATGAATATTAGTTTTGCATCCGAATTTATTCATTTAAACATTAGAATATACAGTGCCTTGCGAAAGTATTCGGCCCCCTTGAACCTTTCAACATTTCGCCACATTTCAGGCTTCAAACAAAAAGATATAAAATTTTAATTTTTTGTCATCAACAATCAACAACAAGTGGGACACAATCGTGAAGTGGAATGAAATTTGTTGGATAATTTAAACTTTTTTAACAAATAAAAAACTGAAAAGTGGGGCGTGCAATATTATTCGGCCCCTTTACTTTCAGTGCAGCAAACTCAGTCCAGAAGTTCAGTGAGGATCTTTGAATGATCCAATGTTGTCCTAAATGACTGATGATGATAAATAGAATGCACCTGTGTGTAATCAAGTCTCCGTATAAATGCACCTGCTCTTTGATAGTCTCAGGGTTCTGTTTAAAGCGCAGAGAGAACCATGAAGACAAAGGAGCACACCAGGCAGGTCCGAGATACTGTTGTGGAGAAGTTTAAAGCTGGACAAAAAGATTTCCCAAGCTTTAAACATCACAAGGAGCACTGTGCAAGCAATTATATTGAAATGGAAGGAGTATCAGACCACTGCAAATCTACCAAGACCCGGCCGTCCCTCCAAACTTTCATCTCAAACAAGGAGAAGACTGATCAGAGATGCAGCCAAGAGGCCCATGATCACTCTGGATGAACTGCAGATAACTACAGCTGAGGTGGGAGAGTCTGTCCATAGGACAACAATCAGTCGTGCACTGCACAAATCTGGCTTTTATGGAAGAGTGGCAAGAAGAAAGCCATTTCTCAAAGATATCCATAAAAAGTCTCGTTTAAAGCCACAAGCCACCTGGGAGACACACCAAACATGTGGAAGAAGGTGCTCTTCAGATGAAACCAAAATCAAACTTTTTGGCTACAATGCGAAACGATATGTTTGGCGTAAAAGCAACACAGCTCATCACCCTGAACACACCATCCCCACTGTCAAACATGGTGGTGGCAGCATCATGGTTTGGGCCTGCTTTTCTTCAGCAGGGACAGGGAAGATGGCTAAAATTGATGGGAAGATGGATGGAACCAAATACAGGACCATTCTGGAAGAAAACCTGTTGGAGTCTGCAAAAGACCTGAGACTGGGACTGAGATTTATCTTCCAACAGGACAATGATCCAAAACATAAAGCCAAATCTACAATGGAATGGTTCACAAATAGACGTATCCAGGTGTTAGAATGGCCAAGTCAAAGTCCAGACCTGAATCCAATCGAGAATCTGTGGAAAGAGCTGAAGACTGCTGTTCACAAACGCTCTCCATCCAACCTCACTGAGCTCGAGCTGTTTTTCAAGGAAGAATGGGCAAGAATTCCAGTCTCTCGATGTGCAAAACTGATAGAGACATACCCCAAGCGACTCGCAGCTGTAATTGCAGCAAAAGGTGGCGCTACAAAGTATTAGCGCAAGGGGGCCGAATAATATTGCACGCCCCACATTTCAGTTTTTATTTGTTAAAAAAGTTTTAATTATCCAATAAATTTTGTTCCACTTCACGATTGTGTCCCACTTGTTGTCGATTCTTGACAAAAAATGTAATTTGTATATCTTTATGTTTGAAGCCTGAAATGTGGCAAAATTTTGAAAGGTTCAAGGGGGCCGAATACTTTCACAAGGCACTATATTTAGTTGAGCAGTTCAGAGTTTTGCAAGTACTGATCCTTGTGTACACATACACATGTTAATTATGCATGTGAAACAGAAAACAACTGTTAAAACATAAGCAAATCTATTCACATCTGCAATAAGTGTCAGAATGATCTCAATTCGATATTTTTCCTAAACCATTCAGCCCAGTGAAGACCTGTGATATCTTGTCAAAAGGCTGTGCATGCGGGGAGTCCCTCTGCAGCCGTGCTTTGATCACTCACACATGTAGGACACAGAAGGACACAGGGAGAGCCCCGCACACGTAGCTGTCAGCTGCTCAGATAGTGATTGCGAAAGCTGACATGTCTCCACACAGCCGCTCGGTGAGGTGTCTGAACACAGTGCAAGGGAACTGGAAAAGTGATTACTAATTCATATATCAATTTATCGGTTTAAAGGGCATCAGGCACCAATATTTTGCTACTATCAGGATCCTCTGGCACAAACTCCACCCCTTCTATAAAAGCTCCTGTCTCAGTCCTGTGATGGTATGATGTCATTGTATCACTATGACATCACGCTCAGAGCAGTTTTCTGCCTTAAAAACAAAAGTATTGTCCATGAATCAGTTTAGTACACGCTCACTGTTCTTACTTTGTTTTTTTCTCCCACGTGACTGTGATGCTCTTTGGGTTCAGCAGTTTTGCATAAATTAAATAATACAGTGAATTTGAATATCTACAAAAGTGCTAACTATTGTATTTCTTATCTGATCTCCACTACTTGGGCCATATTAAAATGCTAATCAATTAATGTTCCATCTTCCTTCTTCAAGTCTATAATTTAAATTGGTGATCACATTCTGTGTGTCTCTATGCCTATAATCAGTGTGTGTAATCGCTGCTAAAGCAGTTTCTAGTCAATTTAGAGAAAATGAACTGCAGTACGAGCTTAATTTAATGAGGCATGACTTTTATTGACACATTACATTAGGCTTCCCTCTTTGCAGAGGAATATCAAACTTGAATTAAGAATTATACATTTTATTGATAGTGTAATGTATTCAACCAGGTCACTATATTTTATAGGAACTATTCAGCTGAATATTCTCCCATGTCCACCAGCCTGACTTCTGGATCCATATTTAATCAAATCCTCGCGCAAAAAGATTAATTCATAAAATATTGTGAGTTTACTTTTTAGTTTTACATACATACATGAGCCTGTTTTCTCCTATACGGACTAACCTGCTTTACACCACTGCTTTACTACACCTCTCCAGAGAACTGTATGTTGTCAATTTCATGTTGGATTCCTGTCTATACCACAGTCGCAGGGTTATGCCGCGGTCACCATGACCCATCCATCCATCCATCCATTTTCTTCCGCTTTATCCGTTGCCGGGTCGCGGGGGCAGCAGTCTAAGCAGAGACGCCCAGACTTCCCTATCCACACACACTTCCTCCAGCTCGTCCGGGGGGACCCCAAGGCGTTCCCAGGCCAGCTGAGAGACATAGTCCCTCCAGCGTGTCCTAGGTCTTCCGCGGGGCCTCCTCCCGGTGGGACGTGCCCGGAACACCTCCCCAGGGAGGCGTCCAGGAGGCATCCGGAACCGATGCCCGAGCCAATTCAACTGGTTCCTCTCGACGTGGAGAAGCAGCGGCTCTACTCCGAGCTCCTCCCGTGTGACTGAGCTCCTCACCCTATCTCTAAGGGAGCGCCCAGCCACTCTGCGGAGGAAGCTCATTTCTACCGCTTGTATCCGCGATCTCGTTCTTTCGGTCATTACCCAAAGCTCATGACCATAGGTGAGGGAGGGAACGAAGATTGACCGGTAAATCGAGAGCTTTGCCTTTCGGCTCAGCTCCCTCTTCACCACAACGGTCCGATACAGCGACCGCATCACTGCGCACGCTGCACCGATCCGCCTGTCAATCTCACGCTCCATTCTTCCCTCACTCGTGAACAAGACCCCGAGATACTTGAACTCCTCCACTTGAGGAAGGACCTCTCCACCCACCTGCAGAGGGCAAGGCACCTTTTTCCGGTCGAGCACCATGGCCTCGGATTTGGAGGTGCTGATTCTCATCCCAGCCGCTTCACACTCGGCTGCAAACCGTCCCAGTGCATGCTGCAGGTCCTGGTTCGTTGGAGCCAACAGGACAACATCGTCCGCAAACAGCAGAAATGAAATCCTGTGGTCTCCGAACCGGACCCCCTCCGACCCCTGGCTGCGCCTAGATATTCTTTCCATAAATACAGTGAACAGAACCGGTGACAAAGGGCAGCCCTGTCGGAGGCCAACATTCACCGGGAACAGGTCTGACTTACTGCCGGCAATGCGAACACAGCTCTGGCTCCGGTCATACAGGGATCGGATGGCCCTCAGCAGAGGACCCCCGACCCGGTACTCCCGGAGAACCCCCCAAAGGACACCCCGGGGAACACAGTCGAACGCCTTCTCCAAATCCACAAAGCACATGTGGACAGGTTGGGCGAACTCCCATGAACCCTCGAGTATCCGATGGAGAGTATAGAGCTGGTCCAGTGTTCCGCGACCGGGACGAAAACCACACTGCCCCTCCTGGATCCGAGATTCGACCATCGGCCGTAGCCTCCTCTCCAGTACCTTGGAGTAGACCTTACCGGGGAGGCTGAGGAGTGTGATCCCACGATAATTGGAACACACCCTCCGGTCCCCCTTCTTGTAGAGAGGGACCACCACCCCGGTCTGCCACTCCATTGGCACTGCCCCCGATCGCCACGCAATGTTGCAGAGACGTGTCAGCCAAGACAGTCCTACAACATCCAGAGACTTTAGATAATCAGGGCGGATCTCATCCACACCCGGAGCCTTGCCACCATGGAGGCTACCAACCACCTTGGTGACCTCAGCCAGGGAGATGGATGTATCCGCCCCAACATCCCTCAGCCTCTGCCTCTGAAACAGAGGACGTGACGGGGGGATTGAGGAGAACCTCAAAGTATTCCTTCCACCGCCCGACAATAT